CACACACACACACACACACACACACACCATTGTATATCAGACTTTTACAACCTTTACTTGGATACCTCCATTCAAACCTTTGACCCCAAAAGTTATTAAATTAATTGTTCCCCGACTCAGCGCTTTTCTCTGTTAATGAAGTCGACACAAGAAGGTTAAGAATTTAATACGAACTACATTCAGACAGCTGGCCTCAGATGCTTCTAGAAACATTGCCGTCGTGTTTAAATCATCAGTGTGGTGCTGGAGCGATAGTTTCAGATTTAAGGAAAGGCTACAAGAAAAGGTTAATTAAAACCCAGATGGTTTGAGGACCAAGGTCAGTGTCAGCTCCTCCTACAGCAATATTTCAAAACTGCAAGGATTCCAACTCAGAGATTAAACATTTGCACCTGATCCTGACATCAAGTGATTTATAAATGACAGTTTTTAGAGACATTAATATTTCATTTACACTTGTGCAGATACCCTTCCTCCAAGTCGTTCCAGTCAGAGGTCCACAAGGTCATTGGAGGTAATGTCACAGTGGGCCCTGCACATCTCTCCCCTTTATTCCTCCCTGTGTCTCACATACACTTATCTCCAATCGCTGCCTCTTCTGGCCCTCCGTTTGCTCTCGCTCCCCTCCTCATTCTTCTTCAAAGGCTGGGAGGAGACAAAGACTGGCCTTGAGTGTTCTTCGTCAAGCCAAAGCAGACCACACAAATATTTCATAGACATAACCCAATCCCTAGCCCCTTACCCTACCTTTAACCATTCAACACATATTCCTAACCCTAACCCTCAGGATCTCAGGATCTCAGGATCTCAGGATCATCCTAATTTGAATTCTAATGCAACATGAACCTTAACTCTGCCAACAAGCCTACTCACAATGCTGGTGTTTTTGAATGCATAAATAAATGACTCTATGTTTAATAATTCTATTTCCCATCCCCAACCATTGACGCTGCAACATGTTTTCAGTAAAAGTTTTTGTTTCACCAAAGTATCTTCAACATCAAATACCACCTGAACACCCAGCATGTGTTTGTGGAGGCCTGAGCTTCCAGTGACTCCTGCCTCACTGAGTGCAGAGCAGTAAAAAATCTACGGCTCAAAAACTGACACCATTGTCAAGTGTACTGTAGGCGTTGTTTCTAACAGGAGCCGTATTTTGGTTCACCAATGAGGATAATAATAAAAACAAATACCGTACAAAAGTTTAAAAAATATAATAAATACTATAATTAATTTCTTGGGATATTTGTTTGTTATGTTTTTCAGAGATGAGAAAAATAATTTGAAATCATTAATAAAACCAGAGATGGTACAGATGGAACAGTTCCATGGATGGATATTTACCCAGCAGTACCATGATGATGATAAACTCTGAAACAGACCTGGTTAGCTGAGAGTTTTAGCATTTATTAAGGCTATATAAGGAGCAGAGAGGCAAAGATATGGAAGCTGTCATTTTTGTTGACCGTTTGTTAGACATTCACAAACCAGGTTTACCATCATAACAACAACAACAATAATAGTTTAACCACTTGTTGTTTTCACTACAAGCACTAAGGCTGAAGTCAGTACACCATCTACACTCTGTGTATTCAGACCCAGTAAACAGCTGCCCAATAATAAGAATAAAAATAAGCAATGATGTGTGACAGATTAAATGTCTGTGTTAATTGATTAATGTGTTTAGTCATTCACCTCCAAAATCCACTTCAACCCATTATTATTTAACTTTCAGCCATGACATGATTTATACAACCTCAATTGCCACTCGTAAAAAAAAAAATGTCATCCTATCTTGTTTCCTCTTCCTAGACTTCTCTAGCAATGTGCACTGGGGATTTAGATGTTTAGGGGGCAGATGGAGGAGTGGTTCACTCAGTAATGAGGTGTGCAGTGGCAGCAAGTCAGGAGGTCTAGGCACTGGTGGAAACGACGTGTGGATTGAGATGTAAAAGGCCCAGACACAACCAGATGTACACAGCTGTCACACTGTTGATAGAAAATATAGCAGCGAGGGAAAGGGGTGAGAGAGAGAGAGGGAGAGGCAGTGGGAACAGACAGAGAGAGAGAGAGAGAGATAGGGATATGAGTTTAATAGAAATGTTCTTTATTCACATTTACACTCATTTAGAATGGTCATGTGTGTATTAGCATTCCGAAACTTTGTTTACTTCATTTTGTTGCATATTTATTTATGTTATTCTACATTTTTATATTTTTTTAAAGATTTCACAAAAAGGTTTTATTTTTTCACAGATTTTTTTTCTTTTGCCACCAAACATAAAACCTCGCTGTACCTCATGGTGAGCAAGGCTCCTCCCACTCTTTCAATTCTTCTTCGTGTTTTAACAGCTTCTATGCATCTTTTTGAGTAGCTGTAATCTGTAAATTTGAATTTTCTATTCACTAATTATGGAAATATAAGTAATTCACAGGCTCTGATTGGGGCAACACATTAAATGAATATAATTTTTAAAATGTATGATGTTATAGTAAATATATTTAATTTTTGACATTTCAAGACAGCAGTGAATGAGGGAAGGAGTCCTAGATGTAAAAAAAAATAAAAAATGTTTAACTTACATTAATCCTAAATTAATGTATGTGAATTAATCGACAAAATCCCATTAAAACATTGGTTGTCTGCATCGCAGCGTGAGTTCAGCGTGTGAGTCAGTTCGACAGGGAGCAGAAAGAAACTAAGAAATGAAACCTGAGTGGAGACGACAGGCTGCAGGGAGGTGGAAGGTTTTACAAAGGACAGAGGTTACCTTTGGTTTAAGGGATGGGGGCTAATAGGTAACAGTACAGGAATTCAAATGGGGGTGCAACTGGAGGTAAGTGATGTGCTGCAAGGTGAGCAGGGTTGCCTCTATGCTTCACTGACTTATATTTATATTACATTTCATAAACTAACCACACTGACGTTTTATAGTCTAAAATTAAAAGAACTTTCAGCAGTATGATATCAATCAGAATATGGAGGCTGGATGTGAAATAAAAAAAAAGGTTTCACAGCAAAGTGATTTTATATTAGTAGTAGTATTGTAGTAGTAGTAAGTATTGGGTTTGTCCTGATATCATTTTTGCAAACCAATACAGATACTTTTCTGATACTTTACTGATCATTTCAATCTAAATAGAGAAAATAAAATCAGTTCAATCAATATCTTCAATCTGTTGTTACATTAGACAATATAGTAATATTAGGGATAAACTAGAGATAAAATACTTAATGTTACTTTATATCAGTTTTATATTACACCAATAGCATATTACAATTACAAATAATTGACAACATTGATGTACTGTGCTGTGTGCTACTCCTTCCTGGTGTTTAAATTCCTCCAAAGTGATTATATTGTTAAGCCTACTTAAAAGGCTGAGACACTCAAAACTAATTACTGCAGAAAAACAAAAACATCAGTTCCCAGTCCATCCTCGTAGTCCTTTATCAGTCGGCCAAGGGCTGTTGATTACATCAGCATTTATAAAGTAATTTTGTTTGGATTTGAGAATCACTTATTGATGTTTTTAAAAGTTTTAATGACATTGTACCTGGACAGTTACACCTCAACATCCCTGCCTCATCTGAGACACGGCCGTGTTTCAACGCACTCACCACTTACCATACCGGTCACTGACTTCGAACCTTTGCACACGGTTTGTGCTGTTTTTCTAGAGAGACTTGTTGATTGTTGGTTTGTGCACTAACATAAAACTGATTTATTTATTAAAACCTAACATGAACTAACATATAATAACAGGGATTATATCTGGCACTCTTCTCCGATTTATCAACACATTATGATACGAAATACGTCGGCTATAAGTAGTGGTACACTGCCACCAAGTGGTTACAGTGGCATTTCATGTTCTGCTCTTGTCATTTGTTTAGCAATTTCGTTTTAATAGGCAAACAACACAAATATATCAAGGATAAATTCAAGAAAGAAACAAAGTAAGTAAAAAGGGAAGAAGGAAAAAAATAAGAAGGAAAAAAGAAACGTAGTAAGTAAGTAAGTAAAAAGGGAAGATGGAAAAAAATAAGAAGGAAAAAAGAAACAAAGAAACAAAGAAAACAAACAAATAAAGCATATTCTTGTATTAAAGGAACATCAAACGGAGTAGAATCTAATTTTATTTCGTTAGTGTTGCTTGTAATTAAGTCAATGAACCCGAAACATCATTCAAATGGATAATAACTACATAACCCATGATGCATCGCCGTGTCGTCAGAGGGGAAAGGTTAAAAACAAAATGGCGGCTGTCGGTAAGGCATGGTGTCTGTTACGCGGGTCATCTTGGCCAAACAAACTACAGAAAAGCAAAGGAACGTTGTCCAAATGTATAAGAACATTGTGTGGCGGAGCACAGAGCAGCGGTATGTTGATTTAGGTCTTCATGGTTTGTACTGTGACAACATATCTATGTAACGTTGACCTTGCGGTTTGACAGCCAGCCTTCCTGTTTATGATAAAACATATTAAGATAGGCTCTTTATAATGTACATGAAATACTGTACTGTGCTGTCCTGTCAAACCTGTGGTGTGGCGTCGGTGTGTGGTTATAGAAAAAAAGTCAGGAATTAGGACGGTGTTGTGAATGAAATGTCATGTTATACAGTACTTTGTTATAAAAATGAATACACCATGATGTGATCGAGTGCATTTCATTAACATAAAATATCCCCCATAGGTCCCTCAGACAATAACAGCACACCGCAGTTCACAGATGAAGCTGTGAAGGACATCCTGAGGAGGATAACAGGCCTGGACCTCCAGAAAGTCTTCAGACCAATTAAACAAGAGCTCAAGGCGCCCACATATAAACTCATGACCGATGAACAACTGGAGCAGGTGCCTTTCTAATAAATCATTTTTTCAGGGGTTGTAAAAAAAACCTCTTACATTTTATATAGTGTCAGTAATCAATGATTAATCAGTAATCCCTGATGTGTAATCATTAATTATAAAATGTTCACGTAGCCTGCTGTATTGTCTGTGCTCTTCAGTGATGCAGCACTTTTTAGATATTCTTTACAACTCAATTGGTTTAATAAGTTCAATTTTAACTTTTTTTATAAAGACTATTGTTCAGCTGGTACTGGTACTGTGTACAGAGTCTGACATTTTATCTAGTTATCCGTCTGTTTGTCCAAATATTTTTATTATTTGTGCTCACACACTTTACGGTTAAGTGTGTGTCATAAAATAAGTTTGTTGTGCATCTGTTTTCCTATTATTTGTGCTCACACACTTTACAGTTAAGTGTGTGTCATAAAAAAAATAAGTTTGTTGTGCATCTGTTTTCAGGCAGTAGCATTAGCCAAAGAGCAAGCTGAGAAGCTGCTGCAAATGCCACCTGTCCTACCTGAGAGGACGCCCATCAGTGACGTGCTGTCTGAGGACAGGGTTCTTGAAGGCATGGACTCTGCGAAATACGTCTTCACAGACATTACTTACAACATCCCACACAGGGTAAGGAGCACATCAGAAAATCTCTTGATCACTACTGGCTTAAGAATATTATTCTAAAAATATTTGTCCTACAGTGGGGACATTTACAGTGTGAGTCTTTGCAACTGACATAGGCTGCCACTGGAGGTGCCATTAGGGACATGTGGTTCTTCTTGGAATTGAATTGTGAAACTGTGGAACCATAACCTAGACCAGGAGTGTCAAACTCAAATTAACAGTGGGCCAAAATTAAAAACTGGGACGAAAATTTACAGAAATTGTGCAGGTTTTCCCTTCTCTCCAGATCTGTAATGTAGAATTGTTCCATATGGAAACAAACTAGTTTTGCATAAACATTGAATATGGAACAACCAAAGCTTAACATTATAAAATGAGAAATTAAATTTGAAATAAGACACACATCAGTGATATTTGTTTCTGATTATGTCTCTTTATCTGTAGCCTCTCGAGCCTCTTTTTTTAATGTAAATCTTTTCTTTTCACAGTCCAACCACAAAAAAACAAAATGTATGTGCTATAACAGTGCATACACCGCTAATACTCCAAATCCTGCCAGTATATAGTGGCTATATACTGGCCGACCAACTCTAGTACACATGTGAAATGGTCTCGCAGGCCAAATATATTTGTACTGTTGGCCAGATTTGGCCCACAGAAAATATTATCATCCATGAGTTTTCCACACACTAACAGATGCCTCTCAGTGACGGTGCAAACATAAGTTAAATAGTGTGAAAGAGCAGTGACAACCCGTATTAGTTAACACATTAAACATACGCTGAAGAAACTGTAAATAAAGGTAGACCTCAGTGCGATTCTATAAAACATCTACACTGTTACATTGTAGGAGAGGTTCATTGTTGTGCGTGAACCTACCGGCACTCTTAGAAAAGCCACGTGGGAGGAAAGAGATCGCCTCATTCAGGTTTACTTTCCCAAGGAGGTACGCAAAATCTCACCACCGCACATCTTCAAGGAGGAGAACCTTAAGGTAAGAAGTGGAACCCTTTTGCAATTTTACTCTGCGTCATGGACTCCAAATATTTCAATTTTTTTTTACATTTAAAAATAGAACTTGTGGTTGTTATCTGTGTAGCAGGCTAGAGTAACAAACACATTTTGCAAATACACTTTGGTGTTAACGTTCTGTCTGGATTTTTCAACATCATCTCACTTGTTTTTTAGATGGTGTTTTCCCAAGACCAGCATGAACATGTGTTGAACCTTTGTTTGGTCCAGTTTGAACCAGACTCATCAGAATACATCAAGGTAAAGAGGAGTGAGCTTCTAATTGTTTTGACACAGATCTTTATATCCAAAAGCAATAACTTTTGTGTGTCAGTTTCTTTGGGTAAATACAGGTTCATTGACAGTATTAAAAGGTGTAAAGTGGCAAACCTGACCCTTCTTTTTGACCCTTCTTTTTGTGTAAAGGTACACACTGCCACTTATGAGGACTTGGAGAAACATGACAAATATGATTTGCTGCGCTCCACCAGGCATTTCGGAGGCTTGGCCTGGTACCTGGTCAAAGCTCGCAGGATAGACGGGCTCATTGTGGACATGCTGAAAAGACAACTGTGAGTTCATCTTTAGTTCAGTTTGACAGAAATGAATGTAAATGACCTCAACAGTCAACATTATGTAATTATGTTTATTAGTAATAGTATAAATGTTTTGTATGGCCACTCCTATTTTTTTTTAATCCATGAAATGAGCTGCAGTGCTGCCATCTAGTGACACTTTCACTTTAATATGCTATAGGGGATGCTGGATCATCTGTTTCCAATCTCCATTTTCACCATAAGTCAGAACCCACATACTGTACAAAAGAACCTATGTCACTCAGCTACACTAACACAGTGGTAAAGTCATAATCTAGGAAGTGTATTCCAAACTGACCCACTCCCCGCTGTGGTCCTGGACCTGAGATTAGGTTTGGTTAAACACCTGGACACGGTTTGACCTGTCGACACAGTGATCGTACTCACAGTTAACTTGAAGAAATGCACTTCAGCAGAGTAGCAGAGTTATGACTTAACACTTTAGTAGATGGTGGAATCTAACAGGGTGTTACAGTTGCTGCGTGTTGTATCAAAAGTATCTGAAGTGTATGTTGTTCTTCCATCTCGGTGTTTAGACTCCAGGATGCTGTGAGTCTGGTCCGCCTGTTCCACATGGTTCACCCCGACACTGAGTCAGCGCAGGAAGCTGCCAACAAAGAGGCCACTAATATTGACCTGCTCACCGTGAGTACCAACACAAACACATGCGTCCGCTGAGTGCTTCTCTGCTACTGCTTTTTGGGAGGCGTATGTGCGTAGGTAGAACCCATTCAGGTCTTTTAAGTGATGTCCCCACGGTATTAGAGTGCAACACAAGTCAGTTCAGCTCTGGTGAGGTCAGCTGAAAGTCGTCACATCTAGGATTACTTGTGTAGGAGGCCTGGGCCTTTGTGTAGTGTGGAACTGACAGGGCCAAAGAGAGGACACGTCACGTGTGATTAGCGCATACGGCGTCCTAGCCTTGAAACGGCACAGAGGGACTTTGAGAATGACAGCAAATTAGAACGGAAGGTTAAAAGTGCGTGTACATGTGTATGTGTGTACATGCACGCGCGCACACACACGTGTTCTGGTCGTAGTCACGCATGGTATCCTATTTAGTCATGGCTGATTGGGGAGCACTTTATTAATTTCCAGACGGCCACTGGAACTCTTTATTCTGTGATTGTTGTCTCTGATGGTTTTATCCGCTTCAACTCAACTGGCTGGACCTTTCCCTGACTTCTCTTGTTTGCTGACCTTTACACTTCTTTCCTGCAGATCTATGCCCAAAAGGAGTCACAGAGGTCAGGCTACATCGAACTGGCCCTGCAGGCCTACAAACAACCAGCTGCTGAGGCCTTGGCAGCCTGAAAAACTCCCCCCTCCAAAAGAGCATCAGACTGGAAGAGAAGGAGGACATGAATGTGTTCATCACATTTGTGAAAGATTGTTAAGCTGTGTACTTCACAGCCATTGTAAAAAGGAGTTTGTACAACGCCCTGCGTCTGTTTTTGGTTCATGTGTTCCGACATATGGACTAATGTGTCAGTCTGACGTTTAAAGATGAATGCTGTAAATAATAAAACTTGTGTGTGATGTCATTGGATTAAACAATCGTACTCTTAACTTTTTATGAAGCTAATGCTACTGGTTCTGTAGTGTAGCCTTTCAGGCAAAGAGCAGAGAGTCCTGGGTTTGATTCCCAGAGGAGCCACATACTTGGCGCCTCCAAGGGGTATTCTGTTGCAGTAGATCTGCTGTTAATACAAGAATTTCCCCAGTGTGGGATCAATAAAAAGTTGAGTGACCTTATTTTCTGCCACAGTTAAAAAGCAAAACCGTAATGCAGGAACTGGAGACGTTGTTTCTGCAGTAACTTTATGACTTAATAATGGTAGAGCAGATCCACTGAACACATAAGACAGTGAGAGGCAGGACAATTAAATACTCTCTCACTAAGTGGCAGCAGATGGCTTTACAAACTGGACAAAAAAAGGATTTTTTTTCCTCCTGGGTTTTGCAGCATTGTGTTCAACTAAACCGTCACAGTGAATTAGTACATGCTGCTCAGACGTTCACTCTTGTATCTGTATGACAGGCCAGGTTGACCTTTTCATTCTTCTTTGTCACCTTTTACCAATGCACTTTGAACTTTGCATTTTGACTGTCCTTCAGTGAATGAATTACTTTGCCACATTTTCATTTTTTTAAATCAAAGAACACAAGAAATATTTCTGAAAATGAAAATATGCACACTGTCCGTATGTTGTTTTTCGTAACATACATTCACAAAATAAGATTTTTACATATTTTTAAAACATCAGTCACAGGTTATTGTTAATCATGGTCATCAGTACTGCTGTTTAAGAGCCAGTGCTTTAAAGAAGTACTAAAACTGTTATTAGTTAGATGCCAAATAAAAACACTAAAATATTACTTTGATAAATAAAACATCATATGTACTGTAGCTAACTATTGTGTCTATCAGACAAACATCTTTCAGTCTAAGATTTGGGAAGCACTTTTATGAACATCTTTTAGTCTAAGATTTGGGAAGCACTTTTATGAGTTTAAATAAAATCTTAATCTTTATAGTCATTACATGATGTCAATTCAAAAGATACAGCCTCCTGTGTATTGAGTGGAACTATTATTTTAGATAAAGTATCTGATGAGATAATACAGGACATGGAGCATTTCTCTGACCTTTGATTCGTCACTATGTCAATTTCGCCACATCATCACAGAAGAGTTTAGTGCCAGAGCCAGATAAGACATGGGAAGAATTGAACCACGATCCGATCTCCTCTGACAGAAACCCAAAAGGCTGAACAATAAAACAAATATGTCCATTTGGTCACTTCAGGTCCAGTAACTGAACCATCGATCATGGGTGTCCACACTATTGACTTGAGAGCTACTGTTCAAATGACCAGGCTAAAGCATGTAACTATGGCAGTGTATGGTCACTGGACTAGTTAGCCTCAGCCTTGATCAATTCTGACACACACTGAAATACAGACAGGCCACTAACAGTGTTACATCACTGCACAAACACTGTATGGAAGCAGACTTTGGCAGGGAGCAGTGGTTCTGGGAGAGATGCATGGAATAGGGCTGAGACCAACAGCCAGAGTAAAGGCTGCAGAGCTGAGTGTTGGTCCATGGAGGTCAGCTGCCAGGGCTTTAGAAACTGTACATTTATATCACTGGTTGAGTGGAGGGAATGAGAAGAAGCTCATGTGCAGGACAACAGTAGAATGTTCATCTATTTGCACGTGTTTTTGCACCAATGATGGTTTGCACCAGGACACAGCACATCCATGAACCTGCCCTCACGCTACCTCTGCATTTAAGTTTGTACTTCACAGTGTGTACACAAATGTACACACTGCACTAAGGGGATTATCAAATCGACCCTGTCCTTTGGAACACACACACACACACACACACACACACACACACACCCGCACACACACATGCACACATACTCTATTTAAAGGGCAGGGCCTCTTATAATCTGCGTTTTCGTCTGACAAGCCACAGGCACCTGCACTCACACCCAAAAATGCCTGCAGACTACAATGGACGCTGGGAGATGGTCAGTAACGAGAACTTTGAGGAGATCATGAAGGCCATCGGTGAGCTGCACTAAAACTTCTAATACAAACATCACGGCTATTTAGAAAGCTCTAGAGTGAGTAGGAGAATGATGGTAATGTCTGCTGTATCATAAACTTTAGAATGATGTCTGACATTATTCATTTCTGCACATCACTTCTTTTTGACGGACAGCTGACCAGACTAGATTTCATCCACCTTGTTCTTCGTTTGCAGACATTGACTTTGCAACCAGGAAGATCGCGTCCCACCTGCATCAGACCAAAGTGATCGTCCAGAACGGAGACAAGTTTGAGACAAAGACACTGAGCACCTTCAGAAACTATGAGGTCAACTTCACAGTGGGAGAGGAGTTTGAAGAACAGACAAAGGGCCTGGACAACAGGAAAGTCATGGTAGGGAAGTTTTTAAATGTGTTTTTAAATGAAGAAAAATCCACGAAAATCCAAGAACCTCTGACCCTGACCCTGTCTTTATGGTGACTCATATTGAAAGACGTTGGTCGTTTGGGACGGAGACAAGCTGGTGTGTGTTCAGAAGGGGGAGAAGGAAAATCGAGGCTGGAAACATTGGATTGAGGGAGATTTGCTACATTTGGTAAGTAAAAGAATTAAAGACAGAGAAAGAGAGAGAGAGAGAGAGAGAGTGTGTGTGTGTTCCCCACCCCAGCGTCAACATTAACCCTACACTTTGATTAGTTGTGTCGTATTAGCAACACCCATAATAGTAAACGTTAATGAATGACCAAGTAGAAGGTTAAACCTAAGGCCCGGTGTGATTATGTCAGTCACTGGAACATGAATTTCATCAGAGTTGGCCGATGGGTCTAAAGGTCTGTCTCTTATCTTCCAGGAAATCACTGTACTTGACAAAGTCTGCCACCAAGTGTTCAAGAGAGCACAGTAAGCCACCTGCACCAACCACTGTGTCCCCTGTTGCTGTCTATTTATAGTGTACCTGTAGAGACCTGCAATAAAATTATGCTGGAAAAACGTTGTTAAGAAAATCATGAATTTGTTTTATTACAGATTTACTCAGGGACGACTTATTGGTGCCTAAACTTTCTGCTTAAAATCCAGTTGAATCTTGTTGAATCAGGGTAAATGTGTACTCATTGATTAAATAATTTCCTAGAAATGGAGCATATTTCAGGTCACCATCACCAAAACACTTTTGGTGATTAAATCGGATAATGTTAAAAATGTAAGTTGATTGACAACATTACAGATTTTATTTATTGGTGAAACTTAAAGAATTTTCTCTGTGGTGTAAGCGATGAGTAAAGGAAAATTTAATCCATTAACAAAACACAAAAAAGTGCATCATATGTATAATTGATTATTATTACATATATGATGTTAATATAATTATTATGGTCTTAAATATTACCTGCAGTTTTTCTCCTTGAGGACGTGTTCTTTGTGTTCTTCTCTTCACCAGTGATTGCACAAAATGTTTTGGTCGATCAGTGCATACAACCAATTACAGACATGTAACAGTCTGTAATTAGTTCTTTGTTGACATCCATGGCCTAGACCAGGGGTCACCAACGTGGCCTAGACCAGGGGTCACCTGGTAGCCCCCATGGTAATAAAACTAGTCAACAAGAGGGTCAAAGATTGTACTGTTACTGTGCTTTTTGAATCAGTTACAGTTGTAAATTATATTTAAATGGGTCCAATGATGATGATGTAAGAAGAGTGTCTGCTATTGTCTGTTCCAGAACTGATTATTATTACAGTGTTTGTGAAGTCTGTATTAAACAAGTAGCTCTCCGTATTACTAAGTGCCCTTGAATTAGCTCTCATTTTTTAAAAGGTCAGTGACCCCTGGTCTAGAGACAGTAGGCAAAGCGAATGAGAGGTACCGTGTGTGCAATTCGTGCGCTCTCTAGTGTTAAAATGCCGACATAACAACCAGGATCCAAGCGACTCTTCATAGACGATAAAGAATTTTAATGAACTAATTAAAAAAATAAAATGTGGCAGTTGTGTTACGGGCTAGCTGAAAGTTTCACACTGAATTACTTTTTCTATACCTTGATATATTACTCCTTAAAACGAGCATATTGATGTAGATGTAGTACGTAGATAAATATTAGTAAGGTGACACATCAAATAACCCTTCTTTTGTTCTCTTTATTTATATGTGTTTGTAAACAGCAAAGCACAAAACACCACACAATGTGTTGTTAATGAAATTGTGACACTAATTGAAATTTAAAGATTTACAAAAAAAAAGTAAAAACAAAACAAAACGTCATTTCCTTTGGTCATTCCAGTGGAATCTATGATTTATTTGTTTCACAAGTGATAGCAGCAGCTGTGCAGGATCTTCTCTTCTCAGTCCTCGGTGAACATCATCTTCACAAGGTTGCCTTTGAGACACTCCTCCTCCACCAACTTCTGAGGCTGACACACAGAGAAATGTATACAAAAATAAACAAACCATTTAAAAAGGTGGAAGACAAAGTTAATCTGCAGTTTTTTCTTACTGTGCCGTATCTCATCAGAGTAGGGACACCAGTCAGTTTCAGATTCTTCTTGAAGTCGTTGTTTGGATTCTTCCAACTGGAACAAAAACAAGAGTTTTTTCTCATTTAATATTTCACCAACTTTATGCAGTATTCATATTTTATTTGCAAACCTTTCTCTACCACTTTCATGTCAATAAAAAATATGTTAAATAAGATTCAGATTTATTTTTAAATAAAATCTAGAATAAAATCGTATCATGAACAAATATATACAATTTATCAAGATTTGCTTTTGTATTCTTCTTGTATTGCCTCATGTAGTCTTTCAGGCTATTTTGGGCAACATTGTCTATGAATGGTACAAGAGAAGATTTCCTCAGACAAACACATGAAAAAACTAAGGGTAATTTAGTAACTGTCATTTACAAATTTCAATAAGATTTCTTCAGACAAACACATGAAAAAACTAAGGGCCACAATATTTTTTTTTTTTTTTACCGTTGGAAACGGCACCAGACGGGGATAAAAACAGCTGTGAGTGAAATACAGAAATACAGAAAATAAAATACTGACTAGGTTCTCTCTCCCACTTGGCAGTAGATGAAGACAGAACCGTCAGGAAGATTAGACATTTCTCCTCTGACCACAGGTTCAGCTGAAAGACAAAATTTGAAAAACTGATGGGATGAATTAAGAGAGCAAGTTTGAATGAATTTAAAAGAATTAACAATACGTTCTACATGTGTGTTAAATTCAGCATCCTCAATCTCAACATCAACAACTGTCAACTTGGTTGCTCTTCTGGAGACTGTGTCAGAAAGCAGAGGAGCTGAAAGAAGTGCAGGGGAGGGCAGCCACAGCTGACCACCCCAGAGCAGCTCCCCCCTTAGGTAGAGCTTGTGTAGTGTTTTGAGAAGCCATCAGGATAAAGTGAGTACAGAACATGTACTACTTTGTCTCATGCTGTGTATATTATCTCTTTTATGAAACAGGTCAAGGACAAAGGTTGTAAAACACCATATGCAGTTATTTTATGTGTTTATGTGTTAAGTTATTGGACAAGATCGTGGGTAGAAAAGGTACAGGGGAGAGAGGAGGTCGTGATTCTTGATTCATGTTTGATATTAAATAGCCACATTTGGCTGACCTCCGTGAATGACCTCCCCCATGAATATTTTGTGGGCAACTGAGAAAATGACAGCAGTGTGGAAAAAATAAACAACAATTACAACATATTAGTATTTTCTTTTTTTTTATTATTTTAGTTTAATTACCCAATTGTGTGTGTGTACATTTAAAAGACATTTTTGTCGAATGCTGAACCCACTTGCAAGGCCGACAGGGTTGCTTCCAGTCTCCAAACATTTATTAAGAGTCACAAATAAAAAAGTAATCACAAACAGTTAATGACAACTGCCTTTATTTTTTAAATGTAACGAGTTTTTAATACAAACCATTAGACAAATCTACCAATACTACATGACCTAATATAACGCTAACGTGCAAAACAATAGACAATGACTCAACATTTTAATATAAGCATTTTCAAGTGATATTTGTGAATATTAAACATTGGCTTTACCTTTTACGCAGTCTGGACACCAACTCTTGCCTTCTGCGTCTTTATTTCCAGAGAAATAAACAAAAATATCTTTTCCTTTTCTTTCAGCTATGGCCTGGCAGAATTCTTCATATCCATGGACGTTCACTTCCTCAAACTGCGACATTTTCAAGACAATATATAAAATAGATCTTATGTTAACAAGAACTGATAGAGGGAAACGAAATCAACTATTATATAGTTAGAGGCTGAACGACTGTGGCTTTTGTCAAGTGACCTGGTATGACTACTTCTATGACAACCACTTCCGGTGTGGGCTGATGTGCTTAAAGAGACAGTGTACTCAAATGTGAGGTTACGGCTACGGTGGTTTACCAGTAGGCTTATTAAAAAAATACGCTCAGGGTATGAGACATGATAAACTCAAACATATTGCTTGACTCAGGCAAATAATAATAATAATAAAAATATTAAAATAAGCAGGCCTTTAACCAGGTCTTGCAGCAGAAATTATGTATATGTACATAATGTATATAAATGTAGCCAGATATAGCTGGCTTTAAGTCATTAAAGTACTTACCACAACTAAAAAGGCAATTGCTGAATTTTGACTACATTTCTACAGCCCTGCTAAAAGACCAAATATAACCAAATAAAAATGCATCCAGTGCTTTTTAAAAAGACCTGGAAAATGTGTATTTAACCAAATAAAAATGCATCCAGTGCCTTTTAAAAAGACCTGGAAAATGTGTATTGAGTTGGAAAATATTTCAACAAGCAGCACGTGAACACAACATTAATCCTTCACGTTTGTTGTCGTCATGGCGCGGCCGTTGAAACTGTTGCCGGAAAACACGATATACATTTAAAAGAAGTACTTTGTCGTACAATTACAGAAATTGCCTGGGAGGTTTTACCTAATCTCTTATATTTATAAGGAAATATCATTGATGCTGTGTTTGTTTATACGCCATTATTTTGGACAGTTTGTTAGCTTAGTTATGCTCAATTGCTAATCGGCAACTAGTGTATCTAGGGTTTAATGTTAAGTTATCGTTTGTCTGGGCCATGTGAAAGTAGTTTAATGATGTTGTGAGTATGTACGCATACCTGTCACACAAAGGAATGTTTCTTTTTTTTCTTCTTTTTCTTTTTTGTATTTTGTAACTGGTCTATTTTTTGATTTGCCGTAAATTGAATTCTTTAACACCACAATGGCCAAACACCATGGTAACAAAAACAAGGTAAGGAACAGCGTCAGTGAAAGCAATTTAAAGATTATTTAAATAACTCAATTATCTTATTATACGTCCTTAGCCCTGTCCACATGATTACATGATAAAAAGGAGTTAACGTTTTCAAACCCTTAATGTGTATGACCTTCTCATTATGCCATAGCATAAGCTCTAACTTATGTTAATGCTTAAATCTTTGATTTAAAGTCAAAACAGTCTTTTCTGTAACAATATACAGTGGTTGGGTTTTGGTACTGGCAGCTGTAAAAGCACCAGGAAAGAAACAAAAATTGTTATTATTTTTCTTCAAATGTAGAGTAATAAAGACTGCCATTAGAGTTATGGTTATAGAGGTTGCAGTTATATGGTCATCTTCTAAATGTTCACCTTCAATTAAGATTGAAATATTCTTGACCAGCCTGTACAAAGCCTTGACTCAAGTCCCATACAAATCTGCAATTTCAACATAAGGAAAAGCAAAAGTGGTTCTCAAAATGTAGCCAGGGATACTCTGGAAGGCTTGTCTAATGTACGCCATGACACAGCAGTCTGTTATCCTTCTGTGAAATTATATCACAAATTTTCACATTTTGGATTGGAAGGTGTCAAAATACAATTACATTTTGGATTGGAAGGTGTCAAAATACTTATTTTGATAAAAGTCCTCTAAATAGTCTAAATAATATGTTTGGTATACCTTAGAGAGATTGCAGTTTTCTTAACAGCATTTCATTTTCTCATCAACTGTCCACAGATATTGTTCAGTGGAGGTGTCTCTTTGAATACCAGCAACTATGCCACCCACACCCACCCAACAGCCCCCATTGTAATTGAGAGGCTGCTTCTGCCACTGGCACCGTCAGAGCAGCACGAAGACTCTGACAGTATCAAGAGCTTCATAAACTTCACTGCTCTCTCTGAAAAGAGATTGCTAGCAGCAGTTAAACTCGCCAAAAGAGACCTGAGACTACGGAGCGTTGAGATGATATCCACTACTGAAACATCACCAGAGGCCGTGGTATTTGGAAAAAGTGATGCAGAGTTGCTTCAGGTTATTTAAACTTCTTCCCAACATTTTCACTCAGAGCCATCTTTTAGTGTGTAATCAGTGACATGATGGACATTTCTCTGCAGGAAGATGCAGATCCTTCAAAAGACAATTTAAGGACCAGCTGTCCTAGAGAAGAATTTGTCCATCCTGCTCAGCAAATATCCCAGAAACAGCTTCACAACTGTGCATCGTGTAGGTTAGAGTCACCAGCTGGAGTCCCTGGTCCAAAACTGCAAGACAGAAGCAATCGAGATCCTCTAACCCAGGAAATGAACAAACTCCATTGTCAGATGGATGTTTATATTCATGCTGTCGAAGATCTGTTGAAAAGAGGTAAATAATATGTTAACATGAGTTTCTTGTTCTTGGTGGAACTTTGTATGTAACATTTTAATGTGCGATTGATTGCTAGACTTTAAAATCACAGGAAGGGAATCACTGGAACCTGATGAAAAACACAGGTTGAACGTCAGAAGACAACAGCAGGGAGCTCGCCTTTCTCGAGTCATCTATGGCCTACAGCTACAGGTATTTAGATGTAAGACACATTCTGACAACTGTACACATTCTGAAACTCAGCTGCATTGCTAAAACAAATACTGTTGTGTACAACTGTTCGTGAAAAGATTAAACAGATACAACAGGATGCAGAGAGACTCAAGAGTCTGAAGCTTTGGGACATGAAAAAGGTAGGTCATTATTTATTTATTTTTGTATTTGTGTTTTAAGATATTTTAGTTCTAGCACTGCACTGGCATTAGTCATTAAGTCAATTAATATTCAAGAGTTTCGGTGTATAATTGTAAATGTACTTGATTTGTCACATCACTTGTAATCAGGTTCAATCATGAACCTGATTACAGAAAGGTGAGCCAATTAAAGTTCTTGGATTAAAGCTTAATTTTAATAATTTATCTTTCATTATTTTGCAGCTCACTTTGTCTTGTTTCCAGTAGTACTTTATTTACTCCCATAGACACTGATACACCATATTTTACACACACATCTTTAGGCCATATGACTCTGTCACAGCTCATGTGGGTGTTCCTGATCAACAGTGTTTGATATTAATCAAAGTTGAAACTATAAATGGTCACTTATTAAACAGCTGTTGTTTTCTTGGGACATATGTCCACTGAAATGTGAGATTTAAAACACGTTTTCAGGATAAGTTCATGTACTCTATCCTCTTAAAACATTTCAATTCAATGTATTTATTTGGTAGAACACATCTCTAGAACAAAAAGAAGTTCTACCAATCTCTCCATAAATCCCTGTGACTTTCTATCTCACAGAGATTTATGCATTGGAACCTTTTTGTCGTGTAAAATGTTACTAATAATACATTTTAAATGTTCAAATACCTCTTTTTTAGTCCCCCGTGATTAAAAGGCTTGCAGCCAGCCACCGTGGTGCCATAAGGGTCTTTCAGGAGGTCATCCACCAGCTTTCAGATCCACACCTGGACCAGATGCCACCTTGTTACCAAGAGCTGGGCCAGCTAATTCATAAGCTTGCTCTCTGTTCCACTCTTGTTGGTATGACCGAGGGTTCTGCTGTTGCTGAGATGGCCTTTAACATCATGCTGAAACTGGAGGTGAATATTTTCTCAAGAAGTGAAGATGCACACTGCATGACCTACACTGGGCTCAGGGTCGGAAACACAGCAGTCACATTTTATTTGCAATTTATTGATTATAACTGTAAACTGTTTTTGTAAATATCAGTTATAAATTTAAACATAAATTAATCTTAGAAATTACTAAATGTATATAATGTGTATATAATGAAGAGGACAGGTAGGGTGTGTAGTTTTGAAATCCCTGGGGAATATTATCATTTTCTTTCCATGTGCAAAACTTAACACCTAGATCCTTTCCAACCGATGGCAAAACACAAGAAATTTTATAAAATCTTACCTGTAGCTTTTAGATATGAACATTGTAATGCTGTCATTAACACATTTGCTGCTTCTTTAAGGAATATATGTTTGGTTTTTGTTTTTGTTTTTCTTTAGACTTTTGAGTTGGTCCTGTGTAAATTAAAGACATCTGAACAAGCACAGGTCCAAACATGTTCTCCTCAGAGAAAGTCTCCTCCACGCAGCACGACCCAAACTACTGTCCTCAAGGGTTCCAACAGGTCTCATATTCAAGGTCCTCGTAAACCTGCAAATCCCAAAAGGGGTGTCCGTGGTAAGTAATTTATTTGCTTGGTATATCCATCCTTCATTAGTATATCTTGATCCGTTGACAATCAACTTCTCTTGCAGTAGCTACTTTACACAAATATGTTCAGGTCAAAGAGGTTTATGTCTTTCCTTACTGTTAGTCTCACTTTTAACTCAATAGGTTCGAAGCACATTTCAGGGATGCAACATAACAGAAGTTTAAAATGAACTGAAACAAGCCCACACGTCAGAACATATAGTCCACATTTGTAATAGTATGACAGAAATGGATATAAATTAAAGGAGCATGCTCAGTGATAAAGAGGTGTAAAAACTGTAAAGCTCTAGCCCTTCATCTCCTATCGGTCCTTGACTCCCGCTGTTTGTGATGGGACTAAGAGTCACGTTGTGTGTAAATAATGACAAAAGTACATCCAGAGATGAGGTCCTTCTGGACACAGGCACCTTAGCTTGATTACTTATTTCCCAGAGCTACTTATCTTCCTGTCCTGAGAGACAACAGAAGCTGTTGAGAGTGCTCGCTAATTGGCTTAATTGTTTGGTGTTGGTTTATTTCTGTGAAGCGTTTATCCTGTCACATTAATCTGTATTTAGCTAGGTAGAAAGAAACCAGGCTGAATGTTGATTAGTTGTCAAGATACAACTGCGTTTTCAGTGCATCATGAACAAAATCCCCTCTAATGCAAAACTGGCCAAGAAACATCCAAAAAAAGTCCAAACCCTTTTAATGTTTCCAGAGCCTAAGCTGAGCTCCACTGAACCCCAGCCAGGCTCAGTGGAGAAGGGTCCACTGACGTGGTCTTAGTTCTTTTCAGGGTCTAGTTTTAGCCTACGAAGACTCTACCAAGAGCCTAGTGGCAGAGACAAACTACGGGTCAAAGTAGGGGTTGGATGTTGATCAGTACTGGCTCTGAATGGGTTTAAATAGAGTCTAGGCAGCTGCTGTACTCTCTCATAGACATTTCCATATTTACTCTCTTCCAGATGGCTAAGTTAAAGTAACAAGAGTTAGTTGTTATTTCATTTCCTTACCACCAGAGGACGTTGAGACTGAAATACCACTCGCAGCACACACCTATTAACTTGCCTTTGCACGTGGCCCAGCAGTACAAAAAATGTATTTTTTAAAGATTAGAAGATTACAAGCTAAAAATAGATTTAAAAAAAGTAATGTACTGTAAATGTGTCTTTTGTTTTTATTCAGCCAATTTAGCTGACTCAGCCAGCAAACCACTTTACTGTCCCTCTCCTGTAACATGTGCAGGTTGGAGAGCGACCTCACAGAAACCAAAAACTGATCCTCGTCATCCTTCACACAGAGAAGCGTCTCGGAGAGTCCTGAAAAAGAACGATGTCCCAAACAAGGTGTGGCTATGAGTTCCTTAAAAAGCATTTCATGACCCAGTGTGTATTCTACCTAATGTTGTATATTTATACAGCATAATCTTTCACAAGATGAAGGCGTCCAGCAGCCACCAGTCGCTGATCCTCCATCACAGAGGTTAGTCTGACTATTTGTCCTTCCTAAATTATACCATCACAGTTCATGAAATATGGCATTAGTGAGTGATTGTAGCAGGAGTCGGTACCGGTGTGTGTCATTTTAGATTTTACTTAAAATCTACCATCTTGGTTGGACAGATTAATTTAAAAAAACAAAACAGTGATGATTGTGCAGTATTTTTACCATTTGAAAATTCAATTTTTGTAGAGCTCAACTATTCATAGAAACAGTGAATGCTGCTTAAAGCATAATACTTTTTTTGCAAATAACTACTGCAATGTAATTTTTAAGAGCACATGAAACACCTCATCCAAGAAGAGTCTGCTCTTTACCACAGGAACTCTTGTTTCTTTTTGGACATAAAAGAAAAAGGACTGTGATCAAGTTAACCGTAAATCATAATAGTTACTCTTAATGACGAAACTTTTATAGTTGGAGATGTATCTTAATCACATCTCCTGGCTTAAGTTGGATTTTTTCCTCCTTTGTTTCTGATTATGTTGCAGGAAATCTTCTCAAAGAGGACAGGCAGAACATCGCTGTCTCCTCCCTTCAACTACCCCCACAAACCTGAATAAAGCTGGTGAAATTAGAGCAGAGTCAAACATAGATTTTGAAAAAGAGAACCAAGCTGAGGAAGTAGCAAAAAGGTAAGTCCTGCTTACTACTTTAACTTAACTTAAAATGTTATTTTCCTTTTCCTTTGTGTTTGTTGTGGGTTTGCTTCCTTAACTTATTGAAGTTTCATACCTTCTTATAACTTAAATAAGAAGGTATATCTTATTAAACAGTACTCTAATTGAAATTTAAGTATGAAGAATCAAGACAGTTTATTTGTCTTGTATCATTGACAACAGAAAATGACAGTGGAATGAAAACTTAATGAAACCTAATAACCTAATAAATCTAAAACTAATAAAAGGTTCAAATGAAATGAAACGAAACCGAACTATAATGGGAAATCCAAAACTATTCTAACCCTGCCAAGTTTGTCTTCTAAGAGATTTGTTTTGGTTCTGCAATATACAGGAGGGAAGTTCTATCACCAAGTCTGTGGGCGGCACAGGATGAGCTGGAGGAAAGAACTCAGCCACTGTTCAGTAAAGCACAGGTAGCAACATGCAGAACATCTACTCAAACTCGAACATAGCATACAACCACAGATTTGAACTGTTTGGGAGAAAAGTTGTATTTGTCTTGTTAATGCCCTTGCAGTGGCAAATAGCTTTGGTTTATATTTAATTTGATTGCATTAGTTTTTAAGTTGAAAACATTTCTCTACTACTGTTTGAAGGTAAATACTACTCTCATACAGCACCTTATTTGTTTCAGGTGTTTGCACCTGCCAACAAATGTACAAACCAATCTACTTACCAACAATAGTGGAAATGACATACTGTGCAATGTTTTGGCAGGTGGCTACTAGAGTTATTATATAAAACATTTTTCAGCCATTTTGGGTAGAAAGAAAAAGAAGAGAAAGCATCAACAGGTCATGTCATTGTACATACTGTGTACAGACACGTGTTTCTCAGCACATTCATCAAACACCTACCTCACACCCAATCTTTCAACAGAAATATTTGTATGCCTACACTCCAAGCATTTAATCATTGTTGCCTATCTGTTGCCCTTGGAGATGTGGCAGCCCTGAGACCAATCAGTAGGTGATTGTATTTCTGTCCTGTTTTATGTCTTCATTTTTCTTCCACAGTCGACTGAAACAGTTGAGCAGCTGATTGAAAATCAGCGTAAGGATGCTATAACTGAGACAGATGTACTCTCAGAAGACCAATACAGACTTCAAGCACATACCCTTGAGAGTATGCTGCTTCGCATGGAACAGATACAGGTGAGCTTCGCTGTACAGGATAATATAGGAAAAAAAAGACCATAAAGGAACTGAAAAGGTCAACACACACATCAGTTTATTTATGGGTTGTTTTTTTTTACACTTGATTAGTTAATGCTTACAGATATTTTTAACTTCTGTAATAGAGATTTTTTTTTGATGAAATACCCTTTGTGTGTGTGTGTGTGTGAGAGTAGAAGGATCAGGAGGAAGTGAGGATGCGTTTCACTTCAATCACTTACTCCGACTCTCTTTACTGGGACCAATCAAGAAGACAGGGTAAGACAAATATATCTATAAAATTCATTAACAGGGCGTCTCCCCACACTCCTCCTAACTACTGGGAGTTATTTTTGTTTTATTTTACTCACTATATGCACAGTCAGTCATGCAAACATTACACATTACAGGACCTCATAAGCATTGGACTTACATGGCGTACAAGCAGACGTAGCCCTGAGCCGGGGCTCCGTGTTGTCATGATGATGTCAGTTTAAACCTAGGAGCAAAAACATAGAGAATCGGGTCAGGAAAGTACAATAGGAATGTGCAATGTCCTAAAAGGTCATCTATAGATGTGAGGAGGAGGCACAGGAGCTGTGGTGGAGAAGCTGAGAATCTGAGTGGATGATGACGGGGCAAAAATCCAGAAGATGATGCCGAGCAGGCAGTGGATGAGACGAGGAGGAATGAAGAAATGGTTTACGTGAGACTCAGTGAGCGGGAAGCAACCACGAGAACTTCACTAAGAACTTCACTAAGCATGTAGGCTTAGGTATCGGATTGGACGGGCTTTACTTTTTTCTTTGATATTCGATCCGGACATTTTGACCAGTAACCAATCGAGCCATACCTACTCTAAACAAACGTAATACTGTTATAACGAAAAAGGTCTAAACAAACGTAATACTGTTATAACGTTCATAATCTGTGACTACATTTAAGGAGACACATTTTTCTATATTTATCTCTATATCAGTGAGAGACAGTGGTCCAGCTAATGACATTACATCATTCCTCGTCATTCTAAATGTATGTCCTACTTGTCCAGTTCCATTCATCTATCTGCCTGTCTCCTCTGTCCTCCACCCTTTTCTTCTTCTTCTTTCCTCAGGAACCCAATGCTTCATGAGAGCCTCAAGGCCAACTTCTCCTCAACCGATTAGACTCACCAGGCCAGTGCTGAAACAAACCTCTGTAGCTGAGATTGACCTGAAAAACCCTGTGGACGCCAAGTGAGTCATCTTGTTTTTCTTCCTGGGTTATTTATATTGGGTAAAGAAAACAATGCTGGTGCTCTACTTGAATGTCAACAGGTAAATGTCAGTGTTGGCCAAATTTAGCTGCTTATGTTTTTGGCTGCTTCACTGCTTGAATAAATTTATATTATGGGAAATACAGAAATCACAAAGACCAGTGTTTGCACAGGGTCAGAATTTCATAAAAGGATCCCACAGTAATCTGGTTAGAGTCTTTGTCTAAGGTTCATCTTTATGTGTTTTTTATTGTTATTGTTCTTTTTGTCTGTTCAAACCTCTGTTTATCTTATATCTGTCTGCTCAATTGATCTGAAACTATAAAACAAGACAAAAACAGAGACTACACAGATTTTTTTCCAGACCCTCAAACAATGTGTCTTCTTTCTATAATAGTGGATGGGATTAGTGGGCCACATGGAGAAAGAGCACTTAAGTGTTACATAAGAGCAACAAGATCACCAGCTCACTGGTTTACTTTGACCAGATTGGTTTGTGATCAACCTTAAGTGTTCATCCTGTGTCAAGTATTTGGCCGGTAAGAGAAAGACGGAGATATAGAAATATTGCTCAGCAGGCTTTGATTTTTTTTTTTATTGAATTTGATTTCCGTGGTCAGCTGATAAAACTGGAGCGGGTGACTCAGCTATAACAAATAAAGGATGCAGTGGCTGCCTTGACGTTGACCCACTTATTTTAGCCCTTGCCACGTTGCTGTATTAGCCACAGCAGAAATATGTGTCTTTGTGTAAGCACGGAGACACAACATGTTGCAGAGTTAAAAATATAACAAGCCTCTCTCAAGGAAATTGCTTTGTGCTGCGTCTAGAGACAGGTGATCATATTGATAAGATCACTTTCTGTGAACAGTTGGAAAAACAATAAGAGAAAAGGAAAGGCACATGGGTAAATGTGGAATTTTAATCTGATTATCTTCACAAACTAATTACCACATTTAACACATTAATTTAGACAGACCAAATATATAAATTAGCTAAGTGGAGAAGAGCTCTGCAACTTCATGCCTTTTTTTAAATTTACATTTAAAATCAGTCGGACTTCTCTACAGCTGTAGCCTTGAAAAGCTATGTAGCCATATAGCCTGCTCCTATTGAACAAAAAGGTGAAGTTGATGAAAATATGTCCCAGAATTCAACTTGTGTCTTGTATTTCCATCCCTACAGTTTTCAGTCTGAAAACAGCCTCACAGAACAGCAGCAGAAGCAGAAAACAATCACAGCATTCCCAGGCCCCGAAGAGAATGTTAGGGGAACATCAATCTCCATACCACATGACATGCTGGAAAACATTAGGCGTTACCAGCAGGATTACAGTACCTACCTGCAGGTTGTAGCTCATAAGGGCGTTGGCTTCTTCAATCCCTGGGCCACTGCTGACAGGTAGGGGATAAAGAATTGAGATCATTGTTTTTGTTTTAATGTGACTAATCACAGGATTTGCAAAGTATTCATTGCTCATCAACTTGTGCTGTAGATCGTTTTTACAGTCAGGAGACATACAGTCTAACGTCCAACTTGTGCTGTAGATCGATACAGTCAGGAGACATACAGTCTAACGTTTGTTTTATCTCCATTCTCTCTCAGCCTGGCAGAGGAAATTTTCTCAGAGGCTCTGGCAGACGTAACAACAGAGTTTCAGAACGTCATGGAGAGCTATGCTGAGGCCGTCTACACCTCAGAGTTTCTCCAGCCCATCCAGCTGCTTCGTCCTCCAGCTTCAGAAACTGCTGCTGCTGCTGTGGTCAGCCAGTAGCCAGCTAAAAGGCTCCACTTTATATTTAATTTAGCTACATGTCTTTTTTTTTGTTGATCAGTAATCATCCTTTATTTATTTCAGAAGATTCATACTAGAATCAAATACGCAGGATTTGTCTGACTTTCCACCAGAATGATTTCCTATTGGATCATGTCTTTGACTCATTGTCTTTTTTTTCTTCTGAAATTTTGAAAATAAAACAATTTAAAGACATAATAGAAGAGTCTGGAGAGAAGGATCTGTACACTTTAGTCAGTATCTGAAGGATCCAAACAATGTTTCAAATTGCCACTCCCACGTTCCAATTTGCCTTGGAAGGTTCACTACCCTTCACTGACCATGTGTGGTCATTGGTCAATCATAATTTGGACCAAATGTCTCACTGATATTTCAGCCCTGCTCTCAGCTGCCCTTGGTTAAAGTGTTTACCGCGGGGCATTTATGGAAATGTCGTAAAGCGGTCAATAACAATCGAATCGGTCAACAGAGATAAGACACCAGTGCAGTTAGGCACGAGTGCACAGACACATGGTTACCATGATGCACATATGCGACATTTTGCCCTTCTTTTACCTGTTGCCCATGGCACCCACATAAATGTGTCTGTGATTATGACGGAGACTGTGGATTAAACCAAAATAGATAAACGACAAGCGGGTGTGGAAAGAAGGGGCACGGGGGCATGACATGTGCGAGCGAGTCTGCAGCTCCGCTCATTTCCCAAACAACGCGACGTGCGTGCACGGAGTTGACGCAGGTGAATGAAGCTGGAGATCACAGTCCGTCATAGTCCACCGAGACAAGGAATCACTGCAGTTACTGCTCTTCCAGGCGACGGCAGCGGCAGACGCGGTAGCAGCAGCGGCAGACGCGGCAGCAGTTGTCGCGCATCCCGTCCACACACACAGGATACACAGGACACAGAACGACATGTCAAGGCAGATCAGACGCAGAGGTGAGTGGAAGCACCGTGATTCCGTGTGTTGTCTCAGGGCTAACAGAGGCGCGTGCGTGAGTTAGTGTACGTGACGACGCGTGCGTGTGGTGGGCGCGAAGGGTTCCAAACGAAATTGATGCGCACGTTTTTGATTCCAACTCATACTGACCGTATTCGTTAGACTAGCCTCATCGATAGACTTCAGGGCTCCAACCTGAGCACCTCAGTCGAGGTAACAGTGATCGACAGTGACGTGCACGGACGCGGTGTGAGTCTCCAATAATTTCAGCCATAAGACATTTTTGCACATCTCTCACTGATTATTTATAGCAACAACATAAAGCAATATTTTCTGCCCGAGCTGACTTCAACACCACAGTCAGACCGGAGTTGTTGAGGGAAATGTCACTGTTATCATTGAACATGCCCTTGAAGTTCTACGACTGCAAGCTTAAATATTCTGTGAATGATCAGATCTGCCTTTTTTCCTACAGCACCTTGGCATCCACAACCCCCCAAGTCCTGCAACATGTTGATGCAGCACGGTCATATTGGACCATTAGACCACCACAAATATACAAAATATAGCTACAGGTCATTTGAAATAATAATAATAATAATAATAGTGTAAATACAATAAATTACAAGGTAAAGCTCAAAACTGGCTTGAACACAAAAACAAACAAAAACCCTTGTACCATGTTGGTGTCGTCCACTAGCTCCATGTGTGCCACATAAGACCCCGTGCCCTCACCTTTACTACCTCTCCTTCCAGCTTCACCTTCTCCAGGTGAAAACTCTGATTTACACACGTGTATTCTGTCTTGTTTACACTGATTTCCATTTCTCACCTCTCTAGTCATGACCTCCACTTTTCCAGGGTCTCATTTGCTGCCCCCCCCCCCCTCCACGCCCCCCATAACAGATTGCAGCATCATCTGTGAACGTCATGGTTAACAGATCTTCCCAACCTCGTCTGCCGACCTGTTCATCCCGATGGTGATCAGACGAATTAGCTCTGAGCTCTGGGTTTCTCCGACTCCACCTCTTACCACATTTAATTGCTCTCATACATCCACATTTTCCAAATTTCCAAGTCATTGATTCATTTTTGGTGCTATTTTGGGCTCATTAATGCATAAAGGATGAAAATTAATTTGCTGTAAACACAAGTAAATGGCCAGAAAGATAGATCTCTTTTTGCAGCTCCCTATTAAAATAACCATTTCTGAAGAGTGCAGAGTCAGTAGCTCCTGTGAGAAATAGAGATAACAGGATAATTATCTTCCGTGTGCTGTAAGGCTCTCCTTTTGCTTGATTTCATTGTCTGCCTCGGTTGGAGTGTGATAATAAAGGTGGGGAAAAAACCTACAAAACAAACTCCTGCACTTGTTGAAATGCGTAGGTTTAAATGTGTTAACTAAAAAGTGTAAAAACATGTGAGATTCAAGAGTCATGGGTTTGTTCTATACACGGCTGTATATTAGGGCTGTAATCTCCCAGCGGACCGGTCGATTTATTGGTCGATACATTCTGGTTTCTGATTGGTTAACTTTTTTCTTCTTCTTTTTTTACATCAGGAGGAAAGTACGAAGTGCTAATTGAAAAACGTTTTGGAAAGGCTAGTTTGCTAAATAATGATTCAATTTTGAGCGTTTCATTTTAACCAGTCCTCGTCTACCATGTCAAAGACATCCACAGTGTGGCAGCATTTTACAAAAATAGATAACGGGAAAAAAGTCGAATGAAAAGTTTAAACGCAACATTAGCATATCACAGGTCGAATCCAAACATGGCAAACGGTAAGCTAACATGTCTGTGTTAGGTTGCTCCGTCAGTTTTGGCTATCTGAATGTATCTGTATCTGTCTTAAACTTTAAACGTGTATACATGGTATACACATTTACCATACTGTATACACCATTTTTCTTATCTTTTTCTAGTATTTAATGCTAAGAAATAATAGTAGATTTTTTGACATTTTATCCAGTATATTTATGTATCCTCATTTGTGGCTGTTGTATAATGTGGAGGTTATACATCTTAACCTCAAGAAATATATTTTTTTGAAACCTAAGATTGATGACATTTTGAATACATTTTTACCCTGTCTTGATGTGCAGGTTCACAAAAGCACGATGCCTCTCGATGGTATCTTCAGAACATAGCACAGGAGTCTGTCGACAGCTCTGATGACGAGTTCTTCGATGCTCGAGGTTAGTGGTGCATTTGCATTTCTCTTTATTTTTGTTCCCTCACAGTGGCTTGTCATCCCAAGGCATTGATATAGAGATGAAGAAAACTGAAGAAAAAGTGAGAGATGGAGAAAGAGAACAGAAGATGAAGCAGGAGTGTTCTAGACACAGTGACGGTGGACAGAGAAATGAACATACAGAGTGACTGAGTATAACCCAAAGTCACCAACACATTTTACCTGCTCTGACGTGGTATGAGGTAAATTAAATTCTCCCCAGATTACTGTGTGTTATTGTAGAAAACCAAATTAAGTCACAGTGGGAAAACCCTAACCCACTGATACTCCCTGTCTGTTTTTTATGTTCCTCTTTCACATTCTTGTTGATGCTCTGTCTTTCTCGTGTTAAAACGTCTCCCTGCATCTGTGAGGCGTCTTTTTAACAAGAGCAGCATAACATCAGTGTCATGTAGAGCCTGTGTTAACTGTGTTTGCTGAAGGGTGAGGAGCTGCTCCAGCTCTGATGATGTCATCAGTGTCTCTGCCTGCCTGCAGTCCTCTTCTACAGGAGAGGACAGGGTCCAGGAAGGCAGTGTCAGTGCGGTTGGGTGTGTTGTGGCGTTGCCTGTAGCTAGGGTTGTTTTTCATGGAGTAGACTGGTCTGTAGCAGTGTTCTGACAGTGAACAAGGGTATTTGGTCTGTGAGTATTTTGTCCAACATCCTTGTTGTTCCATTGTCTGTGCAGAATCTGACAGCACAGTGAAGGTGTGGGTCTGGATGTTCAAAGAGATCCTACACGGTTTCCTCAAAGCAGTCCTGTAAAGACAGTCTACCACGGAACTGTCCTATAAGCTGCTACCAGAAAGATGAGAAGATGGTCTGAAATCTGAGATGGAAGTAGGGTCGGCTTTCTAGGCTCTCGGAATCCTCTGGAGAGGATGGTCTAAATGGTCTGGAGGGATAACCATTGTTTATTCAGTTGAGTTAAGCTGCACAATATTAGGCCATGGGAAATATATTTATAAGCCAAATTCTTTCTTATCCTGTGATAGGGCCGTGCTTTGTTATGTTACTGATGGTCGTGGTCTCTGAGGTTTACTTAGATCAGTGTTTAAAGAAGCTTCAGCCTGACACACCCAAACACTGAACAGGCTAGTTCTCCTGTCTTAGTAGGTCAGGTGTCTTAACAGCTGGTTTTAATTCATCGTTCTAACTTTATATGGACAACATTTGTAAAGTTAGGTCTTAAAACGAGACAAGAAAAGTCGTTGATAAGAGTGTACGCCATATTTGGTGAAGGAGTTGAGGATTTTGGTGTAAGGCGGCCACTTTGGTCAGTATTGGTCACTTACACAGTGGACCACATTGTTTTCCTGTTGTTGCAGACAACAACAACAACGCTAACACCTCAGTGTGGCCTGGTGTATGTCACTGTTTTTGTTTGTACTGTGGTGAAATTGTATAATTTCCATGTGAGAGCAATTACTATGCAAATGTGTGAGAGCTGGTGTGGTGGGTGGGCGTTTCAGATGATGTGAGCACAGCAATTAACTCCAGGCACTGTAGCTTATTATTGAAACTCACTGCAGTGGCATAAATGCAGACACTGTATTTCTCCTGTGTGTATAGTGGTACTGCAGTTACTTGTTGGTAGTTACACACACAGTTGCACATACTCTTACTAGTTCCAGGTCCTAATCCAGGACTCCAGGGATGGTAGGGGCTGTGGCAGGGTGTTGGCTACGTGGGCTTAGATGGGAGAACAGATGGATGGATAACAAGAAAGGAAGGAAGAAAGCAACATGCAACAAACTCACTAACTAACTTTATTAATTCCTTGGGAGTTCCTGTTGGGAAATTAAGGAGTTTCAGAGAACTGATGAAAAACGTATGAATTTTTTTGTTATCCCTGTGTTACAATTAAGACTATTCTATTCTAATTTATTTTTTCCATCAACGACAGCAGTCTGTCCCAGCCCTGAGACAGCCCCAAACCATGATGCCCCCTGCGTCATATTTCACAGTTGGGATGAGGTTTTGATGTTGGGGTTCTGTGCCTTTTTATTTACTGCTAATTAATTTACAAGTGGGGAAACTTATAAATTCAACAGGGGCTCAAATTCAATTATTTCCCCCACTATTCGTACAACTAACAACCATTTTCCTCCTGGCTGCTGAGGTGAGTACCAACATTATTCTTTGTCACACTGTTTAATAATGCAAGCACTGAATATAACCAACACTGTGAATAAACTCTTTCCACCAACGTTCTCTGAGGAGCCATTATTTACAAGATCTGGGTTGTGATCGGATTATGGCTGAGCAGGTGACGTGTTGTACTAGAAGTACTTCTAACTGTAGCCTTTACTCTTGTGTGTTGAGTGTTAATCACTGGGGTGTTTGACGGATGGGTTTAATCCCAAGGTCAGATTTCATTATGTGTGGCCAGATGTACAACACCAGTAAATCTTCTCAACTTCACGTTGAGAATGAAAAAAAAAAAAAAACACAGATAATAATCAAGGACCGTTCCACGGTCTCTAAGAGGATCAGCAGGATTGCTCTTTGTTTCTACTGCATATAATGAGAACAGAAACTTCAGTTCTGGAACTTTGTTGGTGTCTATTCCTAATAACCCTCAGGTCTTTCTGAGAAGCTCATTTTTTTTCTCTGTTAAACCACCTGTCTGTTCTACAGCTGCTGATTTCAGCCACTCCGTCTTTCTGCTTGGTTAACGTTTCTGTAATGACTGTAATCAGCTGCTTTGTTGTTTGACTTGTAAACAGTCAAGAGTTGCTGCACCTGCTTCATGACATCTGCTGTTAAAAAGTGTCATTTCTATTTGGAAAATGACAGAAAAAAGAAGTGGTGGGACTAGTTAGATGGTGAGCCATTTTGTAATAACTTTCACTTTTCTTTAATAGGTCACAGGTGTATAAAATGTATTGTACCTGTCTTGGTAAACAGAATATAAAAATGTTTTTTTTTCCTGTTAAATAAGCAAGCTGTAAATATGTTATATGTTATACAACATATCTTTAATTCATTAATTTAGTATTACATACAAACAGAAAAAAAAACACATGTAGATGTTGACAGAATTACCTTGAAGTACCATGGACAAATGGATAATTAAGATACAATACAGAATATGATCATTAGTTTGGTGACGTTGTGTTGGCTCACTGTGTTAAAAATGATCTGTTGTGTGTGTGTGTTTGCACATCTGCAGATGTCATTGAGGGTAAGAGTGCTATGCTACTTGGTATGAGTCAGTGGAACTCCAATGACCTGGCGGAGCAGATGGACACTCTGGGACACCTGAAAGACCAGCCTCAAGGTAAGGTTGGCACAACGATGATTTGCATCGTTTCAGAAGACACAGGTTCGACCATCAGTTCACACATTTGAATGTTCTCATTTTTTGAATACGTCATTTCAGTTGTATTCAAACAGTGACGTTGGTTCTGGCAGCCCTAATTTCTACTGTTGAGTTGCTAAGGCGTTAACCCAAATTCTCTCCAAGTGTACTCCTTCTGTCTGGATACAAAAAACAAAACGAATGACTCAACTTCCTTTTTGGTCTTTCTATGAGAAATGGTTCTTGTGTGTGTTAATTCCAAGTGTCCTTATCTGTAGCTGCTTTTCTATCTATACTTCCAGGTCTGCAGCTCTTGCAGGTGTGCTCTGTGAAGACAGAGTATACTTTAGGTGTAAAAGAGAAGTACTGTACAGAGTGAACTATCACTTTAGATAGTGCTTGAAATTGCACAGTCTGGTCTCTGTGCCCTCTCTTTGTTTTGTGGGCAGAGTGGTAGGAAGAAGTGGTAGGTTTAGTGTGCCTTCAAATCTGAAAGGGGTTTAGGGCCAACTCCAGAACCTCCATCTGGATTTCATCTGTTGATGAGCAGCTGCAGCTACATATCAAGGTTAATATTTCCCAACCTTTTCTGTGCATAAAATAAAGGCACCTATATATACATATATGTATATATTTACATATGGGTAGGCCAAGCAGAATGGAGCTATTTCATGTTTTTATTGAACACGTTAATTAGCAGTTGACATGGAGTCTAAAAATAATTACTTGAAACTGTGAAAGAGCAGGACTCATAATGACTAGGTTAGTTCAACTGTACACCTCACACACACACACACACACACCTTTCAGTGGCTTCCTTTTTTTTTTGATTTGTGCCATAGATCTTATTAAATCAGGACAGCAGCAGTGGGACCGGTTTATTTCCAATGCCCAGCTTTGATCTGTATCATCTCTGCCTTTATCTGGGTCAAAGTAGAATATTCCCTGGGCTTCAAAAAATACCCCTGGATTCTGCACTCCCTGTAGCTGTGGCTGTCCGACGGTTGTCTGTCTGTGCAGGCAGGTTGTTTTCTGTGCATGGGGATTAGAGCAAAGTTTAGAAGTGAAGCGTTTCTACTGCGACAAGATTCCACCAATTAGTGGTCATTATTATTGTAATTATTCTGTACTTTATTAATTGTTGTCTGCAACATCAATTTTATCTGTTAACTTTTTTTTTAACTTTTCAATTTTATTTTGGGGGAAAATTAACTTTCACAGATCATTTTTTCTATAAGGAAGCTAACGGGGAAAAAATCAAAAAAGCATTGAGACAAGAAAATACTTAAATAATACATGATCCCATTGTAAACCAGGAGCCAGAACAAAGAGTCATCAGAGTACAAAACAAGAGTATGTTGAAAGCTACAGTTTAGGTAGTTACACTGACACAATGACAAACAAGAAGAATTCAACAGGAAAAGATGGATCAATATTTCATTTTAGTTCTTTGTAAACCTCTTTTTTTTACCTCTTCAACTGCTCACTATATTTCACACCTTTAAAGCACTGGAAATGGCCAAAGGCACTGGATAAACTGCAGTGTGGGCATTGTTTGTCATGAGTAATGGACGTAGGACACAAATGCAGCACTTGGGACAAACAAAGGCCTTTGGTTCGTTTTCTTTCCTTTATTGATCAATCTACACACAGAAACAAAAACAGGATCAGGAACAAAAGAAAAATAAAGTGGCTGGGCTCGGCATCTGAAACACTAAAACGGTGCAGGTACTATAAGAATCCCTGGTTAACACACACAAGCACAGACAAAAGGACAGACAGAGCAGAATGGAACAGAACAGGCAGAAACAAACAGACAGCAGGGAGAGACAGACATGACATTGTTAGCTTCCTTACACTGCACACACACTGGTGTGTTTTTCAGGTTGACACAGAGTAACAATCCAGGTTACAGCAGATCATTACTGTGGACCTCGCCCAAAAATGTTCAAATGAATGTCTCTTGTGTGTTTGCTGAGCTCACTAACGAGGCAGCTACATTATTAGCCACTACAGTATATTAGCATTTGATACTGTTGAACTTTAATCCTTACTTTACGTAGACGACTTAGAGCCAAGCAAATTATATACATTATCTCCCTTTCTTTAATCCTTGAAAAAATGTGATAGTTATTTCTACCTAATGCTAATTTACTATTCCCATTGTTTTTTTGTTTTTTTTTAATAATGAAATGTCTATCATCAAGGGGAATACAAAACAGTAACATGGAGACTAAATGACACGACCTGAGATCAGAGGTCACAGAAATGACAACGTAGAAGAACACAGTTTGACCAAAGGAGGAAAGAGCATCACAGAAGTGAAAGAAATGAATCTCTATAAGATTGTTACACTTCCCCAAGATGTAACATCAACTTTTCAAAGATTTTTTTTAGAAATGTGCAGTTAATTTTTTGATTCTTGTCTAAGTAAGGCTGTGACTAAAAGAAACTTAAAAAAAGAAATTAAAAAAAATGTAATGAGAGACAACTATCAATAGTTTGGATTTGCTGGCAAGGTTTTTCTTTCAGAGAACTTACCACCTCCCTTTTTACCCACTCTGAGATTGTTGCCTTGAATTTCACAGCAATTTGGATGTGTCATCCATCATTACTTTAATGCTGGGTTTCACAGTCCACAGCGTCCACAGTGACTCAGGCCCTGAGGAGAGCAGCTGAGGCCTCAGCGTTTGACATTCATCCAGTTATGACTCTGGTGATGGAGACCACTTAAAAAACTGTTTCATCATCAGTGAGTGGTAGACAGTAAAGAGGATATTGATGGAACTATAACTATAGGTACGTTCCTGGAAACAACGGAAAAACACGTCTGACGTTGAGCGCATCCCGACCAGAAGTTCTTGCCACTTTGAACTTCTAAATGTTATGTTATTAGTTTGTTGTTTGCTCCAAATATCAATTGCCCCTCTCTTTTCTCTCCTTCCCCTTTCATTTCTACTCTTTCTCCTCTGTCATGCAGCGACAGAGAGTCTTTACTGTCTGGCTGGTACGGGCTGTGATCCTCGGAGCAGCATTAGAAGAGAGGATTCTTCAGAGGTGGGTTCAGTGACTGTCACAGAATGGTCAGCTTTGTGCAAAATTCAAAAGTAAAGATTTTAGGTAAAGATAGAAAATATGTTATTATCAGCCAAAGGACAAAGTTGAGAGTCAGACAGTAGTGAGACCTGCTATGATGTATGGTTTAGAGGAGACAGAGATGAAGAGAGGAACAGCTATGAGTAAATCTTTTATTTTCTATTGTTTCTCATTAGTCTTCTACTTTTATCAGTCTCAATTTAATCCCTCGTTTTCCTTTGTTTTGCAGAGAAATTGTAAGACCCATGTACTGCTGCTGGTGGTTCATGGGGGGAACATCTTGGACACTGCAGGTGGAGATCACTGCACAAAGGCAGCTGATGTAGCCAATCTGGCCCTGATGATGGAGAAGGTTACCAGGGCTCATTTCCAAACAGCAGCAGAACACGTGATGATCAAGCTGGTGCCGTGTCCAGCTGTGTGCACTGACGCTTTCTTTTTGGTGTCTCAGTGAGTGGCATTTTCACAGTGTTCTTACCTGATACGTTTAAATGTTCACCAACCTGTTTTAGATCAACATCCTCAGGTGGGGTTTATTTAGCACAGTGACAGCCACCTGTCTGTCACAGCACAACTGTTGCAGTGGTAGTTAGTCTTCCCCAGTGGAGGAGGTGAGCAGATCATACTGAGGCTCATTACCATTTAGGATAAAAGCAGAGAAACTGGCCATTCAGACCAGGTTCTGTTAAACACGGTGTTTACAGAGTGCCTCTGTGTTCAGTCCTGCCGTTTTTTTATGCCCAAACCTCTTACTAGCCTTGACAATAACACACTATTTAGATCGCAACCACATTTGTTTGCATAAATTTGCACAACATTACCCTACTATTGCTTTCATTCCTCGCTGCATCTGAATATGCAGACACAACGACCAGGGCCTAGACACACCACTTGGATCCATGTAGAAATCAGGACACCAAACTATGTGCTTACGTGCACAGCAGTTTTATATTTTTTAAATATAAAATATTTATTTTTTAATATTTTTTTGTTTGTTTTCTGACGTCTAAAATATATTTTAGTAACATCTTTAATGATGTAACCATGGATGTAACCACGGCAACAATAAAGGTGAAGAAGTTTTGCCTTTAAAAATCTCACGGCACAAATATCTAGTAGTGTTTTCTCTTGGTGTGTATGTGCAGTAACATAGCATATAAGTAGCTCCGCCCGTACTGCAACTTTGACCTTGTCAAAGATCTGCTTTTCGTGTGCTCAACACCAGACAGCTATCATGTCCTGCCATAGAGCTAAGCACAGCTGGATATTGAGCACAGGGTTGAATGAACATGAGCTATGTTACCCTGTAGAAGTGAGTGTCATCACTAACCATACCAGTGAGGCTCGACTAACCACTGGGAAACATCCAGGATCATTCATGGCTGTTGAGTTTCCTCTGAAGCTTCTTCTTGTCCTGTTCCTGACTCGTTTATTTATGATTGGCCTGCAGCTTGTTGCCCAGTATCCTGTCAGGTTAACTATTCCTGCCAGAATTGCATACAGTACCTTACTGCACGTGCACACACAAGACAACCACTCAATTGTGCCTGTCCCTGCAGTACACTTTCAGCGCTAAAATGTTGCCATAGTTACGTCCCCAGGTCTACCCCATGTGGATAAGGTGGCAAAGCTCACTGTGGCTCCTTACCTAAGAGTACTGCCCTTTCATTTTCCAGGCCAGTGCCAGTCCACTCAACCCTTTGTTTTCCTCCAACCAAAGCATGTTATTCACATTTCAATTGGACATCAAGGAACCAGATTAATTTGCATATTAAACATGATGTAGCGTTTTTCTTGCGTGCTGAGACTGATGTGAAACTGGTCATGAACTGCACATTCAGTCTTAGGTTTCTCTGAAGAACTTCCTGCAAAGTGAACACTACATCAGTTCATATTGGTTTATCCTTATAGTCTTGGGCGAAACATACATAATGTTGCTTTACGGTGAATCTAAAGAAGACGATGACTGTTGTTTAACTCCATGTTCAGTATTGAGTTTCTGCTTTGACAGTCACTCAGATGTGGGGCCCTTGTTGTGCTGAAGTCCTTGTTGAGCTCAGATGTGGAGCCCTTGTTGTGCTGAAGTCCTTGTTGATATATTACAGCCTGTGTTCAGCGTTGCTGGCTTCCTTTGTGTCATCACTGCACTGATAGATAGTGACAGTGTCCCTACTGTAGTGAGAGACAAGAGAAAGTTTCTTTCTAACATTAACACTCACACACTGCAAGTAAACCAATATTTTGCTTTTCTGTTTCTATTTGTTTTTATATCCTGTTATGATGGGGACTAACTCACCAGCACAAAAACAAATGTACAATAGCAACTAGAAACAGGAAACAAAATGTCAGATATTTCCAGAAAGTCCCTCAAACGATAATGAAAAAAATGAAGGAAAATGACAGCCTGACAATCAGAAAACATAAGACTGACGGACATAAAAGACTGGCGTACCTTGGCAGAACCTGAGGGAAACTAACAGAAAAAGTAGAAAAAATCCTTTGTTTAATTTTGTTGGCAGTTTTTTTTTTATTATTTTTTCCTCTGCCTCATTCTTTACTTTAAGAAACGAAGACTGCCCTGACACATCACATTCAAAATATCAACATCTCCCACAATCTCTAACCAGTACCATGGTTTGTGCTTATTTGTATTGTATATGTGAACTTTTAATCTTAGTTATATATAAAACAGTATATATTTTCACTTGTATTTTGTTTTCCTATTTAATTTGTCATGAATGTAAAGGTTCTGAGAGTCTAATGTGAAGGAAAATTAGTTAATATGTATTTGATTTGATTTTATAGGACTGTGAATATTATAATGTACTTCTTAACCCTTGACCCCACCCCACCCCCCCCCCCCCCCCAAACCTTCCACATCAGCTGAGAGACGGGCCAGTAGTGTGGACTACCTTCCCCTGGCTGCTCTGCCACTTCTTGCCATTGTCTCACCCCAGTACCAGGATGCAGTGGCAACTGTCATTGCCAGAGCCAACCAGGTCTACCACAGTTTCTTGCAGTCTGAAGAAGGCCAGGGGTTCACAGGACAGGTCTGTGCTGTTTAAAGAACGTCACTACTATTTTAATGATACATAGATCAGGAGAGTATGTTAAACATATGAGCTGAGGTGCATTTGTCCTTTTCAAACCCATCCTGTTCTTACCTTGTGGGTGTTTTAAAGGAAATAGTTCTGTTAATGTCAGTGTAATGTTAAGACAATGAATTTGAACAGCACAGCATCATGATAAGTTCATAGATTAATAACAGTAAATTTAATATGTAAAGCGACATGTCATCAGCATAAAGGGAAAGCATATAACCTGTTTCCCTTTCCTGCACTGGCCTCAGACCAGCCAACCAGAGTCCATCTGTGCTCAGTCCTTTGGGGTTTTTTTCAGCATACGCAAAGGAATGTATGAATTAGCATAACTTATACATAAAGTGTCCCCATTAAGTCCATTTTTAAATAGATAGGATGGGATTTGTTCCAGCTATCAAATATTTATGTAATATGAATAATGCAAGTTAATTTGTTTGTATCTTAAGAGTATTCACTATTTCACAGATTTATTCAAGAGATTATAATGATCTTCCCCACTGTTTGCCACACTAAAGTCCTCTGTAACACCTACCAACAACTCCTCTGCATAGTGATGTAAAATTCATGGTTATTAGTTCAAAGTGCTGGATTTCCAATAGGGTGCTACAGTGAAGCGTTGTTTATATTCTTTGTGTATCCGTGTCCCTTGTTTTTTGTTCCTATTGAATGTGTTTTCTTTCTTTTCATTTTATTCATAAACTCCTTTCATTCCCCCTCATGTTTGAGATATTTCTGACGATGAGCAACATTTGGTATGTGCAGAGAAAATCGGTATGACTGGAAAATATTCCTGTGGCAGGTGTGTTTAATGGGTGACTGTGTGGGTGGAGTCCTGTGCTTTGATGCACTGTGCTTCAGTAACCAGCAGAGGCCTGGGAGCCCTGACCACGGCGATCTCAGGAACAACGGCAGCAAGGTAGGTGGGCAGGTCGGTGTGACAACGACAATGTAGAAAGTTTAAAAAAGAAAGAACTTTCTGTGAAACAACATTTCTGATGTCTTTTGTCCACTCAGAGGGGAGAGCTTTTGTGGTCCTCTGTAAACCTTTTTCCCTGTTTTCTCTCAGGACCATTCAAGCCAGTCTAAAGAGTCTAGTCCTGGTCTGAGTTCTAGCAAAAGACTGAGTAAGAGCAACATTGATGTCTCTTCAGCTAATGAAGGACAAGGTCAGAGTGGAGCGCCCCTGAGCCGCAAACAGAGCGACTCCTATGATGGAGACACGTCATCTACGGGACAGCACAGCTTTTTCTCCAGGTACGCAGAGAACCTGGAGCGACAGCTTTTTTTTATTTACCAGAAAACCACGACTAGGTGATTTAAGGTGCTGTAACTTTGCTAACAACTCATTCACAGACAGTGAATGTAAGACAGTATGCAGTATGTAGGTCATCCTTTTTAAAATAAATGTATGTATGCTTGCATGTCTCCCTCTTCAGTTTGATTAAAGAGAGTGTGGAGCTTCACAGCGGCAGCAGCACCTGCCTGGTGGTGAACCCTGGTTGGTTTGATTTTGAGGTGTCCGACTGCTTCCTGCTGGGCTGTCCTCTGGGGCTCGTGCTTGCAATGAGACGCACGGTGCTGCCTGCAGTTCAGAGTAAGAACCAAACACTGTACCTGTAGTTTCTCCAGTTTGAATATACCTTCTCTTTTTAAGTTTCCTCACACGTCTACAATGTTCTTTTAATTAATTCTTCTTTTTTCTGTTTTCCTTTGTGGCATTTTCCATCCTACTGCTGCACCACTGCCAACCGTATCTCATTTATTCTCTAAGCTGCTGCAGCTGCTGCTGCTGCACCATGAGCTGTCTTTAACATTCATTACTGTATAAAGAAAGGAAACAAAGAAACTACATTACAGTTATTCCTCTTACTTTATTACTACAAACAGAGTTCAGACCTATAGTTGTTTAACATTGTGTCATTCCTAGGTTCTAATATCTTTGGTTACATCTTTAGATAGTACAAAGTTGAGTGATTTTCCATATTTAGCTGTGATTACTTCATAGACAGAACATTGGAAAATTACTTGGTTTTTTTATATCTGATAATACTCTATTTCTTATTATTTCTTTATTGTTGTCTTTCTGTCTCTCTCTTTTCCACGGCTGTCTCCTGACATTCAGTCAGCCAGCTCCATCCAGCCTGCTCTCAGATTTTCAACCTCTTCTACCCTTCGGACCCTTCAGCATCCAGGATAGAGCCCCTGCTGCACCCCCTCTTTAACAAGTTGCCACCATTTGCTGTGCCCAGGTACCAGCGCCACCCTCTGGGCGATGGACGCTCAACACTAATTGGTAATTCTGGCAATTTCAACAATTTGTTTTAAAGGTTGTGTTCAACCCTTTGTCTGTGATGTAACCTGGTCTTTTTTTCAGAATTTTCTTCAGAATGCAAAATCTATGCATCTACATTTTTCATTTTACATCATTCCAATGGTGCTCTATTTGGTTAATATTTGACAGCAATGTATTGTCATTAATGCTCAGCACACCATGGCACACAGTAAAATTTGTCCTCTGCTTTTCTTAACGTCAGAATAGATTGAAACGATTTGATAAAGCCAAAATCACCCGCAAAATTGAAGTGGAGCCTAGAGGAGATCTGGGCTGGAGGACTCTTGTCAGCGTGCAGAGTGGGTTTTTTGGCTTTCAATAAAGCAGCTTCATCAAGGAAGTCTCTTTAGACTAGCTATTTTCACCAGCTCTTCTAAAAAATCCAGAGCAGCCGGAAACCAGCAAAGATGTGGAGGATGATTAAACCTGCTCTGTTCAAACATGTTGATTTGATGCTAAAACTCTTTGAGTTCCAGTGTTAGAGACAACCAGTCCTGTAGAGATTAATAAAAAGAATAGAATAAGTGTGAAACAGCTCCAAGTGATCCAAACCATAATCAAACTTTTCTTTGGTCGCAATTCACACGTTTGTAATGTTTTTTCCCCCATAATTAAAGTCCACCACTTGAACGTCCAGCTAATCCTCTTTGTACTACTACAGTTGTAGGAATATAGAATTATCCAGTGTGCTCCAGGTGCCATTTATCACTCCAGCAGCGTCACACTGGGCTTCAAGTACTGTCTGTCACCATTTAATGGCAACATTAGCCTCACAGCAGTGTTCTAAGAATAGACAGAATTTATGAGCTGAAAAACAGGATCATTCAGTTGTTGATAATTTATATGGCTTAGGTGGATTTCACCAACATTAAGGATATTTTTAAGGATATTTGATTCGACTAAATGGAGTTTCCGATCGATGCAGAGTGACTAATGGCTCCTGCTTTCTACTGAACAGTGTTCCGATACAAAGCGAGAGGTTTTCCTATTAGGAAAAACATGTTCATTAATTAAGGACTAAGGCCGTAGGATTGTTTTGTTGCCTATATATATATATATATATATACACACGTGGACAAAATTGTTGGTACCCCTCAGTTAAAGAAGGGAAAACCCACAATTCTCACTGAAATCACTTGAAACTTACAAAAGTAACAATAAATAAAAAAATATTGAAAATTAAACAATCAAAATCAGCCATCACTTTTGAATTGTTGATTAACATAATTATTTTTTTATACTCCTATCTTCTGTATTTTCCAAGTGGAAAGCATTCATGGCCATTCGAGTTTGTTTTTGGGAGAAGAGCAGACACAAGGAAGTCCAGCCTCACATCGATTGTCTCGGACTAACCCTAAAGGAGAAGAGGGAGATGGAGGGGGTGGTGGAGGAGGAGGGGCAGGAGGAAAAGAGGGCACTCGCAGAGCCAGTGTTACAAGTGTGGGAAGCGAAACATCGATTTGCTCAATGAGTCAGCTGGGAGACATCATCTCCAACAGTGAGTGGAGGGAAACACACAGTAATTGATTTGGAATTTAAAAAGAAAGACGTTTTCAATTAACTCATGCTTTCATTTTTATTTTTTATCTTTATTTTTATAACTCTCCATCTTCCTCTTTTGTATGCAGTGTTTAGATTTCTTAAAATATAAATAAATATGAAAATCTCATCATCAGAACTGTACCAAAAGTAACAAATTAAAAAGGACATGACTATTCTTGAGCCATTTGTCTCCTGTCCTGTCTTTGGCAGTCTCCAGTAGCTGGTGGGGCACCAAAAGGCTGGACTACGCCTTGTACTGCCCTGACGTGCTGACAGCTTTCCCGACTGTGGCCCTGCCTCACCTCTTCCATGCCTCCTACTGGGAATCTACAGACGTAGCAGCTTTTGTCCTGCAGCAGGTAATTGACCCTTATGTTTAACCTCAGCAGATTTAACTACCAGCTAACACAAAGCTGTCCTTAATCTAATTATAGGGTGATGCTTCACGAAATGATCATTTTGTCATAACATGACCCTCTGTGGGGAGGACGCACTGTAGGGTTTTACAAGTTTATTAGAAGAGGATTACCATAAATCAATAGAAATAAATGGCTGCTGGGGGAAGTGTTGTATTACTGCATTATTTCTACAAACAAGTATCTTTTATCTGTATTAGTAATTGTATTCCTTAGATTTTAGATTCAGATAGATGAACAATAAATGACTGTTTTGTTGTTTTTTGTGTGTTCTTTCACGTGTCTCCACAGCTCATGCGGTGTGACTGCTTAAAGACCAAAGATGTCAATCATTTGGACTCGGCTTCCTTCTCCTCCTATAGTTCAAGGGAAAAATGGCTAAGAAAGCGGACACATGTCAAACTTAGGGTAAGGAAAACCAACATGAATTATTGTTAGATTTCTTTTGTTCTTATTGCAAAGACAAATTAAAATTGAAAAAAAAAGTATTTAAATAGTAATCTCCACAAGCCCATATTTCAAAATGGCTGACACCCTGATGTGCTTTATGGACATGGCTCTAAAAGACTATTGATACCTAATGTCGGTGCTTGAAGGGCTAATATTTATGTGTAGCTTTCTGTGGGGGTTGATGTCTGTTGTACAGCCAGTTTTGGTTTTATATTTGTAGCTAACTTATAACTGCCCTTTCTTTAAAGTACACTGTTAAATGAATACAATCTTCCATCAAACAATTTGGCCTAATTTTACTTTTTTTGACCCAGTCTTATATTTACTTGGCCTAACACAAAACCAAAAATACTTCTTTTAGAGATATCTTTTTTAATCCAACACATATCTTAGATGTTTTAAGGCTTAGAAATAGTACAAAATAATCTTCTCATGAAGAAGCAGGGGTTAAAACCAAACACACCAGATGAACTGTAGACAGTTAAGAGACTGAGCGTGTTGTACAGTGGGCTCTTGAAGACTGTGTGAAGTGAAGCCTAATGAAAGAAAGGTCTGATTTATCAGAGTAGTATTATGGTATAAAGGCATGAAGTCAAATATCAAAAACAAAAGATTTATTTTTGCAGAGCTGTGTGGATTTTTAATGTGAATAGCCAGTTTTTTTTGTATAGATCTCTAACACTTTCACCTTAATTTGCTGAGGCGGATCGAGCCGCTGAACATCTCAACGCCTCTGCTGAGAGCTACAGTCAAGGTCACGCAGCTATTCAGTGCTGTTTACAGGAGAGCAGAGTCACAGTGGGAGAATATTTCAGCAGTTAATCGTCATCGCAGTATGAAAATGATTTTATGTTTTAGTTGTAGTATTTCTGGTACTGAGAGAGACAGAGACACTTGTGACAGTGTGATTGGTGGTGCAGAGATTTAGAGCTGACTTGGTCTTGTGAGTAAGCTCTAAATTCTTCTGGAAGAAATAATCATTATTTGTAGTGATAATTATTATAATATTCTTATTTCAAAAGCCTGCTTGCTTTTCTTCATGAAGCAGTAGTTTTTCAAAATGAGAGTAAAACACACTGACTTCATCAATGAGTAATGCAATAATACAATCCCCAATGATTATTATCATTCATTATGGTAATAATTACATTCATGTACAGCCTAAGAACACAGCTGTGTATCATTTCTTACTCCTTATGGACTTTGGTTTACTGCAGCAGACTGATGAAATAACATCTTCATTTGTGTTCATTAAAAAAATAATCATCATCATAGAATTAGTCTATTAGTCAGTTAAATACTGTTGATATATTAGGATACCGTAGACTTAAGGTGAAGTAAAGTGGCTTTACTTCCATCTAAGTCAGTCTCTTTTCTACAGTTCAACCATGATGTTTTTGTTTTCTTCTCCATCTGCTACAGAATGTCACAGCCAACCATAGGGTGAATGATGTCATAGCAACAGAGGATGGACCTCAAACACTGGTGGGGCGTTTCATGTATGGCCCTCTGGACATGGTTACACTAACTGGAGAAAAGGTGAAAGAGGAGAAGAGAATAATCAGGGATGGCTCGATCCCACACTGAGGATCAGTCTCAGTTTGGTACTGGTCAGAATTTCAGGACATTAAACATCGGGAAAAAAACAACTGTAGTCCATTTGATCTGATACCAAAGCCTTAATGCTCAACGTAACGTGACATTGTTGCAACGAGTTGCAGTGTTGGACATTAAAATAAAGTTGCATCGAGCCATCCCTACTAAACATTGTAGGTTTTATTTGTGTAAAGAGGAGCTGACCTGTGTGTGTCTGTCAGGTTGACATTCTGCTGATGACACAGCCTCAGTCTGGGCGATGGGTCAACTTTGACACAGAGGTGACCAACAGCAGCGGCAGAGTAACTTACACCATTCCCAAGAGCAAACAGCTGGGCCTGGGAGTTTACCCTGTGAAGATGGTTGTCAAGTAAGATCGATGAGAGCGTTATCAGTTATCAGTTCAAACCACCTTCTCTCAGTATTTCTGATTTTTAAAAATAATAATTCCTTACTTTTCATGTCAGGGGCGATCAGACCAGTGCAGAGGCCTATCTGACTGTGTTGCCACGGGGAATGGAGTGTGTGGTCTTCAGCATTGATGGGTCTTTTGCTGCTAGTGTGTCCATCATGTGCAGTGACCCCAAAGTCCGACCTGGAGCAGTGGATGTGGTCAGGTAATTATCGGGGTTGTCTAACTAATCACTAATCAGTAATTAACTAGTTAAAATATAATAATCAATAACACTGTTATCATGAATTCAGATTTTTTATTATTAATTATTAGTAAATAGTCATAATATATAATACAATTTAAATAATATTTTAGTAATTAGTAACAAATTTAATTGGGTTTGAATCTGTGTGTGAGTAGACTGTGAAGAATATTGAATAGGTCTGGCGTTGAGTAGACTGTGAAGAATATTGAATAGTTTGTGTCATCAGTACGAACACAGGTGAAGAGGACGACTGTTCTCTGAATTCTTCCATGTGTTTGCAGACACTGGCAGGATCTGGGTTACCTGATCATCTACATCACTGGACGCCCTGACATGCAGAAGCAGCGCGTGGTGTCTTGGCTATCACAGCACAACTTTCCTCATGGGATGATCTTCTTCTCAGAAGGTCTAGTCCATGATCCGCTGCGGCAGAAGACCATTTTTCTCAGGAACCTCATCCAAGAGGTGCATGTTCTTCACAGGACCCGTCATCCCAATATTTATCTTTAATTCCAGGTGCAGTTTTCACAGGTGCCACATCAAATCACACTGTTTTTTCTCTCTGTCTCCAGTGTCATATAAAGATCAACTCAGCCTACGGCTCAATGAAGGACATCTGTGTTTACAACATGCTCGGCCTTGGTCCCGCCCAGATTTTTATTGTTGGCCGACCCTCCAAGAAATACCAAAACCAGTGCCAGGTACATGAGCTCAGTCATGAAAATAACAGTGGACAATTCTGTCCAGAAAAGATAAACTCTCCAGGGAGAGGTTTTTCTCTTCATGGAGGGCACTTGTAACAGTCGGTACAGGCTTAGTCCTCTTCACTGTTAAATGTCAAAACGTCATTTTGTCTGAAAAGCAAGTAGTGGTAACTGTTGATTTATTCCAAACTTAGTATCATTGTTCTGAACTTACATAATCACTTGTAGAGTTTTTATGTTATTGTAAATATAGTTCAGTTATTATTTCATTTTTATTACAATCTCATGGAGTCCTTATGTAGTACTTTGGTTGGATCTGGTTGTGACAAAATGTGTTATTTTTATTTTTAAAATGTTGGTATATTTCCTTGGATTAAATCATTGTTATTATTTTCATTTTTGTAAATATATATATAATATTGTAGGAACTTTCAAAGACATATTTAAGAATATGGTTGGCTGTTAGTGAATTAATTTGTAAAAAACCTGTACCTTGACAACAGCACTAAGTTGGCAGTTCGCAGGTAGTACTGATTCAAATTTACCTTAAAAAAATAAGTCCATTTTCTAACTGCTTTGTAATGTCTGTGGTTTGTGTTTAGTTTCTGAGTGAGGGCTACGCTGCTCATCTCTCCACGCTTCAATTTGGCCATCGAACCAGACCCAAGAAGTCCTCCTCCGTCCGCATGGTCCTGAGGAAGGGCTCTTTCGGTCTCTCAACCAAACCGGACTTCCTTTGCAAACGAACGCACCTGCGGAGGACCATGTCCGTGCAACAGCCTGATCCGCCGTGCATGACCAACCCCAAGCCGGAGAGAGCCCAAAGCCAGCCTGAGTCAGATAAGGAGCACGGGGTCATTGGCGGAGGTGAAAGTGGAGGTTGTGGAGCAGAAGGATCAGGGGGGTCGTGGGGGCGAGCCACCGTACACTGTGGAGACTCAAGTTCCTGGAATCAAGGAAGAGTTGGATGAATTAAACTAAAGATTAAAAACTAGAACTGTTAAAAAAAAACAAAGGTGAGAATAAGCTAAACCATGTTTCCCTTAACTAAAGTCAACCGGTCTCATCAAGTCCAGGACTGCACGGTCTGTGGTATTAAAGAACCTGTTCATGTTTACGTTGCTGGTACAAAATATGGAACGTGGTCAGCAATTTACGCTTGATGTTACACAGTTGTTTTTTCTTTTTGCCTTTATGGCAAATATTTGTCACTGGGGTATATTTGGCCAAATGGACCCCAATATACCAACAAAACTGGGAGGGTTTGTTGGCAGTTCTTTATTATGGGAAACGAGACAGTAACAACAGTAAAGTGTGTCACAGTTTTTAGCACCCTGAAGTGAGTGACTTTAGACAACTGTATTGATTGTTTTGTTTCCTTTGCAGCCTATTGATTCCACAAGTCCCTCGACCAATAATAGAAGCTGGCACGTGAGTCCTAATTATGCTGCTTGATTGGCTCAAAGCTGGCCTTTGTCCTTTGGTCCTTTGGTTCTGGACAGTCCAGCACCAGTTCTGCCTGTCCACCTCCTCCAACTCCTCTCTCAGGACGGAGCTAGAAAATAAACCTGTGTTTAAGAAGCAGTGATGTAAGTAAACTAGACATTACTGTAGGATGTTGTACACAAACAGAATCAAAGTTGGCATGTTGATGTATGTGGAAACGTCAGTCAAAATGCATATCATAGATGAAATGACAACTGACTTTTACCAGGAATGAATTGGATAAAATTATCATTAATTAATTAATGATTTTGTTTCCAAGCTGCAGTTGTGATTTCTGCGTTGGCACCTCTGTGGACGGACTTGAATTTGTTTTTATGATTTGATTTACCTTTCTTGTACAGTATATTTTGGGGGTCAGGGGGCGTGAAGTTCAAATTTGTACAGTATGCAGCTTTTTCTCTTACATTTTATTTCTAGTTGAAACCTACAGTTGGTGATAAGTAAAGAAACATGAAACAGTGCTTTTTTTTTTTTGCTTTTCCATAGTGGTACGAGCCTTGAGAATATGTGGAAACAAATCTGTTAGAGTTTTCCAATAACATGTAAATAATCACAGTCTGTAACAGTGAAGACTCCTGACTCTCCTCTGTCAACTTCAGAATTGTAGTCCCTGTAATATCTGCCCCCATTTAACCAACCAACCTTCTCTTGTAATCCTAGCTAGACAAATTATCTTACCGATTTTTGCTGCACTAACTCAAATATACAGTCCGTCGGAGAAACAAACATTAGTTGACGTGGGAAATTGTTAAGAAGTCTTAAACGTTGCTAGTTCCTGTGGTCGGTATTTTATATAGTTTTCTCTTTTTGCCAAAACAAAAACAACAACAACTCTGCAGCTGTCTTGTGCAATCTGACGTTGAACTGTATCTGGTGTGATGATGTTACATATATACATATTTTTCTAAATGGGAATATTGTAAATGATGATTTTTTATTGTCTCTTTGATTTACTAAATCGCTGGTTTATGCTTTAAATTGTACTGATATATAACGTTGTTTTAGTTTTCAGTATTGACCTTCATCTCATCGCTGATTTGCTGCTGTTAGGGCAAGACTAACCAGAAATAACCAATGCCATCCAAATTAAAAACAATATATCAATTTAGCCAAACAGACGTATTGAGGTTGGTCTGGTAATATATAGTAGGTTATATATAGAAAAGAAATCTTAAGAAAATATACCTCAAAATAACCAGGAACATCCTGATTGACTCAAATGAAACAAACCTGTCAGACCTAGCGTCAGCAACTCCATAACATGAGCCCTAGATCCAGAAATAACAGTAAAAAAGCTGTGTGTCTGGTTAAATAGCTCTGTCACTGAGATGTTTAACCAAAAAAGTGACCGACTGCTGTTAAGAAAGATTGTAAAAGACGTGTTTTTCACTCACTGGGAGACAAGAACTGACGGTCCTCTGCTCCTCCACTGTGGTATACTGGGCTGCTGTTAACCTTGTTCCGGAGCTTTCTCTGTCATCTGTTCTATCAACCACCTCTACATCCGTACATCTAACCTGAGGTCAATCTCTCCCTCTGTCTGGCAGCTCTGTATCCACACCATCGTTGTTCAATATTTCCATCGTCTCCCTGCAGCACATGTCCAAACCATCTCACCACTTTATCTCCAAACTTCTCAGCGTTAGCTGTTTGCTAACGACATAAAAAAGAAACCTTACTTTCAAACCAACAAGACGTTCAACTATTCACCCTCCTCAAAGTTGCCCTTACTGCCCCTAGAATCACCACTCTCCAGAAACGGTTGATGGTTAAAATGCAGAGGACATTGACGATGAAGCTGATTCTTCTTCTAAACTGACTGATACAACAGTAACATTCACGACTGCTCCGCTGTATTTTCATGATCTACCATCAAGAGAGACAGCACGCACTTTTTCCAGTGATTCTAAGTCGAAATATCGTAACTGTGCTTTTCCAGTCTTCCAGTAGCTGCTCACTACCTCCAAGGGTTTGTTGCAACTCTTCCCTAATGCCTTTTGGATTCTCCTCCTTCTATGATTTCCAAAATCAAATCTTCATTGCTGTGTTTGTTCAGTTTTTTTTCTCTGTCTCTCTCTCTCTCTCTCTCTCACCAAGCTATGCTACTTTGTCACTCATCATCCAAAACATTACTCTCATAGTTGTTTCAAGGTTGTCCCTGCTCAACTCACACTTTTATTTACAAGTCACACAGTTTGAAACTGTATCTAATGCTGCTGGATTTGCTGATGCTAATGGTGGTAGCAATGCATTCACAACTACTGTGATAGTAACTTTAAAAAGTTTACACTGTCAATGAGAGGATGGGTAGTCTAGTATACCCTAAATGGTATACTGTATGCAAACCTTGGTATACTGTAAACTATTGAAACATTGACATACAGTAAGAAAGGCCTTATTTGTTATGCATTCAGTAAACTAGAGAAAATCAACATCAACACATTTTAATGCACTTTCCTTTGAAGGTGATTTGAGTTTTTCACTCCAGCTCGTTATTGTAGTATCTAGATGGGATTGTTTCAAGTATTCCTAGGTTTAAACTATTTATCCTTACATACGTACATATTAAACTATGCTCTTGAATAACCTGCACAGCATTGTTGAAAATGAAAAACAGAATACAGCAATATTTACAGGTGTCTTTTTTAACCTATTGATCAAGTGATGGAGTAACTAGTAATCTTTTTGTATCCAAACAAGTATGTATGACTCCCTAATGTCTGTGGAACAACAGTTTGCATTGTGCGTTGTGATGTAACATGTTGTAGAAGCTGTGAAATATAACCAGATTATGGGGGAATTGAACTGTTCTTTGTAAGTCTGCTAACACTTTGGTCAGTGTGTGGCTCTGATGTGCCTACGTTTTGCTTGCTGTTAAAAAAAAAGGTGACCAAGTCTCTGCTACTTGAATATGGGACTGGGATTCTATGTGGGATAATATGGGACACTTTATGAGGTCAAAAAGTGTGTTTAGTCTACTTGATAAATATTTACAATAAATTGCAAGTTATATGCCAGTTCATGTCATGTATGATGATGTACGATTATTTTTAAATTATCGAAGTTGTAATTTCTAAATAAACAAAGCAACACAATGCTTACTCAGTGTGCTTTTTAATTTGGTAAAATGTATTCTGCTTAGGTATTTGCAATTATTTAGCATTAGCCTCATATGAATTCTTTCTAATGCTAGTTTCCACGGTGACATAAGAATTTCATATCAACGTAGACGCAGGGGGAGCAATAAGACAAATGTCTTTTGTTGTAAAAAAAAATCAAAAAGCTCTTAACCAGCTAACACACTCACTCACCTATGTACATTGTGTAAATTATATAATACACTAAATTTTAGTATTCTTTGAAGACTAAATATAATCCTAGAGAGTTGATTGGACTCAAGTTAATACAGTTAAGTTAATTTGACAAATGAATTTTTAGTTTGATAAATAATTAAATGATTTTTTCATAAGAAATAATTGAAACTAAAAGACTACTAACATTTTTTATATATATACAATATTATATATACTATTAAATCACTAACCACGTTTCAATATTTATCTTTGGTGTTTGATTAACAACGTGCCTTTACCTCCCCCTGCAGGCTATTCTGTAGCATCACTGCAAAGACAAAAATAGTAGGAAAAAGATTCTCCTTACTTATTTTTAAAAAATCAGAAAGTGGTTGTTTCCCAATCAGCCTATCAGTAATCAGTATCGTTACGTCATGTCTGGAGACTACAGCCCATAAAGGTAAATCCTGTTGTTTTTGGAGTATGACTGGGGCGGGGTCGATGAGATGGACCGTTGTCTTCCTGCAGTGTCCGTGGTGCAGTGCTCTCCACCACGGACACTGAATCTTAATGTTTTCCTCACACGGTCATTCAGCCAGACTCTTGTTGTTTTCACCTTTAGTCCAGCAGATAGAGCCATTGTTCCAACAACGTTTGTCCATCAAAGGGCCAAGACAGAGAAGACCGTTCACATTCTTAATGAACAGGTTACTCAGTCCTACAGGTGTTTAGTCTGTGAGAGGCCTGCACACGGGGAGTCTGAATATGTTTAAGTCTTAATCTTAATCCGTCTTTTTGTAGCAACTGTTGGTATTTTTGTTTGTTATTATCAGCAGTGTTTTATTTTTATGTGAATTTTTCAGTTTTGTCATTGGCTAAGATTATTCCTAGATTAATTTTCCTTTTTTCTATTGTATTTTTATTTATTTATTATTACACTTTTAGGTAACATTCTGCATTTCTTTGGCTAACATAACACTATTCTTGCGCTCTTCTCCTCCACAGCTGCTCTGAGTCGTGTTATTGAGCCTTGTTCTTCTGGACCTTCCAGCGATCTTTGTCAGACTGGAGGAGTTTTTAGGATGCTAGCTGCGGCCGACTCAGCACCAGAGCGTTGTTTCCTCCATGGAGTAGTTTCACAGTTTGTTCTCTGTGCTTGGCCTCGTAGTAATTGGTTTCTGTCTTTCTTGCTGACAAATGTAGTTGGATCTTGCCAAACACCTTGGAGGGATTGTGTTTATGGGTTTTCACCACATCTTGGATTACTGCTGCGCTGTTCACCTGTGAGATCGTTCTTCACTCACCTGTTTGGAGCATCTGGTCTCCTCACTCATCGACGGCTCCGCTCCATCCTTCATTCCACCTGCTGTAAAACAGCATCTACTGTTAGATGTTGCTGGTGTCTGCTGACATCTGCTGTGTTTTCACTTCCACCAACACCTTTAGAGTGCACTCACCAGGGCGGTTGTGCCTGGTTTATTCTAGCATGTGTAAAACATTGGTGATTTATATTTTTGGAAAATTACAAGTTTATTCTAGCATGTGTAAAAAATTGGTGATTTATATTTTTGGAAAATTAGCAATGGAAAAAAAATGTAAATGTATTTTTCCCAGTACCTTCCTATTTTGCCTTTTCTCCACATGTGTCCTGGAGGCTGGAGTGAGAATATTTGACAAGATGTTTGTCTTTTTTTTTGTCAATCCCAAAACATGCGTGTCTGTTACGGCTGATGTGTTTGGTCTTTTGCCGAATGTTCAGACCATTGTTGTGCAGAAGTCTCGGTTTGTTCTGATTTTTGTTTTTAAAATTCATCAACAACACGGAACTGTGAGATGTCTGGTCGGACGTACTTGTCAAAACAGCGACGCAGACAGGAGTTCAGAGGCTGGGAGACAATATCAGGGTGGCATCTTCTCAACCTCTTATTACATTTGAAAATGAGTCTTTCTCTCAGTGCAGAGACATTGAGTCATCTTCCCTCAGTCTACTGTTTCAGCACTTGTGTGGCAACAGAGGTGCACGCAACCAAACAAGTCTCTATTAAAATGGTGTCATTTTTAACCCACAGTGCACCACTGCGCGTGATCCTAAGCCGTGATGTCTCACCAGGGATGGAGAGACTACCCAACGGCACGTCACTTTGTTTGTAACTGCCAGTTAATTTGTTTTGCAGTTTTGCATGTGTGGTAAACAACCCATGTCAGAAACAAAGAGTCAGAGCGCCTAATGTAACGTGAATCCACTGAACCACTGTGCTGTTGTGACCGCTCTGTCACAGGGTAGAAACGGAGGAATGTGTTTACAGTCAAGATATTATATATAATAATACTTTACACTATAACAATACATAGTAGTGGAGGTGATAAGGTAAGAAAAGGATGAACAGTTAAAACTGTTGAAATGCCAAAAGACGATTGATTGAAACACTGAAGAGCTGAGCAGCTCAGAGGAAGACAGAGAATAGAAGTCTGTTCAACGTCTTAGTACTGTTTACTGTTTCATTTTTTGTTGTTGTTGTAAAAAAAGCTCTCTGTTGCCAATAATATAACATTATCAAAATAGTAATTGTGTAAAACTGTTGAAAAACATATACAAATACATGTAGCTGAAATGAATAGAACTCCACTGAACCTTCCTTTCTACTGGTGTAGAAAGATAATGTGTTATATGGTGTTAAAAATCCAAGCTAATTCAAATGTTATTTCCTTGACTGAAAGAAAGCTTTGTGGTCACGTCTGAGTTTGGATTTCACCTGCAGAAAAAAACCACAAAAAAAAACCGACCGATACAGAGTGGTCCTTTGTCCTGGACATTTTCTTTTAATGTTCTGCTCCTGTCTACCAAATAATTGACACACATCTCTCCTTACACACATGCACCAAATGTTTCAGACAGGCAGCAGATTGTTCTTAGGCCTAACTGATGCAGGAGAGCTTTAAAAAAAGAAAGATTTTGAACACAGGCTTTCACAGGTCCTCAGAGACATTCTGTATTTGGATGTCAGAGCTAGTCACTGCTAAAAGGTTCCCCTCACTGTTTGTTTTGAAATTGGAGCATTGACCCATGTGTTGACCTCGTGACTCCTCTAATATCCACCACCAATCACAAAGAGCCAATGTCTAATTTACATGGTTTCAACCAATGGGAAGGAAACTGAAGTGAGAACCCACAGAGCTTTGACAACATTGTATCATGGGCTGTGTGTCACTGTGTGTCACTGTGTTTCACTGTGTGTCACTGTATGTCACTGCATGTCACTGTGTGTCACGGTGTGTCACTGTGTGTCACTGTATGTCACTGCGTGTCACTGTGTGTCACTGTGTGTCTCTGTGTGTCACTGTATGTCACTGTATGTCACTGTATGTCACTGCGTGTCACTGTATGTCACTGCGTGTCACTGTATGTCACTGTATGTCACTGCGTGTCACTGTGTGTCACTGTATGTCACTGCGTGTCACTGTATGTCACTGCGTGTCACTGTATGTCACTGTATGTCACTGTGTGTCCCTGCATGTCACTGTGTGTCACTGTGTGTCACTGTGTGTCACTGTATGTCACTGTGTGTCCCTGCATGTCACTGTGTGTCACTGTGTGTCCCTGTGTGTCACTGTATGTCACTGTGTGTAACTGTGTGTCACTGTATGTCACTGCGTGTCACTGTGTGTCACTGTATGTCACTGCATGTCACTGTGTGTCACTGTGTGTCCCTGTGTGTCACTGTATGTCACTGCGTGTCACTGTGTGTCACTGTGTGTCACTGTATGTCACTGCATGTCACTGTGTGTCACGGTGTGTCACTGTGTGTCACTGTATGTCACTGCGTGTCACTGTATGTCACTGCGTGTCACTGTGTGTCACTGTGTGTCACTGTGTGTCTCTGTGTGTCACTGTGTGTCACTGTATGTCACTGCATGTCACTGTGTGTCACGGTGTGTCACTGTGTGTCACTGTATGTCACTGTATGTGCTGGACACTGCCAGGTCTGCAATCAAACCCACTTCACCTCGACATGTGAGACAACTGCACTACCCACTGAGCAACGGCCACACCCGAAAGGCGCACTTCATATTTCCTTACAAGTCCTAGCCGTAGTAATGACACTGGAGCGTCTCTGAAGGTCAGAGATCTAAACAGAGCTTCACCGTGTTATTATGTTCTACCCTAAACAAACCTTTTCATGCCCTTGACATATATTTGAAACAAAACTTCGGCTTAGCAATTTTCCTGTAAGGGACACCACCCTCTCATGTCTTAACAAACATTCAATTAAGCCTGATGTGGTGCCATCACGGTCACATGACCTCAGAGCTGAGCTAACGATTTCATTCATGCTAACAACTAGCCTCTTGTTAATGTAGTCCAATGACCTAAACCACTGAGGTGAAGTCTGGACAAACACCAATAACCATCAGAACTGGAGAAGCCCTCCCCCCTCTGGACAGGAGGGGAAATGGCTTTCACTTTAAATCCAGTTGAAACGTATGATTGTTTAAAGAAATGAAGCCAACACCTGAAATGTTAGTGGAAAAATAATTTATCTGTGATTTATCAAATTAAATGTCAGTTCATGACTGTAAACTGTACATGTAATTACTGCTGATAGAGAGAGGTGGGGAGAGAGGGAGAGAGTGAAGGGGGAGTGAGAGCATCAGACAGAGAGAATCAGACAAAAAAAGACAGAGAGTCAACAATAAAGTACTTTGGATAATGAGTGGCTGCTTGTGAGGTACCACAGAGAAAAGAAAAACGACACTGTAATTAAAGCCTTTTTAACCCACTGTTGCACCGTAGATTATAGTGATCTGGAAAATGTTCACGTGGACTGAACTGCTTGTTAACCTCTCCGAAAACCATCGCGCTCGACATTTTAATCTCGGATGATGTGACTGTCTTTCTTTAGTCTAATACGACCAGTGTAATAATCCTTAGTTTGACACATTTAATGTTCAGCTAAGATTCTGCGTTGAGGACTGTATGGTTTGTGCTGATGTGCTGTCCTGCAGTGGGTGGATGGTCCAACAAACTCAGATAAAGTTATGTCCTAACATTAAACAGGATTTAATAGTGAAAAATGCATCAGTCAAAAATGAACATAGGACTTGAGTGAAAACAAACCCAGACAGGCAGAAACACAGACCTGACCATGTATAATCAACCAGGACACCAGGTGTGAGCAGTGAGACTAATGAGACGGAGCACAGGAAACAGGTGGAGGAGACAGGCCCAGAACACTGTGTTAACTCACAACAACCACTTGGTGAGCATGCCTTCTTAACTCCTTCTGTCACTGGGAGCTGGCCAGAGAGTGTTTATTTTTAGGATTGCTGACCCACTGTTTAGTGGCAGTGGTGGAATTTTCTAACCAGGCTGAGAGCGAGGAGAACTCAAACTGAAATCCAGAGGAGTGACCAAGGAACACTCGATGTGTTTTTTTTTTCTGGGCAGGGCTGTGACCTGACGTCTGTAGCTGGTGATGGAGGCCAGGACTGACTGACGAAGATGACGAGGGAGGAAGGTACTGACTGAGACAAAGACACGTGATAGGTTGTCCTGACTGGGAACTCTGGGTTAACCTGGAAAACCTGAAAAATCAGAAGAATTTGGACAAGAGTGTCATGGTGTTGAAGGTGTTTGTCTGCAGTGCTTAAATGAGTCCCTGAAGGCATCACGACGTAGACTTGACCTCCTGTAACTGTGGTTATTGCCACATTATTGTGTCCCATATCTTGACTCTCTGCCCAGATCCACTACTTCCTGTCGTCCCGTGTCCAGGAAACCCACCTTGGTGTTCGTCTACGATGTTAACGATGTTTTCCACTCGGGTCTTGTTAGCGTTTCCAGACCTGTGTTCCTGCTACCTTTGGTTCCAGACCAGCTCCAGAAGTCTGACCTCCTTTGACATTATTTGTTCTGGGATTTAAAAAGAATGTTTTTAAATCCATCTGATGTCAGCGTTGTGTGGTTGAGGTCAGACTAATGGACACAGTCTTACAGTGACTAAGGCTGGGTTTAATGTTTGAATCTGTGATTGTCATTCAAGTTGGACTCATCATCTTAGGAATTTGGTCAGTCCATAATCCAGACTTTGGTAATGAGATCTCTGTGTTTTAGTTTCCATGTCTGTTTGTAGCTACCTCTGCGTTCTCCCACAGTCTCAAACACACAGTGTTGGGTTAATTGATCCCTCCTGATTGACCATATGTATCAGTGTGAGCGTGCATGCTGGTTTGTTGTGATGATGAGCTGTAGAACTGGGCAGTCCACGACACACGGACCACATCCAGCCTGAGTCATAACAAGGTCAAAACAATGTGTGACAAAAAAAGTAAAACTGCAGGACCTTTATTTTGAAGGCACTATTTTCTAAGATTTAAGATCAAGACCCTTAAGTAAAGCTGAACGCTTTTTGAGCCCAGAACCGATGATGTAAGACTGGAGTTGATCTGACAAACGTATAGTCTTCGCAAGAAAGACAATTACACATTTGACAGGAGGATAACAGTGATCTTGCAGACTGTATTTAAAGGATTAAATCAGCTTTACAAGCGAGACATGAGATCGCGGCGGCAGAAGAGTGTTACCAAACCCTGAGAGATGGACAAACAGCGACAGAGCCAGTGTATTTCTGATGTTCGGCCTCCAATTCCATATCCATCTTCTCTGCTCTTTATTTCCTCACCAAAGTTTTTCTCTTGACATGAAAATTTGTTTCAAAAATCCATAACTACTATAAACTCTTATTTAAAGGAGAAAAAACACCAGGAACACCCTTTGGTATTTAAAGATATTCAAATCAAAGTGAACATCATCATCAATACAACCTCCACGTTGGCTCAGTGTTTTCACTCTACTGTGATGTATGTACATGCACACAAAAATGGACAAGGCAGGTCTAACAGTCTTTATTTTATTTCACAAATAGAATTTCAACCTTTATTTAGACAATATGTGTATAAAATGTCAACATTTAAAAAAGACAAAAGTTTGTACTGGAATGTACAGTATTAAAAACTTTCTCTACAGGGTTTGGGGCCGACCAGAAGAAGCAACTGTTAATCATTAGTGATAATAATAACTCTCTGTGACTATCTTACTGACAGTCGATGTTTTTGTGAAGTACTTTTGGTCTTTAATCATTAGTTTTAAGTAATATTCAATAAAACATGATATCGACTTGAAACTCATAATTCAAAGTAATGTCTGATCTCACTCCGACTCTAAACTGACACATTCTTTATCCTTTTCTGAATAATGGTACGTAATGAGACAATTTCTACCTCGGGATGAAGACCGTTGACTTTCAGGTCATTAAAATGTTTCAGAGAATATTAATCTACTGACAAGTGACTTATTTTTCATCAATTAGTCCTAAACCCGGCTGTGATGCCACCTACTGGGCATCAGTCCTGCCAACACAGTTTCTTCCCAGATCATTTCATCCATTTCCTGAGGTTAGCTTTAACAGATAGCAGTTGTAATACAGGCTGCTAATAGAAATGAATTGGCCTTAAAAAGACTCCCCTCAGTGAATTAGCAGTTAGCATGTTTAAGCGACCAATCAAAAAGGGCTCTTCCAACCAGTTAAGGCAGTGGGATCAAAGACCAAGCCATTATTTTGGAGGCGTTTCTTCTTTTTCTTTTTCCTGTGCTCCGACACAGCCATGCTTCGACTGACCTTTGCTCTCTCTTTGGGTCACTTATCTCTAATCTGTATTTTAGTGCTGGAGTGCATGATATGTTTTTACAGCTTTATATTTGCAACTTACCTCTCAGTAAACTAGGGTAACTACTTCAACAGCTTCTCTAGAGTTCGCTCAGAGACATCTCTATGGATGTTTGTTTTTTATCATACAATATACAATAAGTTAAAATAGCATTAAACTTTTAATATTTCTTTTCTGTTTTTCTTTCTGTCTTTACTCCCCTGTCATTCTCAACACCACGTTTTCCCACAATCAAACGCACGTGGGCGTAACCAGACACTCACAAACCGTGTAAGCGTCGATGCCGTTTTGCCCATTTACCATTTGAGTGGGACATGAATAGTGTTGAGAGCTGGGTCTTTGGGTGTCTGGGTCATGGTTAGTGATGAGAACCTGGATCATGCCCCGGTGCTATTGGCCCAGGTAGGGAAGGAATCCAAATCAAACATCGCTCTGCCCCAGCTGTTGATGGCTAATGTGATGCACAGGATTCCAATGATGTTCATGACAAATCCTGTCCTGGCCTGGAAGTAGAACATGTAGAAAAGCAGCAGGGTCAGTTTTTAAAAAGTACTAAGTACTTAGTGAGTCAACAGAAGGTGCTGTGGTAGAGGAGAACAACAAGTGTGTGTTGCATCTGCCTGCATTATCTAACTGAGGATAAAAGTTGTGCAAAAATACCTCAAGATAAACCATACGTTACTGAAAAGATAACGCACTAAAGGTAAAAACAAAAGGCTCCAGTTGGCTGAGAAACAAAATAAAGATTAACCAAAAACAATGATAACTGAAGGCCATGATCAGGTGGTTTATCCCTCCTGTTCAACAGAGTTGGGGCAGCTGAGGTGGAGGGGGGGGGATGGGGGGGTAATCAACATTGAACTTCACCCTCACATGGTGATAAGGCTGTATGGTGTTATTAACACCCAGATGGAACTGATGGATTTGGGTAACGTGACACCAAAACCACTGCCACACTCACCATGTCAGAGACTTTGAGGTAGCCGTAGGAGAAAACGATGGCGTTGGGTGGTGTAGCCACTGGGAGCATGAAGGCAAACGAAGCGCTGAGAGTACACGGCACCATGACATACAGAGGGTTCATCTGGATGGACTGGGACTGTCAACAGAAGAAAGAGACGTTAGGTGTCGTAGCGGTGGAACTCCCAGTTGTCCTGTTGAAGGATTGAAGTCCACCTAGTCCTGGCATCAGAAAACTACGGCCTGTTTGACTTTTTAATCTGGCCTGCCAAATGTGTCCAAATTGTGTTTTTATTTTTATTATTAGTAGTATTAGTATTGTACTTCTACCTTTTCCCTGCAATGCCCATATTTCCCCCAATAGATGGCGTAGAAAAAGTTAAAAACATTTTAGCATTTTAGCCGTCGTGCATGACTTTTATGTCATTTATCTCAGTTCACATGAACGCTCCATCAATCTGCTCCTGACCCCGCCCCTGGTCAAATCTTAGGACCCATTGTGGCCCACATCTAGTGGTTCAGGAAGCGGACTTGGGTAAGGGAGGTTTAAGGTTCAAGTCCACCAGCTGCCAAGTTACCACTGAGGTGCTCTGAGCATGGCACGGTCTCCACACACTGCTCCCCGGCTGCCCACTGTTCACTTTGGTGATGGGTTAAAAGCAGAGGTCAGAGGTCACATTTGGTTGTGTGCAGTTGAGTCCACTTTCCTTTCTTCCCTAATAGGGTCGGCTTGATCTGATACTGGGGATCGGTATCAGTCAAAGAATGACTATTCAGCCTTCCCTGGTCTTTAGTCCCACGTTGGGTTGTGACAGTGAGAGGATGTTGAATAAAAGACCCATTCCATTATAATGGGGAGGGGCTTCTTGGCATTAACATTTTCTCTTTAGACAACAGACAGTGCCAGGCTACAGAACTATGGACGGAACCTCAAACTTCAGGTTTCCAATAGACAAATCCCAGCTATAACACTATGAACAACCCTGAAACTGTGATGCAGACTGAATGCAGATTCATTATTTGATCAGAAAAAACAAAATGTTTTGGGGCATGAAAGGGTCGTTGTAGAAACCACACGATCATCTTGTATCAGGCCGAAGCAGACAAAGGTGTTGGTCTTTGTTTTGTTGCCCAAATGGAAACAAACCAGGGCAAAAGTGGAGTCACAGCTTCCATCTTTGACTTCATCCCAGGTGTAACTGAGCAGCAGCAGCAGTTACATCTTCCTCTTTTCACATAACACCACTTTGTAGCAGCCACTTGGCTTCGGCCGGAGTAAATCCTTGTGTGAATGACCCTTCTTTCCACTGTCTGAGCGAAGCAGACAAAGTCCTCGCATTCTTCAGCATCTAGCATTCAGGCTGAATTGCTGTGTTTGGCAGGGTCTCAATGGAAGGAGGGGCCCCTGGGGGTAAGAGCACTGAACACATTCAGTCCTAATGGCCAGGAGAGACGGGAGCCTCAACAAGTGGTGCAAATGTGGGAGAGGTTTCATTGCTGCTTTCTGATTGGTGGAATTGGTTTAAAATAAAAATACAACCATATAAAGATAAAACAGAGCCTAACCATAGCTAGAGCTATAACCTTGGATCAAACATGGCTGATGTGCTTCCCCCCCCCCCCCCCCACAGTGAAAATGAGTTTGACACCCCTGATGTGGAGAGTAATCTGCGTCTTTAACTGTTTCCCCTGTTAAATGAGGGTTGTTCCCTGAAGGACTCTCTCTTAATCACTGGTTTCTTAACGTTTTAATCTTCTGAAATGCATTTCTCTCTTGTTCTCTCTGTATAATAACGTACCATGGAGGCCAGGACAGGTAGGAACAGCGTTGCAGTTGCCACATTACTTGTGCACTCCGTAAAGGTAGCAATCAGCAGACACAAAATCATAGCAATTGCCCAGGGAGGGATAGTTTGCAGGGGAGTCATTTGGTCACCCATCCATTTAGAAAGTCCTGATTCCTGAGGAGACATACGGTACATGACGAGGACATGAAGAGACAGACGCTAATGTTTTAGATAAGCACAGTTCAATTACAGTAATATTAATGTAACGGAGGTTGGATGAAGCTTCATCTGTAGCATAGCCTTGAGGTAAATATGTTTTAGGGTAAAAAAAAATCTGCTATTTTCCTTTAAAAAAAGTGATACAAAATCAATTGTACACTTCATTTTTGATATTTTGCCAATAGATAAATCCAAAAAACTGGCTATAATCTATTATTTCCTTGTTTAATCTAGGCCAACTCTCTACTCTCTCTAGCCCCGATGCAGGATTAGGAAGAGTCTTCAGCATGTCCATGTCACATTCAATCACTTGGACGTGTGTCTCATCTCTGGTTTTTAAAACAACGTCACAGCTTACTTCACTGCCTTTGGCCAAAGCAAAGCCACCCCCCAGAAGAAGCACAATCCCCCAGGGTAACTTCTTCTGGGCAATTTTCCAGGTCAGCAGAGGTGGAGTTGCATCAGTGGAGTGAGGTACTACAAAAACAAACAGTGACAAACATACTTTAGGTTATCAGGAAACAAACTACACCACCTCAAACCTGGAGAGACTATCAGTACTACATCAGTACTACATCAGTACTACATCAGTACTACATCAGTACTACATCAGTACTACATCAGTACTACATCAGTACTACATCAGTACTAAATCAGTACTACATCAGTACTTCTGAATGATAGGACATGGACAACAGTTCATTCTCTGCTCACAGTAAATGGATCTGATTCAAAATACATGCATTTAATCTTGATTGAGTGTTTTAGAAAAAAAAAAACGTCTTTAATGACTGGACCAACGTGGACATCGTGGATGGTTCAATGACAGTATCATTAGAAACACATTATAACTCTCTGAATACTAGCTCTACCTGGGTATGAGGCTACATTCTAACCAGTGAAGTTCTAGACCTCGTTTAGCATTTGATGTTCAACAAACCCATTTTTAAACTGTTTCTAGGTTTAGTTCCTGAGTAGAAGTTTTTCTTTTTTGTTTTTCTCTGTCTCTTTCAGTCAGTAGATTCATGTTATTCGTCAAACTTGCGATTGGTGATTACTGTATTTGTCTTACTAGATCTACAGTATTTGGGATAATGTCTCACTTGTGTCAAAACTCCAAGTCCTCCATGATGTGCAGCGCGGTGGTTTAGAGGGCAGAACAAAGAGCAGCACAGCAATGAAGATTGCCACGGTGGCGTCTGTCACGTACCTGAGAAGCACAGCATTCACAGAACATTAAAGTGTAGTCCTGTCTCTGGTGACGTGAGTGTTAAGATTGAAAGCAGTAATAAAGGATTTTGTACAAACTCTGCGCTGGAGTTGAAGATATGTGTCGCCCAGCCGTCGACGAAGCCCGGGTCCCTGGTGAACCACAGCAAAACCAGCAAAATGAAGAGAGCCAGCACATTGATCTCACCAAAAGACATGGGCCCCAGCATTCGGTGCTGCTCACGGATCACGTTGTAGGCGGCGATTTCCTTCTCAGTCTTCACAGATCCACAGCCCAACGTCTTCCTGAAGCTGGAAATAGAAATTACACAGAAACAGGGATTAAGAAAAACTAAAAACTAACAGGAGGTTTCTTTCTTTACATTTGGGAGTATTGCTCTGTTAATCATCAGTAAATCTATTTGGTATTTTTAATTAAATAAAGTAAATACCTTGCAAAGAAACATCAATATTTAAAATAGTTCAAATGTAGCACAAATTACCCAAACATTTGTATGAAAATGTAAAGTTAAGCTCACTTAAATCCCATGAAGACAAACTGGAGCCAGAACCAGGCTAGTATTAGCATTAGCACCATGTTTGGGAAGGCGAAGCCGAACCAGGAGGCAAAATTAATCACATCTCCATTGTCAGGAAACAGTCTAAAAAAACATAACAAATAAGAATGAAATGTGCTGCCAAACAACATGAAACGGTGGTGTCTGTCAGAATACCAAGTCACTCACTGGTTCATCTGGCCCTTCAGCACCAGATTGGGTCCAGTCCCCGTCAGAGTGGCAGTGCCACCAATGCTGGCAGCATAGCAGACACACAGAGTCATTCCTTTACACATGGTTTTCCTCTCGGCCGCCTCTTTCATCTTGGCAGCCTCTGTTGCAGCGTCTAAGAATGTTATCACCACCGGACCTTTAAGACAACAGATGACATTAGTCTCCTCTTATTAGAGGAGGACTGAAGAAAACCTGTTGGAGAGTTCTAGATCAGGCATGTATTATCATTATACTTCTGCCTTTTCCCTGCAATACCCATGTTTCCCCCAGATGGAGTAGAAAATGAAAGAACATTTTAGCATTCTAGCCTTTATGCATGACTTTTATCTTAGTTCACACGAACGCTCCTTCTATCGGCTTCTGACTCGGCCCCGCATGTTCAATTTTAGGACAATTGTGTCTCGCGAGCCTGTTCTAGAAACTTTTCTGCGCTATCGTTTGCTGCTCATTATTGTGGAGCAGCTGTGGTCAACTCTGGCCACTTGGACATGGTCCATCATCACCTTGTGTTTCACTTGGTTTCTCCGTCTGTTTGTCATCGACCTCTGGTGGTGAGAGCTGCTCCTCTGAGCCGTGGGTTTGAGAAGCATCGTCTTTACTGTTGTTCAGCTGCTGCAGCACTGCTTGAACGATGGGTACCATCATGGCCGTGGTGGCAGTGTTGCTGATCCACATGGACAGAAAGGCTGTTACGCTCATGAAGCCCAACATCAACCTGCAGCCAGAGGAAAATCAAGTTAGTCTTAGATAGAAATAACATGAACGCGTGCCATAAAGATGAAGCCTTTTTTTATGACCTACTTATGTTTATGAGTCTGAGCTGATTAGATAGAGTATGGAATGAAAATATTGACACTCCTAAGGTGTCTCCCTGAGCGATAAAAGACGTAGTTACTCCTGGTTATGTTTGGAGATACAACAACAGTGTTTTCATGTATCTTTCAGCTGTTCCCTGCAGGGGTCGCTACAGTGGACCATCTACCTCCAGCTCACTTGGCTACTGCAGGGGTCGCCACAGTGGACCATCTACCTCCAGCTCACCCTATCGCCCAGGGCTGCACGATTATGGCAAAAATCATAATCACAATTATTTTTATTTATATTAAAATCCAAAAAGAAACATTTATTTATGGATTTTGGGTTTGACTTCTGTGTTCCGCCGGTTACTCAATTTTCCTGAGGGCCTTGAACGCACCGTGGTGTAGTAGGCACTTTGATCAGCATTATCTTATTGTTCATTTGTGTTGGTGAGAGTTGAGAAAAGGGTCATTATTATGTGAAAAACTACTGTATGCTGATGTTATGGTAACAACAATTTACAAAACTGTACCTTTTTATTATCAGAATCTTAATGTTATTGTGTTGTATATTTCATTCTGTAATGATTTTGTATAATTGTACTATTCTATTGTCTTATCGTTACAAGAAAGAGCCCAGGTTGAGTTTTATCAAACTGTTCATGAAGACCTGAAGTAATAAACTTACAGAGCTGGACGCACACCGACGAACAGCAGCACCCTCAGGGCGATCCGTTTGTGCAGGTTCCAGTGCTCCACTGCGACAGCCACCATCAGTCCACCGACGAACAGCAGGTTAGTGTCCTTGAGGTACTGCATACACACCTAAATGAACAGGTGAACAATGAGTGGGAACTCTGACGCTCACCAAACTGTGTACAGTCTCCTCTGAACTCTGTTGACTTACATCTTTGGACTGCATTATTCCAAACAAAGGGAAGAGAAGTGCTGGTAAAAGTGCTGTTACTGCCAGAGGCAGGACTTCTGTACACCAGTACACCGCCATCAAGATGATCACATAGGCACATTCTGCCTCCTGTATGAGAAACAACACATGTCGATCATCCTGTCAATATAAGGGAGATTTTCCACTTATCACTCATGTCCCAATCCACCTCAGGGGTGTGTCATCTTTTCATTACTGAATCAATGTCTTTGGAGTTCAATTCCTGTTTAATTTGAAGTTATGAAATACTGTGTTGGGACATCAGTACCTGGTCTATATAATGTATAATAGTCCTTGTGTACTTTGCTAACTGATACCCACTTCCAAACGTAGTATCAAGACCAAGTATAGTACCTGGTACTGTGTACATACAGTATGTCATGTCCATTATGGGAACTCCAACCTGAGGTGATTACCCTTTTAGAGACCAATTAACTGCTGCTTCCAGATTGTACTTAACAGTAAGATTGTTAACCACAGTGTGTATAAGAAAGCTGTCAAAACAGATCAAAGTTCATAAGGAATTGGCTAATGTTAATGGATGACTCAAAAGGTCACAAATGAGTGATGCATTGACTGATAACAGCTGTAGGAGCTGAATCCACTGGTGTCGTGCTGTCAATAATATCATGTGATAACACTGTTTAAAATGTCATCAGACCAGACTGTCCTGTGCATGAACCCTGGTCCTCACATACACACTGCACATTACAGCGTTCTTCTTTTAATGATTTCAGTACGGCCCCTCACCTCCACACACACACACACACACACACACAAACACAAGACAATTGTATTTATTTATTTATGTGAGTAATACACAGGTATTTTTATTCAGGGTAGTAAGTATTTAAGGACGTTAACGTTGTCACTGAAATTATATATTGCTTTACAAAACCTAAAGATGTCATGATCACAATTCTTATCCCTCTTAAAATTGTATTATGTTAGTGATTCTACTAATGCTCAACATTTGAGTTATAAAGAAGAGCAGGAACAGGATATACAGTGACCAAAACTTACACTTAGGAGTCATAGTGAAGGGCAAACAGTTCCAAAAAAACTACACAAACGGAGGAAAGTGAATGTAGCACAATCCAATGAATGGCGTACAACAGGGAATGTTAACAAAGCAGCGTCTTCTGCGTTCAGTGCAGCGTGATAGTGAACTAGTTACCATCTAAATTAGTTTTAGCGCTGTACGTTTGAATGAGGAAACAACTTTCTTTATAAATTAAATTGAGTTGACGACGTAATCATAAAATGCTGTAGGTCGAGGACGCTGTAAACTGAGCAGCCCCTGGATACTTGTACTTGTACTTGTACTTGTACTTGAACAAGTATCCAGCGATGCAACACTATAACATATGTACTATAACATTAACTACAACCAGGGTTGCACTGTTTATCCCAGGCTGTGGGTTTTCTTACTACAGTTCAGTTTTATTTTTCCTCATGGTTGGAATATTAAAGTAGGTGAACTATAAGCACCCTGGATGATTTGGCTGAGACGTGAAAATATAGACTATCCCAGTCCAGTGCAGTCTGTTATAGAGCAAAAAGATCAATCCTCTAAAATTGACCTTAGGGTTCAACCTGACTGTTTAAATGGCTTCAAATTTCTTGTAAATTAAAGAAAAAAGCCCAAATAGAACAATTGTTCTTAAATCAAATTTAAATCCAAACAAATCAAACCACTCAGCTTTTACTAATATTAGCAAGTAATATAAAAACACAACTTCCGACTGCGTGGCTCCTCATCGGTCCACGGACCATCTTTTCTCAGTAACACTAATGCAGGCATGTGCTGTGTCCTCGTCTGCCCATTGTCTGTGCTGTGAACTCGTCCACACGGCGTCACACACGCAAAAGTTCCCACGCTGGACGCGAGTGTTAACAACAATGAGTTAAAATAACAGGAGAGTTGTGCAGCAGCAGCAGCAGCAGCAGCAGCAGCAGCCACGGGCTACACTGCTTCAGTCCCACTGCGTTGTGCGCAACAGGTGCAAACTGCACAAAAACGATGACAGCCTAAAACCTGAACTTCTTCAGAGCTGTCCTCTGTCAGTGGACCACTGGGTTTGACGAAGACTTCAGCGCCTTTGTTCGTTCAAAGTTTCCGCAATTGATGAATAGAACAGCAACAATGTTATTTAAAATGTGAGGAGATTCCTAATTAAAATTACAAGTAGCTCCAGAGACATTAACTTGGTCTAATTGCATCAGCGCGTTCATTAAAAAAAAAAACGAAAAAAAAAACCCAAAACGTGTGTGAACGTGGACCTACCGGTGTGCCAATGATGAGAGGTAAAGGCAGCAAAAGAAACGGAGCGGAGAAGAGGATGAAATAGTTCTTCACAGAGAGGAGATATTTGACGAACGCTGCCATCCTGCAGCAGGAAGAACAGAGCAGGAAAGGACGCTGAGGATTCATGGACCAGATGTAATGAAATAAAAAGACATTGCGACTTTACTTTACTTTAAAATTCGTGTATGTTTTGTAAATGAGAAAAAAGGTGTAACAGAAAGAAAGGCTTCAAGATGAAAAGGTAACATTCCACCTGAGACAGCAGTGAGATCTGCTGTGACGTGTGATTCACAGACAGTAGCCGAAAGGCAGAGGGGGAAAAAAATCATTTGGATCCAAATTAATTTGATAATGTTCTTTTTTAATGTGATTTGTCCAATTAAAGATAGTAAAGATAAAGATATTAAAGATAGAACAGTAAAGCTGTTGAACTACTTAAAAACAAAACAAAAATTCGCCATACTAATTCGTTATTTTTAATTACATATGAAGGTTATTTTAGGCCCAAGTAAAAGAAAAGTTTTGGGAAGTCTTTGCTTTTATTTATTTATTTACGTATTTATTTTGTAACGCACACCAGTGAAGTGGAAAGGAGACCGAAGGAAAGTCAAATGAAACATCGAAATTCAAACACATCCCATTATGTGCACAACAAGTGACATATCTTGATAAATAAATAAATGTATGCATGTAGTTTGACCTGCTCTGTCCTGAAGGTCTTAAACCAAGGAAATACAGATGTAATGCCACCATGTGGGAAAAAATCTTACTACAAAAAAAAAAAAAAAAAAAAAAAAAAAAAAGATGCCACAAAAAACTGGGCAAAGCTATATTTATGAGGACATGTGGACAAAAAAGTGAGAGCATATTTTCAGGCACAAGTTTTAAAGTTTGGAGTTAGGATTAGAATCAGGGTCAGATTAGGCTAAAGATTAGAGAAAGAAGTAAGTCTGCAATTCTCAGAACAGTTTAAAACAAATGGTTTTCATATTTGCATTACCTGAATTTTGATTCAAATTGATGCAAAATTCAAATTTCTGTATTATACTGAATTGCTTGGAATTGGCTAGATCCGCCCCTAAACCATTGACCGTGACCAACACTTTTTATGAGAATAGGGAGGTACACTACACAGAGTATCATGTTATCAATCATGATTAATCATGATTTATCTACGTAAACCAACATTCCTAAATGTAACAACAAAAAAATCAGTATATTGCAAGAATTAGAGGGGAAAATGGTATTGTTTACGTGGAAAAAAATCAAGAAAAATATGCAAAAGTACAACTCAAAATCTAGCTTCAAGGAGGGGATATTAGTCATTACTGCATCTGAAGGTGGCGTGTCGAATGCGTTAGCTGATTTAACAAACAGTGTATGAATAATTAATTAATTAAGTAATTTATCAATTTGTGTGGGAACCTTTCAAGAGAAATGCCACTCAAAAATAACTAATGTCAGTCTTCCTTCGGTTTCCCACAGTACGTCACATCCTGTGGGACCAGCGAACTACATTTCAAACAGCTTCAATACCCGATTATGCTACTTATTATTTTGTCACTTTCTTAAAGTTTACACGGCAAGAAGAGGAAAACAACAGCGCAACAATTGCACATATATGTATTAGTATGTATATGTTGTAGAATTTATATGTAGTTAAATATGATTTACAATTGGATATGTATGTCATCCATGGCACCCCGTAGCCTCGACAGAAGCGGAAGTAGCAGCAAGAATCACATGATACGGTGCTGTTGTTGTGTCACACTGGATGCCACTTCTGAAAACACGGCTTGAGCTTTTGCGGAGCTTTAACATGAACTCTTCACCGTCACCATCACACCGCGTTTGCAACCAGCGGAGAAAACCGTGCGGCTGCAAGTCGTAATGTCGTGATGTGAAGGCGGTACAGAGGCACGGCCAAGATTGTGGGATGAAGAGTGACAGCAGCGGTGGTGGTGCACTGTTAGCTTGACGCTGGCAGCTAAGTGATGACTGCTGCGGGTGTCGTTGAGGTAGTCTTTTAAAAATCACTAATAATAGATGTTTTATTGACTCGCAAGTGCAGCGTGTCAGCGATAGTTTAGCCTGCTTAAAAAATAAGAAGTGAAAAATAAGTGTACAGTGTGTCCCTCTAGTGTCACTCAATGGAACCGCGATTGGTCCTCAAATTTTATTTTTCCATAGTAAGAATTTTTATTTGATTTATTCATCGAGAAAGTAAACAAACACTTCTCGCATGTTGAATGTTGGAATATAATTCGTTGCATAAAGAGTAAGCAGTTCATAAATATCAGCCTCCGGCTTATTCTCGCTTTTTTGGCACGTGATTTTTCATGAGCCAGTGTGTAGTGGCTAAATTAATGTTATCTGTAGTCTCTCTCATGTGAGAGAGGTCGAGGTCTTGTGATGTTATGTAGATTACACAGTCTGTTTATGCAGTAATTGAAGTGAGTTTACAGAGAACGTGCCTTAATTTTACTCCACTAATTCTTTAAAATTAACTATACAAACTATTTGCATATCGTGAACGCATCGCTTTGCGTATGACTTTAGTGTTCAGGGAGATTTTTCATACTTACTTAGCTTAGCAGTGATAAAACCGTTCAGATGAACAGTTCAACAATGAATATTTGGTGTAATTAGGTCTGATCAAATTGAAATGTTTTAATGTACACCTATTCTGTTATTACACTGGTATGTTTTTGTGTTTATTTTTTGTGTTGGCGCAAGAAACGTGTGACCAAAATAAAACAAAAATACAAATAGCAAATTGGGATACAGTAGCATGTGTGGCCACTGGGCAGAATTAGCTGCAAAGCACAGACGTGTCCAGTTACAATAATATGTATGTGTATGATCTGTGGTGGAACCAGAGAACATGAGTGGGACTGTCACGGTTCTTTCTGCGTGTTTCTGCTAATCTAGGTCAAATATACTTTTAAATGCATTTAAATTATACACTTTGGTTCTGGTTGGAGACAACCACCATGTCAGTGTTGTTGTGTTCCCTTAGTGGCACGAGCTGCCCTATCACTAAGAATTTAAAAACCTGTGGCACATCATGTAATCCCTCTTTTTGACATACTGTAATGTAGGACAAATGGATTGAGTTTAAAAGGAAGTTGTCAGTCAGATACACCATTTCAACTGTTAGTCTTACACAGCACCTGGGACAGTAATGTTGTTGTAGCCCAGGGTCTAAAATCAGAATCTGTACCACATCATAACGTCCTTCTCACACGGTGAGTGCAGCCAAGCATTTGAAGAGCAATATTAAATGGCTTCCCACAGATGCTCCTGTGTATTAATCAGCGTAATGAATTAGTTATCCGGTCTTTGTATGTGTGTGTAGCTTTAATTATTGTCTATATAATGAATTAGTTATCCGGTCTGTGTGTGTAGCTTTAATTATTGTCTATTTATCATTATTTTTTATTATTAAGTTGCATTCTGAACAACCTAAAATCTGAATTGTGGTTGTATGGCTCTGCTGACCGACTCTTGCTGTCCTATTTCTGCTGCAGCTTGGAATATGTTTTTTTCTGGCACTGATTGCATGTTTTTTGTTCTTTTATTTAAATCATCAGTGAAAGAAGATTCACCGAGCTGTTGATGTCTTCTGATTTCTCCCTTCACGAATCATTGAATACCACCAACAGCAGTTTTGTCAGCATCTCTACATGAGCACTGAAGACTCACCATGGATTGGTTGATGAGCACTGTTGAGAAAGACCTGGGGATTGAGCAGCAGCAGCAGGGCCCAGGGCCACGCCCACAAGAAATTGTAGCCCTTGTTCCTACACGCTGGGTAACTGAACTGAGGGAGAGAAGGGTGATTCGCTGTGCCCGTTTCAACAGCCCCAGTGAGACTGAAATTTGCACATACCTTCAGTGTCCTCAGGCAAAGCTCCCGCCTGGATGGACACGAGTATGTATCCAGGGTCTAAGAAAAAGTAAACTCAGATACAGATATGTCAGAGACCAATATGATGCACAAAGAGAATTTGCATCAAAGGGCTCCTACGTCAGAACAATGCAGTGTGTCTCCCAGCAGAATGTCAGGTACTGTATGTGTAGATCTTTATTACTGTGGTCTTGTGTTCATTTAAATGTGTAAAACTCTATATAGAAATTGGTAAGGCATACACAATAGGTATAGAAATAATTTAAAGTGTCACAATTAAATTAAATCCATTTACTTTGACATTAAAAGTTTTGCTTTCTTTTTTATTTTCAGGAATCTTTGGCAAGACATTCATAAAAGATTTGTGCAGCAACATGCCGGAGTCAGCGAGCAGATGAACATTTCAGCTATAGATGCAGTGCGTCGTGCATTACAGGCAGTCTTCAACTGCACTTTCATCCTCCTAGACAGAGTGTCACCATCCCTCTCTCCAGCCAGGGAGAAGGAGAAGGAGAAAGAAATCTACCTGCCATCCAGTGGGTGTTGTTTTTCCAAATCCCAGTCAGAGGAGGTCTGTCCCAACGTCCTGCCTGTTGAGTGTCTCGTAGAGACGGCGGAGATGTTGTACGTAATTCTTCCGTATACTCAGTATTCACTTCAAGACATTGTGTCCTTTAGCCCCGCCAAGCTCGCTAACAGCCATGCCAAAGTATTATTTATTCTCTACCAGTTACTAATAGCTCTGCAGGCATGTCATGCTGCAGGACTGTCATGTGGTGAACTTTCTCTGCAGGATGTAGCTGTTGATGAACAACTCTGCATCCGCCTCAAGGTCAATGTGGTCCATTATGAGGAGCTGGAAATGGTAGGGGATACAAAGTGTAACGCCACTGGCAAAGAGGTGCCAAAAAGTGTGGGCACTGTATGTGCGAGCCAAGAGAACACAGCTCTTTGTAGGGAGTGCTTTGATGAGCTCAAGGCATTGGTTCTGGGTTGGGTTCATGGTCGAGTCAGTAACTTCTGTTACTTGATGGAGCTGAACAGGCTAGCAGGACGACGAGAAGGAGACCCTAATTATCACCCGGTGCTTCCATGGGTGGTGGATTTCACTGTGCCATTTGGAAAATTCCGGGACCTTCGCAGGTCAAAGTTTAGGCTTAATAAAGGGGATAAGCAGCTGGACTTCACTTATGAGATGACCAAAGAGGCCTTGGCAGCTGCAGGGAACAGTGGGGTTGTTGGAGGAGTTGTGGGTGAAGACCTCGGTGGTTCTTTAGGTGCTGCTGGTGCTGGACATTCTGACCATCTCCATGTTCCTCATCACATATCAGATGTGCTCTCAGACATAACGTACTACGTTTACAAAGCACGTCAGACTCCAAAATCAGTATTGTGCAGCCATGTCAGATCTCAGTGGGAGCCTAATGAATACCCGGCCAGCATGGAGCGGATGCAGAGCTGGACTCCTGATGAGTGCATTCCAGAGTTTTACACTGACCCCACTATTTTTCGCTCTATCCACCCTGATATGCCAGACCTGGAAGTGCCTTCCTGGTGCAAGTCCTGTGAGGAATTTATAAAGATCCACCAACAACTCTTGGAGAGCAGAGAGGTGTCCCAGCAGTTACATCACTGGATTGATCTAACATTTGGCTATAAGCTATCTGGTAAGGAAGCTGTAAAAGCCAAGAACGTGTGCCTGCACCTCGTAGACAACCACACCAATCTCACCAGCTATGGTGTTGTTCAGCTGTTTGACCAGCCTCATCCACCTCGCTTGTCCCCGTCCCAGTATGCCCCCGCAGAACCTCCTCCCCTTGGCCTAGCAGCTCTTACTGTGCCTTCTCTATACATTCCTCAAGTCAACAGCATCGCAGACACTGTGACTGAAATGGTGCCAGAGTCTCTGGGGTGTGAGACCAGCGGCTGGGCCGTGGTAGAGAGGGATGATGACCTCGAGCAAGGTACAGAGGCTCTAGACTCATTAGCATCCACCGGCTCGTCCAGTTGTATTTCAACGTCTGTGCCGGTGTCCAGTGTAAGTACAACTGCAGCAAAAGTGGGAGGAGAGCACACTGCACCTACCTTTTCTCAGTCTCCAACTTCATGCCCTGCTGATTTGGCAAACGTCCCTACCGCTGCTTTATGCAGTGGTGTGTTACAGAGAGCTGGAACAGTTGGTAAAAAACCTGGAGAAGGAAACCTGACCAGCACCACGGCAGAACAAATCAAAGTCACCCTGCCGGAGCTCTTCAACCCACTGCAGCCGTTGGAAGAGTGGGAAAAGTTGAACAATTTTCTGGTCAAGAGTCTGCAGGCTGAAGTCAACCAAAAAACCAAAGGATCTGGTAATTTCACAGACGGCGACGCAACCATTGAATCGATGCCCACTGAGATACATCTTTTCCAAAGAGACATGCAGGCCCTGGGTGTTGTTATCGCTGAGATTTTTCTCTCCTTCAAACTGAGGAAACTGAGGCCAGGAACGTCACTACGACAGCGTTTCCAAGCCGTCATGAGGCTGACCTCCACCAGTCTCCGGGATATACCACTGTCTTTGCACCAAGCAATAGAGGCCCTCCTGCTAACGAAAAAGCACTCTGGAGTAGCCCATCAGGAGTTACCCCAGTGCCCATGGCCACTTCTGTTTAAATACGATCCAATCAGCGATGGTCTTCCTCCTCCAAACCCTAGCCAGTTGTTAAACTTGGTCGTCAGTGCTTTTCCTTTCCCTCCCTATTTTTCAGCTCTCTACAATTTTATCTTTTCCTACCAATCCAAAATAGAGACTACAAGTAGTCTTCAAGGACGAGACGTGGTCTTTCATCTGTGGCAGCAGCTTGAAACTTTGTTGCGTGAAAACATTACGGCCGAATGCCTCGAGATTCTCTTGCCCTTCATTCTTGCCCTAATGCTGAAGGAATCGACAGCGGTCTATGCTGCCTGGTACCTCTTTGAACCCATTTCTAGAGTACTGGGTCCTAGAAATGCCAACAAATACTTACTGAAGCCACTCATCAATGTGTATGAATACCCTCATTGCCTGCGCGGTCGATTCTATCTCTACACTGACTGCTTTATCCTGCAGTTGATAACACGGTTAGGCCTGCAGGCCTTTCTCTCCATCTTACTTCCGCATGTTTTACAAGTCATTACTGGGTTTGAAAATTGCACCTCAGGCTTTGGTGGAGAAACCCATAAGGGAATGAGGGCTGGCACTTGTATTCTTGAAGAAGAGGAGGAAGATTATCAGTGTGGAGAGATCAGGCCATCGTCAGGGTCCATTAGTGGGAACATCGTTGGTAACAGTGGAGGCAGTGGTGTAGGAGGAGGAGATCCAGGGCTGGTTGACTACTCCTCAGGCATTAGTCTCAATGACCAAGTGTTCCTCACAGAGGCAGAGGACTTTCAGAATGGATTCTATGGCAACAGTGGAGCAGATGTGGCTGCAGATAAACGGAGCAACCAAACCTCAGCATCCAAAGAGCAAGACCAGGAATCCTTAAGCGTCGGGAAGCTTAGTGACAAGAGCAGCACAAGTGAACTGTCCCTGGGTGATGGAGATTCAATGAGGGATCGTGCTAGTCTTAAATCGGCTGACAGCAGCCAGGATCTAAAACACGCAAGTGAAGGAGAGGAGGAAGGAGAAATGGAAGAGGAGGATGTGACTGAGATAACTGAGAGTAAGAATGAGGCGTTTGACGCCACACCTGCTGGCACTGTGAAGCTCACACTTTCCGGTTGCACAGAAGTGCCAGGGGGCGCAATTGTTCCTCTGGAGGGTGAGATTATAAATGAAACAGAACTGGAAGAAAACGAGAGAGAGGTTGTGGAAAGTCAAGAGGAACAGGAAGATGAAGAGAATGATCCCAATTCATCACAAAACTCTGAAGAAAAAGAGCAGAAGATTCTACTAGGTGAGTGAACTCCAGGTTTTTTCCTAGTCCACCAGGTGTGGAGGACAAGTCAGTAAGTAATGACTGTGCTTCTACACACACAGATACGATCTGCAAAACTGTTCGATGGTTATCGGCCAAGCTGGGACCAACACTGACATCCCGCTACATCGCCAGAAATCTACTGCGACTGCTGACAAACTGCTTCCTTGGTATATTTTATATTTTTCATTTTTATCCAACATTGACATTATTGAAAATCATCTGTGTGTAGACTAAGAAATATATTGGTTATAAAATGGTTGTTATTATAGTACAAATTATATGCAAATCATACAATAAGCAGTTTTTGTCCAGTGATCCTATGGTTTGATTGGAACTCCTCTCTTATGCAATATGTTTTTGTTTTGTAAATTACAGTTACATCTGAACATGAATATAAAATCTAGTTGGAAGAAGAAAGCGTAATGGTCTTCATCACTACTATCCCATTCCTACAGTAACTGTATGGTTCTTAACTGCTGGTGTTTCCTGTGTGTTTTCTGCCTGTAGGCCCTGACAAACATCTGTTTGTGGCTGCTCCGTCTGATGACAATAGTCTGGACAGTGTGGGACTTGGCAGCGTGTACGAGAAGAAACCCGTTGTTGGTGATCAGACGGCTTTGCCCGTGTTGGACTGTCTCATCTACATCGCTCAACTTTATGGAGAGCCTGTGCTGACGTACCAATACCTACCTTATGTAGGATATCTGGTAAGAATGAGAAAAATCTGATTATCCCAGGTTTTTGCTGTATTAACAGAACCCTTCTCTAAAAACAATATGAAACAAATGAACATGTCAAAAAAGTATCAATGTGAAAGTGACTTGGTGAGGTGTAAATGCTGAGTCTTATCAATCCTCTGTAACACCCCCATCCCCCCACCCAGGTTTCTTCACCTTCTTCACAGCGACTCAACACACGTAAGGAGGCGAGCCTGCTGGCAGCTGTCGCCCTCACACAAAAGATTGTCATCTTTCTCTCTGACACCACCCTTATGGATATGCTGATGAAGATCAATCAAGATGTGCTGCTTCCTCTTCTGGACCTGCTGACAACACCGACCCTGAGGTAGATTACAAGTGCTCTTTTTCCAGCAATCGCAAACAAAAATGCATTACAAATCAAAGCTGTAATTAATCAGTACTGTTGACTGTGACCTGTGGACACATGTTTTTCAAAGTTAATGAAATGTGATACAAAGTCATCACACAGTAAGTGTATATAATAATTTGCCTTTTTTTTTAATGCCACAGTCAATAACATGTTATACACTTCATTATCAATGACTTAAACTGTTGGAGTTTTAAATTTGATTTCATCAAAGCTTTACTTCATTATCAATGACTTTGACTTTGTTTTAAATTTGATTTCATCAAAGCTTTTTGCTCTGACTTTACTCCACAGAGTTGTGATCATATTAGAATCAAGTGTTCTTTTAAAACTTCAATTTCTCAGCCCTGTGAACCTGGGAATGATTGAAACTAGTCTTTTAAGAGAAGATTTTGTAATTCATAAAAATAAAAAGGAGTTGAAAAATAATGTGTAATTGACCACTATGGTCTTTGCACAGTTGGAGTTTTTATTTGTAATATCAACAAATGTATTAATCATCTGTTCATCACTGCAGCTTCAAAGGTACATCATTACCTCCATTTTGTTTTTCCCCAGTTTCCCCAGTGGGGTGCAGTCTCGCACCGCTCTCTGTCTCAAAACCCTCAGCCTGATGGCTCTCATTTGCCTGCGCATTGGGAGGGAGATGGTGCAGCAGCATATGGCCGAGACTCTGCAGAGCTTTTTTGCTGTTTTTTCTTTTCTACATTGTCTGCAGCCCCAGGTATATTGATACTCACACATTCAAACAGTTTGCCTACACAACATGAACCCTAACTGATGATGTGTAGAACGTGACTTTGAATCAATGAGGGGAGAAAATACAGAAATGTCTTTAATTTTGTATTTAATATATTATATATAGGATGATTGATTTATAGAATAGTGTAGGATAATAAATAAACCTTTGCCGAAAATATACCTATATAGTTTTGATTCTCTTTAAAAGTAGTCCATGTCACCAAAAACATATTTGGTATAGTGTCTAAGTTATTTTCTTTGAGTCTGTGGAACCAGCAGTCACTATTTTTAGACTCAACTACAACACTGCAGCAAAGAGTGTGCAGCAATTTCAGTTTCAGCATCAGTTTCGCTCCAGTTCTTGCCTTTTATTCACTTTACGGAATGTAAAAGAAAAAGTCAGACGTTTTAGAAATGCTTAAGTTGACTGTTTTTGTGAGCGGGTGCATACAGGTTCAAAGTTGTCTGGGTAATATAATAACGCAAAATAAACCAAAATTACCAGGAAACAAGAGAGCAATGGCTTTGAACAGCTTTTTGATCTGCGTTTTTAAAGTGAAAAAAAATGTGGGGATTATTTCATCACGGTGAAGAGGTCTGTGAACCTGTGACAGGTTTTTTTCAAACTTCAGGTGTTTTATTTAGTTGCTCCTATTCCTGGTCTGCAATTGTCTGGGAAGTTAAAATGACTCCTAATTGCTGACATTCTTAACCTACTACAATAATCTGCCCATGAGGGCCATGAGGCACTGAACTGCAGTAGGAAACAACAAAACATTGGCTAATGGTGTGTGTCTGATTGCAGTGAGAAGTCGTTACAGGTATTTTAGTGAAGCACTTGGCCAGATACTGACACTAGCATAGGTATAGGATCAACCATAATCAACAGCACACAATGTTCAGTTCTAATAATAATATTTATCCCTTGTATTAAACTTGGCATCTCTTCTGTTTTAGCTGGAAATCGCCCCGCGGAGAATAGTGGGAGATGCTGTGATGGTTGATGTTTGTACAGCGGAAAAGTCGCAGATAACTTACGAGTTAGGGGTCTTACAGGAGTTGCAGACGGTTTTTAGCCCTGAAATGGCACACGCTTCCTACATCCCCTTCTACTGCCTCATAGGTGAGACACACGTCAATTCTTGGCAAACACCAAATGTGCCTGAACATGTTTCTCAAAAGTCCGTAATGTCTCTGTTTTCTTAAAGGTGATTTGGCGATTCATAAACTGGTTCCCAACCACGACTTAGTTTGGCAGTTGGTCCAGTCTTACCACCAGAGCGTGAGCCAGACGATGATCACAGGAACGCTGAGGACAGAGCAGCCTTTGTCCTCCACAGGTTCTGATTTCAACAGATATGGGGATTTCAGTCCCTTTCCTGCTCCCTCCAATTCCCTCACCCAGGGACAGGGTGAGTCCTTGCTTGAGTCCAGCGCATTTGGGAGTCACTTGGTAGGAAACCGAATCCAAGTGTCAAAGGATACAAACCTGACCATGGCCACCTCTTGGGGCCACTCCAGCCCTACCACTCCAGTCATCACTACCCCATCCATCTACACCACTACCTCTGCTGGCACGTCCCTTTCCACCTCCTGGTTGACAGGCTCCAACCTGGATGACAGTGCTCTGAAACAGGAGCTCCCCCGCAGCAGCCGCGCTCTGCAGGGGAACTGGCTGGCCTACTGGCAGTACGAGATCGGTCTCAACCAGCAAGATCCGCACTTTCACTTTCATCAGATCCGCTTACAAAGTTTTCTGGGTCACTCAGGCACCATTAAGTGTTTGGCCCCCCTCACTGGGGAGGATTACTTTCTTTCTGGTAGCAAAGACAAAACTGTGAAGATTTGGCCTCTCTATAATCATGGTGATGGGACCCAGGAGGTGGAGCCCAGGCTGACCTACAGTGACCATCGAAAGTCCATCTTTTATGTTGGACAGCTTGAAACTTCACATGAGTTGGTCAGCTGTGACGGCACTGTGCATCTCTGGGACATGTACACGGGTAAGAAATGTTAAGTTCACAAGATTTGGTCAAATTTGCAATTACCTGTGACAAGGATCCATGGATCTGAGAGCAGGGGTCGTGGTGTTGTCTTTTTACTGAAGAACCCAAGAGATGACGTTTGAAGAAACCAAACTTGACAGTTCATGACAATGTAGGAATTAGAAAATTAGATTTACTTAAAATTTAAAATTTCAAGTATATGTTGTACTGCACCATGATTTATAGGGTTAACTTGCTATGAAATATTTTACAGTTGATTTCGTACCAAGATAATGTGTACAGAATTTTATAATTGCTGAGAATTACCTAATTATGATTTTAGGCTTGTCATTTCAAACAGAAAACTTGAATCTAGTTGAAACACAGTACAACATAATCTTTAGATGACTAGCCCTTTAGGCTAAACTTTAGTCTAAAGACAACCTAACTAAAGACACCAATTTAGAAAAATAAAGCAAATTCCATCCCACTGTGAACACCATTGTGTTCTTTATCATTTTCTCTTCCATTTACAGGGAAACAGATCCGCTCATACGAAGCTGTTGACGGTAAGAATCCTATCACAGCTCTCACCACCATGCCAGCTCCACACTGCAGCGTTGTGTTTGGCAGCGCAGACTCAGTTCTCCGCTTCATTGATCCTCGTAAGCCAGGACTGCAGGTAGGACCAGGACCAGGACCAGGACCAGGACCAGGGCCACATCGTAAGAAAATAAGATAAAACATTTTTTTACTTGATGACAACAAATGTTTCTATTTTTCTTTAGCATGAGTTCCGTCTAGCCTACAACAACCTAAGTGCAGGGCTCATTCGCTACCTGGCAGTGAGTCCTTCAGGGAGAACAGTGGCTGCAGGGTTCTCCTCTGGCTTCATTGTCCTGCTTGATGCTCGGACTGGGCTTATTCTGAGGGGCTGGCCCGCTCACGAGGGAGATATCCTCCAGATAAAGGTACTAACTAAAATGTGTTTTCTGGTGGCATAAGTGAACTTACAGTTAGTTACATATGAGTTTGAATAGTTTGACAAATAATTATAATAAGGACATTAGAATGGAGGTAAACCTGAAAGGGTGTTTAACACTGGTAGGCAGTATGGGAAGAAAAACATTTTTTTGGCCAAAAATACAAAATATTTAAGCATTAAGTAGTTTTATTATTAGTCATATCATTAGTAAACAAGCTTTCAATAAACCTTTACCATTACCAGAGCCTACTTCACTGGTTTTATATATAAGCGTACAGTATTATGGCAGGCATTAACTGAGCATATGTTTTTCTTTCTAAACAGGCGGCTGAGGGAAATATGGTCATTAGCTCCTCCACTGACCACACCCTCACAGTGTGGAAAGACCTGGAAAACAAGCCTGTGCGTCAATACAAGTCTCAGTCTGACCCCATCCACGCCTTTGACCTCTACGGATCTGAGATCGTGACCGGAACAGTGGCAAACAAGATTGGGGTGTACTCCATGGCTGACATCTCTCAAAGCCCTGTCAGCAGCACCAAACTGAGCTCAGAGAACTTCCGCGGCACTCTGACCAGCCTGGTGGTTCTGCCCACCAAGAGGCTTCTGCTGCTGGGCTCCGACAACGGTGCCATCAGGCTGTTGGCTTAAAGCAGAGTGACACATTGACATCGATCAGCTCGATGAGCTAGACCTACAGTCAGACTGACAATGAGATGCAGAGAATAACACCTTCAGCCCAAAGAAGGCTCGGCTAAAACGCTCTACTTGCCTGGTTATGTGGCCTTGAATTAATGCACATTTAAAGCTTGCTACAGTCAATGAGATTTCAGGTGTATATCTAATGTTACTGTTGGACAGCCTTATCCAAATGTGAACTATATGTTTAAGATACTCTCTTTACACCCCCAAAGTCCAGAAAAAATAATCTGATCATTTCCCTACGGACACTAAGAGCCTCATGCTGCAGGAACACCTGCGTCACAGATCACAGGCTTGTGAGTTCAGTCACGGTCCTTCTGGGGGATTTCACAGGTACTCCCGACTTCCTCTTCCAGTCCACAAAAACATGCAGGATGAGGTTAATTGTTTGCTTTATGGTGACCACAGGTGAGTGTGACTGGTTGTTTGGCTCTGTATCTGACTCTGGACTGAGGAGCTGTTCAGGAACTAAGGCAGACTGCTGGCTCACCTGGGACCCTGAACAAAGGATTACTAAAAGCTGAATTAATGAACCTTCATGGTTTCCTGTCCAGAACCATACATTAAAAAAAAAAATTATTAATACAACATTATTTAGAAAACATTAGCAATTTTAGGAATACAGACCAAACTGGTCTGCTGTGCCATTAAAGTAATCACCATTGAAAAAAGAAAAAGACCTAGTGATCATGATCATAAACTAACTAGTCTGAGGTTTAATGAATATTGGTAAGTCCGCTGAACAAAATCTTAATTTTCTAGTTAGAAAAAACAATAAACTGAGAGAAAGCAACTGTTTTTATCTTAAATGGTTGTTGAATTGAAGCATTAGTGTAGGTTTTACTTAGTTTTCCCGTAGACAAGCAACTGAAATCTGACATTTTGTGGATGTGTTTCTAGATTTCAAATAACTGGCCCTGTTCTTTAACCTTCATCTTATTTTCACTTTTACCAAGTTTCACCTCTGTGACTGTTGGCACTGAATCTAATGCCTAGTTATAAAGTTTTGAAGTTTTCACTATGTACAGTACAGTCAAACCTTAATTTTCTACAATTTAAAAATGATCAAAAGCCTATATGTCCTAAAGCAAAGAACACATTAAGATGAGAAATTCTTTCATTTAATATCTTCTGGCATTCTCTTGTGAAGAATGACTTAGAAGATGAAGTCCTTGGTAAGATGGAACTGAGCCCTGGCTCTAATACAGTGTTTACACTTTTAAAGTAAATGCTGTACAGCACTGTTATCCTCCCTGTAGTTTTCAAATGCACTGATCAATCTATGCAATGTTTGTTGACCATGTCCTTTTTTGTGTCAACTTTATTCTGCCATATTTGTTTTTCATTCTGGCCTGCTGTTTTAACTGTTAGTTACCTGATATTTTAATTATGTAATTTTTATCCACTAATAAAAATTACTCAGTGTTGCTTTTGCCTACCAGAAACTTTTTATTTGGACCTGTTAAAAACTTCGTTGATGTTTTTTTTTCTTCTTTTCTAAAATTTATAGAATTAGCTCTAGGAAAGCATCTTAACAGTTGCCTTTTCGACCACTTATGTCAGTTAGCATTCATATATATTCTCTTTTTTATTTTAGTCGTAAGTACACATTATGGAATTGAATTTTCTATGTTTCGCTTGATCTGTTGAATCTCAAAATCTCAAATACGCTGCCTTTTATAGTCTAGTTTATATAATAAATGAAATCAATTAGGAAATGTAATTCATTGCTTCAAAACAACCATCTTCCGTACGCGTTGCTTTAAGAAACACTTAACCCATTTAAAAGCTCTTAAGATACCGTAGGCTAGTGTTGTCTCGAGGCCAGAAGCCAAAATTCATGCAACAAATTGTTGGAACTGAAGAAGGCATTGCCAAGTTGTGTATAGCTGAGGCACTGGGGTCTAGCAAACAAAGGCTCGCAGCACTGGCTACCAGCCTGAAGAGGCAGAGTGGAGAGAGAATCGAGGTCTGTTCTAAACAGCAGAGTGGACAAAATGACAGCAGATATGTGTCCATTAAATAACACTAATGCCAAGTGAGTGATGAAGAATGGAAGATATGAGAAGGAAATGGGAAAAAGGATGAATCCTTTGTAAGAATGGAAGATATGAGAAAGAAATGGGAAAAAGGATGAATCCTTTGTAGCTCAAATAAACCAACTATTTGGAACCCACTGAGGGTGGTGGACACCAGGCCCAACAGTCCTGATGATAAAGGACCCACCAGCCCATAACCTGCTGAGGATAACAGGCTGCTATCAGGCATCTAATATGTGAGCAATGAACAGAAGGGAACTAGCAGTAGCACTAAGGGTGGCCAGCTCCATGCCTCAAGGCCCTTTGGGGAACTATGGAGGACAACTTTAGGCACTAACTCAGAGCCGACTGAATATTTATCAGCCACAATGTCTACATGGATGACATGGAGCTGTATGTCAGTAGGGAACATGACATAAATCCACTCATCTGAACTTGGTCTGCAGCTGAAATATTTGGAACTTTAAGTTCCGTTGTGCAAACAGATCATGGCTTCTGATTGTACAACTGTCTGATCAATAGAAGTTGATCTTTAACTTTGCTGAACAACAGCCAATCTTTTGCTGTCAGTCCTTCTATCAGTTGCTCCTCTTTGGAACGAAGCAGCACATGCTGTAACTTTCAATTCAAATTTACGGTAAGATTATCTTTTTATAGATGCCTTTTGTATATATTGTTTGTTTTAGCTATTAAGCTTGTATGTTAGCTACCTATTTCTTAGCTAATCGCTGTCTTTTGGTCATGACATTTAATTTTAGGTATATTGGTCAACTCAACTGGTCAAGAAAATCCCTGGGGTTTCTTTTATTTTATCAAGGCGGTGGTCATGTTGTGGCTAACTGTATAAACTACTTACGAGGTTCACATTTGGAAATGAACAACTTGAAGACGTGTCCTGATAGTTGACAGTGACCCTCTCCCACTAGTCACTTCCTCCTCTACCAATGTCCTAACAGTAATGGACATTCACTCAGTGACATTGCCAACAGCATTCTGACTCTGCCTTCTCTTTATTTAAAAAAAAAAAGAGTTTTAAGTTTAAGTTTTAAATGAGAGTTAAGTTCTTTTTGCTCCTAATACTTGATATTCAGAAACATTCCAAATAAATTTTATAAAAAAATTAAAATTATATTATATTATATTATATTATATTATGTTATGTTATGTTATGTTATGTTATGTTATGTTATGTTATGTTATGTTATGTTATGTTATGTTATGTTATGTTATGTTATGTTATGTTATGTTATGTTATATTATATTATATTATATTATATTATATTATATTATATTATATTATATTATATTATATTATATTATATTATATTATATTATATTATATTATATTATATTATATTATATTATATTATATTATATTATATTATATTATATTATATTATATTATATTATATTATATTATATTATATTATATTATATTATATTATATTATATTATGAGAAGTACGACAGTGTCATTTCAGAGTTTCTCCAGTGAGCGTTGAAAGGACATGGACCTTCGGCTGACACTGTTGCTGATTTTCTTCTGCAGCCCAGGAGTAATTGTAATTCTCTGACATGACTCGTGAATAAATTCCCATCATTCAACTTGAACTGAACTTACTTAGATTCATTTCTTTTCTCTTTTCTTCCCAACAGAATAGTGAGACGGTACAAGATGAGTCTGCTCCCACGGTGCCTTTGATTCCTTTAATACCAGGCTTATTCACTGAGGTCAGAGGTTTGATGGCTATCTTTGTGCAAACAATAAATGTGGAACTATGAACTGTTATGCCTCTCAAATTCAACAATCAATGGTCACATAATTGGTCAACTCAGAATTAATTGAATAATTAGAACATTTACATGGGTTTTTAAAGTTTGATTCTGAAAGTTAAGAACTCCCCTGGAAACTTTATTTATTTTTTGGTTTTGCCAAATAAACACGCACTAATGATTTGTACTACTGACAGTATTTTACTTTGCATTTAAACAAAATACATGTGTCTCTACACTAGAAAGAAATGTTTTTCTTGGTCCAAAAACTTCTAGTCAATTCCTGTGTGATGACCTTATAACTTTGGTGACACTTCACACTCCACACAAGTTCCACTCTTGATTATTAAGTTTACAATTTTTTTAATTTTTTTTTCCTTGACACTTTAGCCATAGGCAAACAGTAGAGCAGAGGTATATACCTCAGTTTTAACTTTAATCAATGGTTCAAAGTCCCTTAGTAAGTTAGCACAGGTCCTGTGTTTGTGTAATGTAACCCCCGCCCACACACATACACATTGGTCAATTCCCTCAAATCCTTGTTTTCTGCTTTTTCTTCTCTGGTCTACAACTAAGGGTTGTTTTTACAGTGTACAGCATTACTGTTATTATATATAGTGTTTACAGTCTTTTATAGTCTACAGTCTAATCTTATGTACACCGAACGCTCTTTCAAAAGCAATAAAAGCACAAACATTTTCGGTGTAGATCCTAAACGGTATTCTTTTCTTTTTCTTTTTTTTGCCATTTTACTCTGATTCCTAAAAGTTGTAAATATTTGGACCCCTCAGGAAACAAAAAATGAAACTACAGCACCCCCCACTGAGGCTAGTCCCACCGGTGGGTCTTCAGAGGAAGAACCAGAAGAAGGTTGCATGGCCATCGGCCGAAACCTTGAGTCCAGACAGGCCATTGCTGCAGCCATTCAGAAACTGGGCCTAGAACTTCTGCAGAACCTAGAGAGGACACCTGACAAACCCAACATCATCATCTCGCCTCTGAGCATTTCACTGGCTCTCTCCCAGTTGGCTTTAGGTGTGTGACCCGACCACATCCTACTGAAGTTGCTCCGCAGCATGTAATGACCAGTGAGTCAGTAATCTTTCAGTCAGTTAGTTTTATCTGTCTGTCTTATGTGTAGGTGCAGTGAATGAGACAGATGAGCTACTGATGAATCGCCTTCATAATAACACACTGCCCTGCTACCACCACGCTCTGCGTCACATCCTGAATCGCCTCCGGAAGAACAAGCTGAAGATTGCCACCAGAATCTTCTTGCGTCAAGGTGAGAGCTCTGCATCTTGACTGAAACTTTGAACTGTTTTAAGTACAATTAAATTTGTCTCATTGTTTTATAAAATTCACTCTTTAGTTTTGAAGTATTCTTGCAACTTGAACCAGTCAGTATTTTTGGTTACTTTTAAGCTCTTTGTAGGCTACTTTAATGTATACATGTATATTATTGTTTGTTTGCTGACTCTTGACTCTTTTAGTTATTAGTAACTTAAGAGTAGCTTAATCATATAGAAAAAACACCACACTTTTACCACTTTGACAACATTGATCAAAGAATGTATGATGAAATTTGAAAAAACATTGCTAAAATAAACAGACTACTAAACAAAACAAACAAAACTAACTACTACTGTTACCTTTGGCTACAGTTGTACAGTTTTTATCTATTGCCTTTGGCTGATTAGTGACTTCTTTATATTTTGTATGTTATCTCTTCTTTTCAATTTTACTCTTTTTTTAAAAAAACTTCTGCTTCTGTTAATTTGCGTTTCAGGTTTTGAACCAAAACAAGACTTTGTGAATGAGTCCCTGCGTCTCTACAGCTCAGAGGCTGAAGTGCTGGAGAGTCTGGAACAGATTAACAGTTGGGTGGAGAAGGCCACACAGGGACAGATGACCAACTTCTTACCTAGTTTACCACCAAACCTACTCATTCTGCTCATCAATGCTGTCCACTTCAAAGGTGATAGGCACCAGTTCTCCCCACAATCCTGAATATTAACAGTCTGAAAAGTTAGCAGAGTGTGTTAACTTCTACTGTCAACCGTGTCAAATGCTTATGAGTTTTGATATATCGGGGTGCGGGCCACATGTGTGTGTTTAATGCCCACGGTCCAGAGTTTGAGATTGTTGGAAAGTCAGTACCAAAAATATTTTAACCCTCCCCCAACATCACTTTACTAAAACTAAAACATTCTATCTACCCTTCATTCACTTTGTTCTAATGTCATTTTTAATAACCTGCCATTTTGTTCCTCAGGTGTGTGGAAAGCACGATTTGACCCACGTTTCACATCCAGAGGTGTCTTCTACCTCAATGACCACCACATGGTGGACGTTGAAGTGATGGAAGACGCCAAACATCCCCTCAGTTTATATATACACAATGACCTCGAGGCTCAGGTAAAAACAAAAGGTTTCTTAAAAAAATCTTTGGGTAGGCTATGATTTTTAAACATAATACGTCTGGTACCATGTACAAGAGGCAACAGGAGGTGAAGTCAGGGATGAAGTGGTTTGCATCATCACAGCTCCTTCACTTTAAATACAGTGTATCCATGTGCATTTGGTTATTTGTACATATACCATCATTGTTGTCAAATCTAAAGTTCTAATGTGGACATAACTTTATTCATTGTGCATTTGCAGTGTTGTCCCTGGCTAATATAGTAAAATATTGAAGTTTTGTTACCAACTATCAGCAGCTTTACCCTTTCATCCTCTTGTTCTGTTATCTTCACCTGCCTCCATTTTGCAGAAGAACAAATACATTAATAGATCTTTTCTTTAGGTGGCGAGATTTCCATTTCGGAAGTCCATGAGCCTGTTGGTGGCACTCCCGCTCTACAGCCATGTAGATGTGTACAATATGTATACAAAAATCAATATCTCTGACCTTTACCAGCGTCTGCCCAAAGAGAGGGCCGTTCAGGTTAAAGTTCCCAAATTCACATTGGACTACACTCAGGATTTACAGGATGTTTTGACCAAAATGGGTAAGACATTTTAAACATTTTATTTGTTTACCTCGTTTCAATTTATGTTTAGTAAAATAAAGGGCTGTCAACGGACTAAAACTTGAATCAGATTAATCACAGGGTAGTAATGGATTAATCACATTTAATCCTGGTCATGAGTTATCACAATTAATCATGATTCATATTTTGTATACTGCTGTAACAGAAAAACTAATACATATTTCTTTTCTTGTTTTTTTTTTAATTTATTTCATTGTCCTTTAGTTTAACATAAAAAAAAAATTATTTCATTGTCCTTTAGTTTAACATATATATATTGTTATATTGTTTTTGGTCATAGATAGGACTGCTGGACGAAAATTGTATTGGATTGCTGTAAATTAAACTGCATTGGATAAAAAATGTATAGAAATAATAAAATGATTCATTCCTGTTAGTCACTAAAAATGACCAATGGATATTAAAATGATTGATTCCTGTTAGTCACTAAAAATGACCAAAATTTACAAAACGTGTTTAATCCGCCAAAAACGTAGCATTTTGTGAGCTTTTAGCCAAATCATAATCCCCAATACCGAATATAACCCAACCCTGGTTTGAACTTAGTTCATGCTACCAAATATGACATTTGATTTTTGCTGTTTCGCAATTCCAAACTTGATATGGTCATGATTAATTGTTCTCTAATTGTTCTTGTGCTTTGCATTTGAGCTGTTTCTCTTTTTTCTGTCAGGCTTGGGAGAACTGTTTTCTGCTCCAAACTTGGCAAACTTGGCAGATGGCCCCCTGGTGGTCTCCAGCATCAAACACAAGTCAAGCCTGGAGATTAATGAGGAAGGTGCTGAGGCCGCTGCTGCTACCAGCGTAGTCATCTCACGTGCATCTAACCCCATATTCCACCTCACTCGTCCCTTCTTCTTTGCCCTGGTGGACGATAACACAATGGTTCCGATTTTCATGGGGGTCATCAACAACCCCAGTCCTGGAGCACCGGTGCTGAAAAGAGAACAAGTTACCCGAGATAAAGTTGCGTACCCAGTGGATAAGAGTTATGACTCCTCATCTGGAGGCCTGCCCAAGTGAAGGACTCATTATCTGGCCTGTTTGTCCAAGGAGACCAAGACATATGTTTAATGTCAATAAGCTGGATCAGAGTCAGTGTTAAATTGTCAATAATACTATAATCATTTTTTGTTTGACAGCCCAAACATGAACTTGGTATGGCTATAAAACTTAAGTATTATTATAAAATATTTGAGTTCTTAGGTCATTAGATAAAGCCTCAGCCAAGCTCATTACATTATGTGTTTCAGTATTATTGTGCTTTTTTTTGACCACTGAAATGTGCCATCTGATTTAAAAAAAAATAAATTTCATGATCTTGGTCACTTGGTGTGTCATGTTTCATGGTAAACTATAGTAACACATACACATTTTCTATTGAAAGTATGCTGAATGTATTATTCTAGGATATAATCAAGGAAGCCGTTGTTGGATTATGAATTTTTTAAATAGCAATATTTCCTAATCATAAAAAAACGAACATTTAAAAACCTTTGCAGTGTTTACAAATACCTCTACCTCTGAATTTAACATGTGTTATGCGATACATAAAACAAATGAACCCCGAGTACAGTAGGTACATCACCCTGGACGAAAGTCAAACAATGTGTTGACAGAATGGCTTTATCATATTACTCAATCTCAATTGAACATTTAATATGAAAGTTCTGACGGGTCGTGTGTGTAATTCTGGTGCTTTTATTTTGGTAGGAAAACAGAAGAAACTCACCAGGAAGTGTATTTTTGTTTCACAATGATGATTTTTATTAATTAATTAATATTTTTATAGTTCCGTGAATAGTATTATGCATTTCCTGTACATGCGTTATGTCTTAGTACATACGATTATTGATAATATTTTCTTTTATTGTAGGCCCTCTCAGTACTTTCAGTTCTACAAATGTACTATTTTACCATCTTTTATATTGACCTGTGCTTTCTAAAAACCACTGCGAACATTTATGCCACACTGCCAATGTAATTTGTTCAATAAGAAAGAAAAAAAAGATGTAAGACAGCAGTTTGACGCAGGAGACCGCCTTTAAAGATGTTACCCGGAAGCGGAAGTTGAAGTTGAATGGATTTGGAGCGCTTTTTATATGTGTTGGCGCCACAGAAATCAGTTGTTTAGCTAGACAGCAGTGAATGCACAAGAAGAATCTTTGCCTTGTCGGTAACATATATTCTCTAGAAACATGACGAAGCTGTCAGAGGGAGCCATAGAGGTAAGAAGAACGACACACGCCTTCAAAATGTGTTTTAAAAATGCAAATATGGCACAAGTTAAAATGTTTGAAATATTTTGGGCTGTCTTGTGGCTTGCCACAATTGGCTGAATTGTGTTTTACCTCCTCGATTCCTGTATGGACTAAATGTTGAAATGAACTAGCCCACAGTTGTCAACATAAGCTGAGTCCAACGAATGTCTTGAAATTAAATGTTAGCTGTATATTTTGTGGCGATGTTTAGTAAGGGCAAACTATGACACTGTCTCGGTCTACACAGGCTCTGGCGTCTGGGAACCCTTTTAGTGATCCTGTTCTCCAGCTGGTGGTGAGTTGAGTTTTTTTTAATAAACAATGAATTTACTATTTAGATACCCACATTATCTTGTGATATTTCTTAGTGACAGTTTAGTGCAGTTTAGATGCGTGATGAAATGTAAATAAAAATGAAAAGTTGCTATGGAATTGTGTTTTTCGTTTATTTCTAATAATGACAATAAAGCATAAAATATTACTGGTAATATCTAAACAAGTTCTTGTCCAAGCAGAAGTCATCTTTCAGCTACTCAAAGGGTCATCTTCCTTATAGCTCTCAGAATGATCTGCATGTTTTGTTGAATAACTTTGAACACACACACATGAGGCAGATCGCTTTTATCCTGGATCCAACAGAAAATATTGCAGCAACTCTTCCTCTTTCTCATTACAACAACTTTTTCCTCCTTGTCTCCTGTTTATTCTTTACTGTGTGTTCTTAAGCGCCACCTTGTGCTGTTTTAGAACGTTACTCGTCTTGTTCTTTTCCAAAACGGTTGCTTGTACAGTTAATAATAATAATTTTTAAATACGTTTTTATTGAAAATGGGTTTCTAAATATTCTAAACAAACTGCTGTATACGGCTCCTTTACTGAGACAAACAATCATGTTACTGTTTAGAATATCCGCAGGATTGACAGTGGCAGTGGGCCCGCTCGTTTCCGTGTAATGATGAGTGATGGGAAGCACACTCTGTCCTGTAAGTTTACTTTGTTAAGTCGCTCCTGTATCTTTTCACAGTGGAGTACTTTTAGCAATGGAGTATGAATAATAGTCCTGAACTTATTTTCTTTGTGCAGCCTTCATGCTCTCCACACAGCTGAACCAAATGGCTGAGGACAACATCCTGGTTCCTAACTGTTTGTGTGTTCTGAAGAGACACGTGACCAATACACTGAAGGACGGACGGTGGGTGTGGCAGTAGATTGATTGTGTATATAATCCAGATCAAATAAGAAGGCCTTGTGGTATCATGTTCAAAAGCTGCAGCAGTTGATCTCCACTGTTAATGAAGATAACTCATTACAGGCGTGTGGTCATCATTTTGGAAATAAATGTGGTCAAACCTGCTGAAGACGTTGGTGGGAAGCTTGGTGACCCAGTTCCTTACTCTGAAGGTGAGGCCTTCAAATGTGTTTCTACCTTAATTGTTCATCAGTCTTGCTTCAGTGTGTATATATATATTTAGTTTTAAAAATGTTATAGTGTAAATCAATTTAAATGTTGCATTAGTTATGTGAATTGTGGTAAGCAGCTGTATCAAGGTAGTATTTGTGTTTTTTTTGACAGTTTTTTATAAACAATGACATACCTTTAAAGTTCTGTAAATTGGCTGCTAGTTAGAATAAAATGGGACATTTTAAATATCATTTGAGAAGATCAGATATTTCAAACTACTGTATTTTCTGGACTATAAATTGCTCCAGAGTATTAGTCGCACTGGCCAAAAAAAAGTAAATTGTAAATTTTCAGTGGTACTGGAGTAGCAGATACTGGTACACAAGTCCCAAACCCAGCCAAAGAATGAAAAAAGTTTGATTTTTATTCTGGAGAATACGGTACAAACCAGGAAGAGTCATTTCAGTAGTTCCTTAATATTTCCAAGGATCTTGTTGCACGATTCTTCCCTAAAGTTTTGTCCACTTGTCACTTGTTTATTTTTCTAGATTTTCACTATAATTAACTTCCTTGGAAACACTTAACAATCTTCCACCCAGGATGTAATAATCCACATTTATGCACTGTCGACCCCCGACCCCTAGAAACGTCTTTGTCACATCCATTTCATATAATATATTTTCTCATCACCTCCTCGTCTGCATGTTCCCAAACCAACTGCATTCCCTCCTTAGGATTTGATAAAGGAAAGTTGTAAAAAGTTGTTGGTAAAATCTTTGACTTTAGTGTTGTGATATTGTCTGGACTAAAACAAATGGGTACCACACAACTGGTGCTGTCAGGTTGAATATCAAAATATTACGCCCTACTACTTAGATTCTCAGTGGTCTTTGAAGTCTCTGCCCCTCAGTAGCTCTGGGTTGCCAACATAGCAGGAAGTTAAACATACAGTAACAAGATAGTAGCCAGTTAGCTAAAGCCTGGCTCTTTATTAAACAGCCCCAGACATCCCACAGTACAGGTGTTCAGTACTAAATAAGCTAAATCAAACTGGTCAGCAGCTGTTGTTTTCAATTGCAGTAAGTGTTAAAATATGACACAGCCGTCAGTCAAACGTTCTGTTATGGTAATGGCTCTGCAGGGTCTGAGCTAATTTTCCAGTCATTGTTGTAGGTCAGAGTCGAGGTCCAGCACAGTCTGCTCCCCTGTCGGCCCCAGTGCCAGAGAGTCGGACTCCGCTTCAGCCACAGAACCGAAATGAAGGTGAGAGGAAGTTTATCTTCATCTTTCAACTTGATGTAAATTAGGACACACCATGACTGATTGTTGGTTCCCCCTAATCTGAAAGGTTAGAATTATGGAAGCAACCTAACCGTAACCTAACCCTGGGATCTGTCTTTGTGTTGGTGGTTTTCTTGATATTAAATATCTTGTTATTTGCAGCTGCCCAGCCTCTGTGTTTCTGTATAGAGACATCATATCATGCAGTTTTTTTCTTAGTACATTTTTTGTATTTCTCTTATTTTGAAAAAAAAAATTTTTGGCATGTAGCCTCTCATTATTTGGTACTTGGTTGATTTATGATTTATCTGTGCATTTCTTCCACTTCCCCCTTATCTTTTCCTTCTACAGCTGTAGCTGTAGTTCATCTCCTTTTCCCTTTTTCTACGCTCTTCTATTAGTTTCCTCTCTCCCCTTTACTATTCTTGGTGAGAACGAAGCATAATGGGAGATTGTTGCTAGTAGTCCTAATATCTGTGAATAGTGACAAAATTGTCTCTTTTTTTCAAAGAAAGTAATTACTGAATCCTACTTTCGCTCTGCTCTTCTGGGTTTCATTCAATTCTTCTCATTTTCAGTGGTGAACAAAGGAGGCTTCAACAAAGAATTTCGAAAAAATGCTCCGTCTTCTGTGTGTTCAACACCCGGGGTTGGGTCCAAGGTGGCGCCCATAGCCAGCCTCAACCCTTATCAGTCCAAGTGAGTATTCAGTGTCGTGATGATAGGAGTCACTGAAGTTCTTCAAGATCCTAAAATGTCAGAATCCAGGTTTAAAGATTAAGTAAAAAGTACCACGGTCCTGCAGTTGTGTAAAGATTTGATGAAGAAAAAGATTTTTAAAACAATATTGAAGTGGTTTGAATGTCCACTTAATCCTCTGTCATCATTGTTGGTGAGTAGAGGCCCGTCAATAAACAGGGTGACAGTATATACTGTAGTACAGTAGAGCATCAGTACAAACACAGATCAAAGGAGTGATGGTGAATAAAGGTCAGTGGATTGACTGGTTCTGTTGTCCAACAGGTGGACCGTCCGCGCACGTGTCACTAACAAGAGCAGTATCCGCACATGGAGCAACTCCCGTGGAGACGGGAAACTCTTCTCTATGGAGTTGGTGGACGAAAGTGTAAGACAAGGCACAGATTTTATTTACTCATGTTTTTAACGCCTGGAAACCGTGTGCCGTAGCCAGACTCTAGTTATTTATTTATTTACACTTCCTGTGACTGCTTTTGTCTGGTGACAGGGAGAGATCCGCGTGACTGGCTTCAACCAGGAGGTGGATAAGTTCTACACCCTCGTGGAGGTCAGCAAGGTGAGATCATGTTCCTGTGGTTGTGGTCTTTGGTGGTCTTTGTAGTCATGGTCAGGTGATTTAATTGTGTCTTAAATATTTTTATTAATATTTGCTGTGTAGTCGTTAACATGCCTGCCATGAAAGCAGAGTTCATGGTCCAGGGTTTGATCCCAGAGGAACCACATATTTCTGATAGCGCCTCCTGTGGCAGCTTGTGTCCGTTGCAAAGACTCATAGTGTAAAGTTCCCCTCTGTGGGACGATTAATAAATTCCAATATTATGATTAATGTTTGTGTACTTTTCCAGGTGTACTACATCTCAAAGGCCTCACTGAAGATCGCTAACAAACAGTACACGTCTGTGAAGAACGACTATGAGATGACGCTGAATGGAGAATCCACCATCATTCCATGTGAAGACAACTGTGACGTTCCCATGATGCAATACGACTTTGTTACAATCGGCGACTTGGAGAACAGAGAGAAAGACGCCACTGTTGGTAAGGCCCACAATGCACCTGACCTTCATGAGTGGAATCTCTCAGAAATGACTACGACCACTGGGAAGATTCTGTTCAAGCTCTTAGTTTCTCTCAGTTTCTCCATTTCATCTCTGCTCAATGTCTCTTCATTTTATCAGAGAAAAATCAATATTTAATTTTTTTTATTATTACTTTTATTGTTGTTATTATTGTTATATTTTCTCATTAGAATGCAGCATGGAGCCAGGAAATAACCCATAGATGCATCTCCTTTTTGCAGATGTTATTGGAGTTTGCAAGAGTGTGGATGAGGTGACCCGCCTGACGACCAAAACAAACAGAGAGGTGTCCAAGAGGACCCTCGCTCTGATGGACATGTCAGGGAAGGTGGTGAACGTCACATTATGGGGCGAGGAAGTAAGTTGTTTTTTTTTGTTTTACTTTGTTTTGGCCAGAGTTTATAGTTTAAGTGTTTCAGTCTCACCAACAAAATAAAACGAATCATTTATAAAACGACCCACAGCCACCAAGTACAGCTAATGGTGTTGAGAATGAGCTTACTGTTCAAAAAGAAAGTATAAAGGGAGTATCGGTTCATTTAATAACACCTGTTGTTCACAGGCGGAGCAGTTTGACGGCACTGGTCAGCCTGTTTTGGCCATCAAGGCAGCGAAGCTCTCCGACTTTGGAGGGCGCTCCCTCTCTGCGTCCTTCAGCAGTACCTTGGTGGTCAACCCAGACATTCCTGAGGCCTACAAGCTCAGAAGCTGGTAAAGATATATAGAATACTAAAAATATCAATCTATTAATCCTGTTTCAAATCTTTGACCTTGAATTAATCTGAGCTGGATTTACGTTGGTGGGTGGGATGGTAGCTATATTAAAAAATATTTTAAAGTCTTCCAAGAAAATTCTTCATTATTATTATTATTTTTTTCTACTAAGCTATGACAAAGAAGGACATGCTATGGAGGCTCATTCTTTGACTGAGGTCAGAGGTGCTGGTGGTGGTGGATACATAAACTGGAAAATGCTCTCTGACATCAAAACTGAGCATCTGGGACATGGAGAGAAGGTACCAGACTTTGATCGACTTTTTCCACATACTTGTTGGCTCCATTTCTTTCGGTTCATCAGGTTAAACATTAAACGATCCAGACTACGTGAAAAGTTTATTTAGGTTTCATTGGGATATAAATTGGGTTAATGAATATTTTTGTGAAAGCTGATTTTTGAGACACACCCTCAAATACACAGATTCTGTCTTCACAGAAATTTCTTTTTACAATTATGTTTTTGTTTTTTTTTTAAGGCGGACTATTTCACCTGCCTAGCTACCATCGTGTACCTGCGAAAAGAGAACTGTCTGTACCAGGCCTGTCCAAGTCAAGATTGCAACAAAAAAGTGGTGGACCAACAGAACGGCATGTACCGATGTGAGAAATGCGACAAAGACTTCCCCAACTTCAAGTACCGCCTCATTTTGTCTGTAAGTAACTTTCAGTTGGATATGATGTTCTTTATTAAAAACAGACCGGAGCAAATCCAGTGACTTAACAAGGTATGTTGAGTTTAAAGCCTTGCTTTCCTGCACTACCAAGGTGGCTAGATCGCCATGGTAACTGACCAGGTTATGTTCAGGGTTTCATCTTAAATCAGCGTAAGCATACGCAGTAGTACTGAAGCAGCAGTGATTTTGGACGTGTTCCTGACTCAACTTTGATTAAAGTTTATAAACTGAAAAATCGACTGTTTTTGAAAAGTACAGGAGCTGGAACAAAGACTGCAGCGCCCTGACGGAGCTGCTTCTTAGAGATTCCACTGATCTGCTGACATTTCCTAAATTAGGCTTGATAGTTAACCACTCCATTCTACATTAAATGTTTAATATATTGGTAAACCATCAACTTTTGTCATTAATTGTGCGCCTTATCCCTGTACCTGCTGTTTAAATACACACGTGTTCATTAGTTGGTTTGAAACCTTGTTTCTGGTGCTCATGTTTTCTCCTTGGTCAGGTCAACGTGGCAGATCATGGTGACAGTCAGTGGATGACCTGTTTTCAGGAAACTGCAGAGGCTATACTTGGTCAGAACGCAGCTTATCTTGGACAGCTCAAAGACTCGGTGAGGCTCCGCTAAAAAAAAACAATTCTTTGACAAATTTGTTTCCATTTATTTTTCCTCTGTTTTTGCTGCATTATGTCTACTCCATACTTGTGAGGTTTTTTTTTTTTTGTTTTTTTGTTTTTTTTCAATTTATTTATCAGACAGATTTTCAGAATGAAGCAGCCTATGACGACATCTTTCAAATGGCAAACTTCAGCACCTTTATCTTTCGCAGCAGAGTGAAGCTAGAAACCTATAATGTAAGTCAAACCAAAAACAGGGGAGAAAAATACATCTGTGTTGCAGTAACAGAGAATCACACTGCTTTTCCACAGCACAAAACCAAAGTTTTTAATGTTTTACACACGATAAAAAAAAGAGCTGGAGGTCGACCAGAATAGATTATTGTAAAATAATCGATTGGATGGCTATTTGATTTCTTTCTTTCTACATTTGATCCTGAAATTTTGACCAATATCAGACAGATAAATATCTAAAACATGGTAAACAACGGCCTTTAACCTTCTTATCACAAACTGTTTTTGACGGCCTGTGTTCTGTGTTTTCTTCACCAGGACGAATCCAAAATCAAGGCAACAGTAATGGAGGTGAAGCCTGTGGACCACAAAGAGTACAGCAAGAGGCTGATTATGAACATAAGAAAACTGGCTGCTCAGTAAAAACGCCCCATCCAGCACTATGTTTTGTTTTGGTTTATTTTGTTTTGTACAGATAACTAAGAATTTTCAAAGTAAACTAGATCCCTGCGTCTGGCATATTTAGTGGCGCAGGGCTTTTGTGTGATTTCTATGTGATTTCATTTATGACCCCTTAGAAAAGCCAATAAAGTTGAGGCTCGTATCAGTGACAAATTTGCATTTTATGAATTTTCTTTTATAAGGTCGTCAAAATACGCTCCTGTTTTGTGTTTGACCCTCTTCTCCTGGTTTCTGGTTCCTCAAGGGGCTGCATGGGAAGTGGTTTTCCAGGGCTGGATGTTTGTGAGCGGACACAGCTTCTCATGTGCAGTGTTGAAACCAAGCCTCTAACAAAGCAACACTGAGGGATTAAAACATAAATGATGGCTTTGAGGCCAAATCTAGGTTCTGTAATTGACCACTCAGGTGTGTGTGTGTGTGTATGCACACTTCTCAGCAGTGACATGGAGCAGTGTGAACTCTCATACTACTCTGTTCAGGCAGGGGGCGTCATTCTGAGGCTTCTCATACAGTTGGTTTTAATAGTAGCCTCCTGATTGGCTTGTTAAGGTGGACTGAACTTTTCTATTCAATTGCAAATTTAAAAACGCTGCATTAAAAAAAATCACACAGTGAGGCTGTTTCTGTAAAAAGATATAGAATTTAATTCAGTACAGTACAGTGCAACATATTCCTCATGGCAGATGAACATTAAATTATGGGAAAGAAGAAGAATCACCTGCAATACAAAAATAAAGACACTGCTGACATCAGGAGGCAGAGCAGAAAAATCCTGTCATCAATGACGGCTTTACAGCAGATGATGAAAATCACTGACAAAACCAACAGTTGACACAAACAGGTGTTCATTAGTCGTGTTGCATCCTCACTGTCTTCGTGTTGGATTAAAAACTCAGTCATTTGATTCTTTCATTCTGTCTCTTATTTTTTCACAAAGTGATTTCCTGAAATATTTATACTCTATATTCTGTCCTATAACTGTTCTTCTTCAGTTTGTTTATTAAGATTAGGAGGATTCTATTGGGACATTTGATGAAATCCTCCCACAGCTGAGCCTCCTGTTGTGTCCTGGTTAAATTAAAACTACAATTTCACACAAAAACAGACTCACTAAAATCTCTGACCAAACACAGGCAACAACCAGTTTGTGCTTTAATAGAATTTCCAATCAAATGAAGATAACATAAACAGGTCGTAGTACATGGTGGAGTCAGAACTGATTAAGACAAAAGAAAAAACCTTTAAAATGAAAATGACAAATTTAATTTTATGTTGAAACACAGCTGTGTTTCTGTCAAAGATTTCCTGCTTTGTTGTTTTCCAGGAAATAGTTTCGTTGGCACCATGTCAGAACCGCAGGAGGACTAAAAATGACTGTTTGAAAATGTTCTTTCAGTTTTAGGAAAAGTTGAAAATCTGTTGCAAAGCTTAAATAATAACCAGCTTTCATTCTAGTTTGGTTAAAAATGTGATGTGTTCTGTTTTAGCTTAAAGTTTTATTTATTTTTAACTTTATATTAAAGCTGGTGGTCTTGTCTATTGTAATGATGTTTTTATTTTAATTGTTAATTTTTCTAAAATTAATATATCCCGTTTTGTTATATATATTTAGGTTATTTTTTAAATGATGCCACACTGAAGAAATTGCTGTGTTAACAACAGATCTACATCACAGGGAAAAAAGAGTGGAAAATGTGGATGTATACAAACGTAGTAAAAGTACAAACGCAAGGTTGAGAACGTGCAGCTTTGTACCAAACTCCTTGTACTTTTCATGGCTTGAATACACGTTGTACTGAGGTCAAATATCACGTCCAGACGTACCAATAATCAACACTCACTCACTATTAGTTTGATGGAAAAGTCATAAGAGATGAGACACTTAAACAACTGACACAGAACATGAATGAGTCGCTTCAGATTATATTACATTTGGTTCATTTATGTTGACACCGTGTCGTCCTGAACCTGATAAAACCTTGTTTGTCAGTTTAGGGTAAATTATTATTTATAGGTGTCTTAATGTAAGACAATCTGTTCTCGCAAAACATGAACTACTCACCTTCTCACATTAAAGAACAAAGAGAAAAACAGACTTAAATAGCAGCACAAGGTGGTTGTTTTTGTGACCAAAATTAAATATTTTTTTTTTAGTACTTTAGTACAGTAGTTTGCTAGAGGAGTCGTAGTAGTAGAGAAAATTGGATGGTAGATGAGGAAAAAAAGCAAAAATAATAAGTGGATTTATTTTATTATATTGCGACGTTGTATATCTGTGCAGATGTGACGATCAAGCTGCTTTGCTCCTCAAGCTAGCACGTAGCTAGCTAGCAGATGTTTGTTTGTCATTTTCTTATGCTAAACAAACGTAAAGAGTATCATTGAATAAAAGTAAGAAAATGCGTTCTAAAAGTTAATGTTTCTTTACATATTTTGTAGCGATGTTTGTTTGTCATTTTCTTATGCTAAACAAACGTAAAGAGTATCATTGAATAAAAGTAAGAAAATGCGTTCTAAAAGTTAATGTTTCTTTACATATTTTGTAGCATTCCCTCGGGGGTTTACATTGTGGCTCCCCTGGCCAGAAGCTAACACTGTTCGCGGTGCATTAGCATGTGCTTTCTGGAACTGGTGCAGGAGAATAAGTTGTTAAGGATTGTTAGTTTTCTCTGTGTAGACTTCAGTCATTAGCATCAGAAATAGTCTTTTTATTGTCTTTAAAAATAACTGTCCGACAGAAAGTTACAGCAGAAAAAAAATCAGGAAAAGTTGGGAGGAACAGTCAAGTTAGCATCGATGTTCAGCCAAGGCAGCCTCTGATTGGAGCTTAAACATGTCTCTGTATGAACTTAGGAAACAGAAGAATAAAATCTTTCTCCGTGTTCTCAGTGGCAGTGGAATCTTAGCCTGTGTACATCCAAGAACTCTACACAAACACGGAATATCTGGAAACTCAACCTGGAGTCATTCTTTTCCTGGGACTTGAACTCACAACTTAAGTTAGATTAAAGTCAATGCTTTGAAACAAATCATTACTCTGTGAGATGTGATAAATCTTTTTAAATAAAAGGTCAAATGTCTCCAGAAACTCAAGCAGACTTAGTTTTAAAATGAAGAAACCATAACCTTGATGAACGACGTCTTTCAGAGCCTGTGCTAACGGTTTGTTGTCGTCAGGTTTTGGTCTGTGAGTATTTCGTGTATCTGTTTGAACAGGGACACTTTCCTACACAACATTAACACATGAGTCTCTCTCACACACACACACACACACACACAAAACAGAGAAGACACAAAGTCCTGGACAAACCAGGGTCGTGACCTCTGAGGGTCCAGTTCATTGTTCTGTCAGTGAACTCCTTCAGCCTTCAGAGAAGACTGAGGTCCAACTGTGTTGATATCAAGGCTACGAGGACGGTGCAGCCGTGTAGGGGTAAGGACAGGGTGGACGTCCCCTCATTGCTGGCTTGCTGAACCCCACTGGGGGGACGAACAGTTGTCCAGGGAACGCACTTCCTCCTGGTGCCGTTTGAGGACGTATGGTCATGTTTCCCACCGTCTGTAAAGTCTGAAGCTGATTCCTCCTTCTCTATTACGACCTCATTTTCGTCTCTCACTTTCTTCCGTGGCTTTGTGCAGTTTCGAGAGCGGCCAGGTTTTAAGCGGTGCACGAGGTTGGTGGTGGATTGGTTAACTGTGCCAGAAACGTTGTTAGTCTGCCCCCTGGAGTTGGAGACAGTCAGAGAACAGTTGGGAAACTCCTCCCTGCGAAGGTCTTTCAGGTCTTTGCCAATCATTTCTGGGGGGGATTGACAACCTACGGTGGACGTGGATCCTCGGAACTGCTTCAGCCACAGCCACAGAGACAGCGCCCTGCAGTCACACACCCACGGGTTGTTGTTTAGGCGAAGGTATTCCAAGCTGGGCAACATGTCCAGACATTGTCTAGAAAGCTGCAGTAGGGAGTTGTTGAAGAGGTAAAGGGTGGAGAGATGTTTCAGGTCTTGGAAGGCCGAGTGATCCACCCACTCAATCTGATTCTGGTGCAGAAGCAGTCGATCTAAGGCCCGAGGGCCTCTGAAAGTGTTCTGGTTCAAACTCCACAGACGGTTGCCGTGCAGAAACAGGTGACTGAGGTTGTGAAGGTCCACGAAGATGTTGTCTGGCAGAACCTTCAGATGGTTATCCTGAGAGGACAGAGAGATTGTGGAGTTACATACGAAGACGTGGTGGTCCTTCACCCCTGATCTGTCTCGTTAATATCTACTTCGTGAAGACAAATTGTGCCTGATCAGCCAAATTCCACAGTATCACCCATGTACCAACCTGGGTGATACTTTGCATATATGTAGCTGTGATGGTGTTTATTCTCTCACTCATCAGAAAAAGACTTTTACACTAATAAGGTTGTGAGATCAATGGGGGTAAATCTGTTATAAACTTGCAATCTGGCACTGACGTGAAAAGTGTTTCCAAAACTGCAGTTTTTGAAACGATGTCACATCCAGCCCTGACTGATTTGTTTATTGAATTATCAAACAAGTTGTATTCATACTCTACCTGTAGGTAGCATTTTCTAGACTGATTTGTTTATTGAATTATCAGTTGTATTCATACTCTACCTGTAGGTAGAGGTACTGCAGGTTTCTGAGGCCCTGGAAGATGTTGTTCGGGAGTGAAGTGAGTCCACATCGATACAGGTGCAGGGCATTGAGCCGGACCAAGCCTTGGAACGTGTCTTCGGCCAAAGAACGCAGGTGGCGGTTGTCTCCTAGATCCAGTTCCTCCAGCAGCCTGAAGCCGTGGAAGGTGGAGGACTCGATGTAGGTGATGTTGTTGGAGTAGATCCAGAGTGTGACTGTGTTGGAGCTGAAGTGACCCTGAAGCAGGCGCTGAATCTTGTTGTTCTGCAAGAAGATGCGTTCACTGTCCAGGGGAATGCCTTCAGGAACGGACAGGAAGTTGTGGGCTTGGCAGGAGACGGTGCTGGGCGTGGTGTAGCAGATGCAGTGACGAGGACAGGACCAGGAGAACTTTAGACCGAAGAGGACCAGCAGGAACTCAAGTCCACAACCTGGGGACAAGGACGACACAGAAAAACAAAACCGTGGTCCACGAGTCTCTGAAATCAGTTTTTATTATTTCTCTGTCCATTCTTTTATTTTTATCAGATTATTTCCACTTTCCTCCACACTTTGAGCTTTAGAATGGCAGAATGGAGGCACTTTCTCCAGTTCAAACACGTCTTTTTCCTCACGCCCTCCATCAGAGCGGACTTCTCTTCTATCGACGTTCCAGCTGTTTCCCGCCCTCACACATTAGGGACTCGTGCTCACTTGAAACTTTTTTTTATTTTCTTCTCAATGATGTCCCCTCAGGGGATGTGTACTCTTGTTTGTTTTTATTTTCTTATCTCTCACCCTGTGTTCTCACCCGCAGGACACTTGGCTGAAGTTTGATTTAATAATCCGGCCTTTGGAAAGAGCTATTTTTACAATAACCTGGAACTCACAGCTGAATTTCTTCTTCATGCTCTGTGAAATCTTTACTTCACACAACATGGGTTAAATTAAAAGATATCCCATTTTAATTTATATCCTGACAGAGAATATGTACTTCTGATGGAGACTTAACAACTGTGTGTAAACAGATGATGGTACAAATGGAGTTTTTCTTTCTGCAGCCAAAACAGAAAATGATCAGAGACATTCAATGATCAGCAAAAATGTTATTATTTGGAAAGTAAACCACAAAGGTACTAAGCCATATCCTACGTTTGTCTGTTTTTTTAAACATTGACCCCAGTTGCTGCTCCCATTCCCTCACCCATCCTCTCCTGTGTCTCCCTACCTGTAAGCTTTTTTTTTACCTCACCTTCCTCTTCTCTGCTCCTACAGTGAACCGGCCAGTATTTTATTATTACCCCTGCAGTTTTGTACCTTCACCTGTGTCTGGAATTCTACAAAAGTTCTTTTTTTCTTCCAACACATTGGCTCCATCTGTAGTCTGTGTCTGAAATTCTACAAAAGCTCTTTTTTTCTTCCAACACATTGGCTCCTGCATTCGAGTCCTTCCTGACGACCTGTCACACACCTGACTGGACGCCCTGTGTTCTACCTTCACAATCAGCTTGCTGCGGGCTGTGCTTAGCCAGGTAGCACTTACAGTAGTCTAACCAAACAGCAGGGGGCATGGTTCCAAACTCTGACAAACGCTGACTGAAAACATACCTGCTACATGAATGCTAAGTTGTGCACAGACATTTGTTTAAGGTTTGTGATTGACCTAAATGGTAACTCAAAATAGAGAGTCTTAAAACAATTAAACCTGTATGACAAACTGAAAAATAAGTTATAGTAACTTGTTAAAGGGCTTTAGTTAACAAACTCAACGTTTGTAGTTCACATCATGTTTTACCAGCACAGAGAGCAGGGACATTTAAACTACTGACTGGCAGATGAGTTTCTCAGAACTGCACCACACACCTTAAAAAAACAATGAGGAAAATCTTTCTTGAAATAAAAAAAATGACCATATCACACAACCTCTCTCTGTATACTTTCTTAGAAGCATGTGAACTTTAAAAGAGGGTTTTGATATGACAATAATGTAATATATTTGGAGTTGAAATAAGGCCAGTGTTCACTGTTGTTTTAAAAAAAATTTTTTAGGAATTCATTTTTGACAAGCTGCATCTGACACCTTGGCTCAACTGCCACAGCTTTTTGATATAATCATGTTAGTGTGGGCAGGTCTGCGTGAAAAAGGAAGAATAATGTTATCAAGAAGCAATCTCTGTGTGACAGCGTGTCAGTCTGTGTCGGAGGAAAATGCCTGTCTGGAGAGCAGACTGTATTTTTGATTGAGTCTGTGACTGTTCACGTGAGTGTTTGGACTCACAAGGCCTCTTTGCCTCTTGGGTAATTATGGCTTCGTGTGCTGCTAGGATGGGATTTCACTCTGATTGGCTGTGAAGAGCAGAAGATCACGTCTTCAATATTTCATCAGACGAACAGCTGTAGCTGATTCACAGATTCACCGTCGCCAATGAGATCAGAGCAGACGATGACATGTAGCCGGTCGAAAAACCAAACATAATAGCCAAGAAACCAATAATTATTTAACTATAATGTTTTAAATGGTTTAAAATAAAAAAATGTATTAACAAATAGGTCAATTATGTAATAATATTAATGTAATAGGTGACAAATACCACAGAATTAATAATTATTCATAAATGAGCTCACTGTACTTTAGCTCTTATGCATGTGTTATCATTTCTGGAGCAGCGACCTTGTTTCTTCTCTCACTAAGTGTGTGTGGTGTAGTGCAACACATCAATTATTGACATGCAGGTTTTAAAACCTCCTCCTCCCCCAGCTCCTCAGCAGCACTACCTGCAGCGACCACACATCTGCGCTCTGATCCCTGCCTACAGCAGACTACTCTGTGTGCAGACTACTCTGTCCTGTGTGGAGTCTGCAGAGAGCCTGTGTGCAGACTACTCTGTCCTGTGTGTCCTCCATTCTTCAGCCAGATCTTTAACACAGGATTAAAGGACCGGTGGCCTGTCTTCTTGATGCTGATGGTCATAAACTACCCTCAGAGACTAGCCATCTGACCCATACTGGGGCATACTTCCTGGCCGCCTCCCTAACCTGATCACCACTGTGGCATTCAGTCTGACTTACGTAGAGTTTTCTACCTCTGAGTCAGAGCTGAGTCTGAAGTGTTTTATTTTTCTGTCAGTAAAAGTCACAAGTGTGGAGAAGGACAACCCTCGTCACCTTGAGTCCAAGTGTCTGATAATAGATCTCTGAAAAGAATATGATCTAAAAACAGGATTCGCTTCAGTCCAGGTCACCTTGTAGCCATGAAGATCATCAGGAGGTGAAGCAGTCGACCCCTCCCTGGAGAGCAGTGACTGCCAAGGTGGGATTCAAACCTGCGGTCTTCTGGTAACAACTAGATCCTCCCACCACAGTGCCACCAGGTGGTGGGAAAGGAGTGTAATTGATTTTTTTTTTTATTGACTGTCGATTTAAAAAATGTAATCTGTTGGATTCTGTGGTTGAATAATTAAAGACATAAAAAGTAAATGACAGTGCTGAAAATGGAAACCTGGCTAACAGTTCAGCAGCAGCCAACAAATGAATTATTCAGTTGACAATCAGCTCACGATTTCTACAACCATGCCGACATTTGAGATACAGCATTGTATCTTTTGGTTTCAAAATATGGAGTTCAGACTTATTTGGTCTTCATTTTATTTACTAGGTAAATGAATGGTAGTTTGGGTTTAACTGACCCATTTTTAAATACATAGAGCGTATGTTCAGAGAAAGAGAGAGAGATACAGAAAAGAAGGTGAGCAAGAGGAAGGATGTGCTTTCCAGCAAATGTGGGGAAAAACCCTCGGGGAGTGAACTTTCCTTATTCCTACACATCACTTAATATCCTTTTGATTAGGCAGAATCTCAATGACAGGATGCAGAAATAGAACTGGGTGACGCATCCTTGAATTATCACTGAGAAGTAGAAGAAAAAAAATCACCATGTGTCATCAGCTTATTCCTGTACCTCATCTCATTTAGTAAAAAGCAGCGGTGGTCTGTGTGTTTCAGTGTCATCCTGCCTGAACGGAGCCACATCTTCATAATAACTTCATTATGACCACAGAAACCGTCAACATTATGCAGGAAGGCAGTAAAACAGTCATTATATCCCAGCTCATAACTCATGTAGACCCAATAACGTCATTACTGAAGCAACAAACCCACAAGACACAACTGAGCCCCAGCTGTGACATAATGTTCATCAAAATCATCAATAATAACGTAATACGATTAACATGTTATTAAAAAGACAACATTTATTTTACTCATCAAAACTTAGCTGAAGACAAAGTCCCTCCTCCTCTCTTTCCTCAAGATAAGTTCAACGACTCTGTAGAACAGATTGTCCATGTGTTCCAGTCCTAACATGTCCTTTTCTGTCTCCACCCATGCTGATGATGACAGTCCAGTCTGTCCTGTCGTATTTATGGAATACGTTTGAATTCACTTTAGGCTGAGAATCTCCGCTCAGCAGAAGCAGTGGACGCAGACAAAACGTAGTTTTCGTGTATGCAAGTGGCTACATGCAGTTAGCAAGATTGGAGTGTGTTCTTCGATCGTCCAATCAAATCACTCCAATCACCAACATAACTGTAGGCCTGCTAGACAACCTCGTCGTTCCCAACTCTAAATCTGGAAACCATTCAACCAAAGTAAAGCTGGGAATGAAGATAACAGACGAAAACTACTCTGAATTATTTCATAAATACTTCTGATAAATCTATTTATAAATAATCCGTTCACCCTGACACTGTTCTGTCCAGCAGACGAGGCCTGATCATTGATGGTCCACCTCTGGTAAAAAGACATACCAGTGAAACCTGGACTATATTTGGCCGACAGTCAGTATATGTTTCTGTAAACTGTCAGTTGTCTTTCACGGTGAGTTTCATCCCACAGACAATAATCTGTTCACTGTAGAAGCAGCAGATGTGACGTCTGTCTGTCTGTCTCCCTGCTGTGTAATCAGTGTCATCACTCTCACCTGTGATCACCTGGTCATTAGTCTCACTGGTGTCACCTGCTACTCTGGGTACATATACACCTCTGTCCCTCACTCTGTCCCTGTCTGTTTCTGTTCATGTCCATCCTTTATAGCTCCACTTAGTGGTGTGTTCAGTTCACTGCTGTTTGTTCCCACCTGCTCCAGTCAGTCGATCCCTTTTTAACGATGACTAAACTTCCTGAAACTAAGGGATGCCTCTGGAGTACTGCACTAGTGTTCACCGTCAACACTTAAATTCATGGTTGGTATAACCATTACTGCAGTGACTGAAGGTCATTTGGGCTGCATTAGGAACCATCAGACCTGCTGGGACATTAAAGGAAGGACGGAGCCAGTGAAGGACAGGAGTGACGTGGTCTGACTTGTGAGTTCTGCACACAGGACACCAGGGGTCTGGTTAACACACAATTAAAATAATCCAGTCTGTTTGAAAAATCTGAAGAAAAAAAATCA